CTGATCATTTGAATGCCAGCCTTGGGTAATTCAAGTGTAGTTAAATCCAGCTGATGTGTATTGTAAATTATCTGTTCCGATAAGATTCCAATGTGTGACATTTCTCAGTTGCTGTAACATCTTAGTTGTTTAGTACATGTATGTCATCACTGTACAGTCTCCCTTAGTTGTATCAGGATGTGCTAATGAAGGTGAAGTGGCAGGTTGGGAGGTAGGGCTGGGACGAGTCCAAATTTAGTACCCGGAAACCCATCCCCCTCTAACCTGAATTTACCATGGTACCCGCTGTGTTGAGTTAGATATTTCAGTGTAAAATGTCCAGTTGGGAACTGTTTTACTGGAGCCCTGACAAAAAGTATTTAGGAATAGTGAAGCTGTCAGAAGTTTAGTCCTTATTCAAATTTTATGTTATTATGCTGTGCCTGGTGTGTACCTGGGGCCAATTAAAAACCAAATTCCTGAAATACCCATCCCGTCCCAGCCCAAGTGAGAGGGTGTTTTATGTCAAGAATCTGTTAATTTAACTTTTGATATAATCCAATGCATGCTCATTTCAGTTCCATGTTTTATAGTTTCATTCATGTAGTTTCATTTATATAGTTACTTGAGAATATTGACACCAAAGCAAAGTGTGTTGGATAAACTCCCTCACCACAGGCCTGAATATTGGACATGCTCCATCAGAACAATGACCTTACATGGATGTTCTGTACAAATATTTTAACATGTCAATTTGCTTTCATTAAGTTTTAAATGTTAACTTCAAAGGAATTAATAATTGATAGATAAAAATGTTACTTGCAATGTAGTAAATTGGATTTTGTGTTTATTATCACTTGTTCTTGACAGTTATCTCTGAAAAACTGAACCGGTTTACATATTCACAGCTTCCACGATGGTCTTGTAAGATACATCTTTGTTACTTTGTAAACCATCAAGCAGTGTTTTAACAATTATGTCATATTAACATAGTTAGGTTGGTATATTTATATTTGGCTGTAATCTTGAAATCATCTTTGTTCCAAGAGAAAATCCATAGGTGATCATTGAGGTGAGAAAAGATTGTGAACAATGATATTATGTTTGTAACTTCCTTGACTGCATTCTGTTTGTCTTCTTGTTTACGTATATTGTAACCAACCTTTTTATGTATTAAAGGCATTAACCTGTACTGAAGGACTTCTTGTATTTTTATCGTGTTTAAATTATGGTTGGTAAATAAATATGTTGATCAGTTGGTGTACACATGATCACCAGACACTTTGGCACATAATGATGCGGTGTCATTTGAGAGACAATGAAATACTGAAAATGCTGTTCACTTCTAAAACCATTAATCCAGGTTTATCTCACAAGGAATTCTTGTACGAATTGATGAAGAGCTTTCACCAGAAATATCACATGCTTGTATTTTGTAGAAAAACCTAGTTTTGACACTGGTATGAATGTGGACTTTCTCCCAACAACAAAAGTCCAAAATAAGCTGTGGACAAAGTTGAATTTATCAATGGTCCAAAAATATGTGCAATGTGTAGGACATTTCAGGGTTTTACATGACGTATTTGGTGCAACAATTTTGTAAACGACTCTCAATATATTATCATACGAGTCAAGCTTGACGCAAGTTTTATGGGTGGCCCTCACAATTGAGTTCTATCAAATCGATTTGATAAACAAAAAATGATATTGTTTGATGATAGTTTGACTTGTACAGAGCTATCAGATTGTTCCAGAGAACTCAAAGGAGACAGTAACCCTGGCTGTTTGAATTGAACAATGCTGTAGTTTCATTTGGTGGTTTGACATACTCATTCTCAGTATATAACTGTGTAACACAAAGAAATATTAAAATTTTCATGACTCCCAAATATTGAAATGACTCCCAAAAATAAATATTGTGAGTCACCATGACTCCCACTTTTTAAAGTCTGTAAAACCCTGCATTTCAGCTATTCATGACCAATCCAACATCTTGCATTCATTACAGTAGGGAAAGGCCATTTTAATGACTTGTCATGTTGATAACCTGGTCAGAATCTGATCAAAACATTGGAGGACTGCTTGTATCATTCAAAGCATAATACTGAACTCATACTTTTAAACTGAATTCTATGGCCAAGCATTTTATAAAAAGTTAAAGCTAACCTTTAGTTAAAGCGACCTAATGCCTTTCAATAACCATCAAAAAGCCATGTCCCCATGTTACTATTGGGATATCTGCCTTTTAAATCCATCAGTGGGTCCACAATTCTACTGACTAAATACACAACTACATCATTGTTCACCAGTGAGCAAGTTTCCTATCAAATATTATAAAAGCTTTAAGATGTCTTTGAATGTTGTATTCCGGATTAAATACAAGTTGTATGAAAAACATCTTTTCAGATTGGGATTGTGCATTGATCCAACCTGCAATAGTGAGTCAGTATGGTTTTACGCCGCTATCAGCAATATCATGGCGGGGAACACCAGAAATGGGGCTCCACACATTGTACCCATGTAGGGAATCCAGCCCGGTCTTCGGCATGACGAAGCTTAACGCTTTAACCACTGGGCTACCCCACAGCCCCCATGAAGTTTTCGACACATGAAGGCCATTTCCAAATAAAGCAAATTTAAAATTCCCATCTTCCCCATGTTTTGGGTTTGTTTCTTTGTATTTGTGACCAGTGCCACCAGCAGGACAGAATGGGCTAACCTTTTCATGAACATCAAGTATGATCACTATTTCATGCACATGCATGGTATAGTCTGAATCGCGCTTAACTCACATGCTATGACAGTAAATAAACTGTTTATATAATTTCATTTGTCTATTTCACCACACGTTCTTCTTACCGAGTCACTTTCTCAGTTCGATACTTAAAAGCAATGTCATTATTTAGCGTTGACACAATTTCTAACTGTGATATAGATATGTCGCTGTCACAGACAAAACTCAATGTCTTGTTTTATTGACACTTGTGTGTCTGCCTGCCTGTCTGCTAATGACAATATTCAATACACAACTGCGATCACTGACCACATGCAATTTGAACTTAACACCAATCAGGCTATACACCATAAACAAAACGCATTGATTAATGGCCCGAGTTCGGTCTGTCACATTATGTAATTACAGACAGGCAGGTGTGATACTTGAACACATGACATGTTATGATGTCTGTTGATTGCAAAATGTTATACACAAAAAAATGAGCATGTATTTACAAAACCCAACATCTCTATATATACACACACACAAGCAGCCGTGAAGGCAGCATCTGCTAATGAACCAGCCGTTACACTTGAGTGCACACCCACCCGCTCCGACTGGGCTCGGTATCCTGGCTGCTTCGTTTCGAGGGCGGTAAACCCAAGTACAAAATATTGCACTTTTGATTTGCGATTATACGCTTATAATTTTGTTTATTTGTTTTTTCATAATCAGCAATGCATATTATATGTCATGAAGAAGTGATAATTGTGTTTTAATTATGTTTGATTTTTTGGTTCCATGTGACCTTTAAGCAGAGATTCATTTGAACATGGAAAGTATCTTGTTTGACAATTTTTTTGTGCTCTTGACCTAGCAAGTATCAAGGCCACAATTTGCCATGTCATTTCAGTGTACTTTTGATTTTTAAGAATGAAACAAATGACTATTTAAAATAATTTTTTTATTCTCAACACTGCTTACAGGGCCAAAGTAAGGGGATTTACATTCTGGCTGCCCTTAGCATTCATGGTTGAGCTTATTTCTTTTTGCCACCCTTGCGTCCCTTCTTAGCAAGACGTTTGGACTTAGCAGCAGCAGCCTTGCCCTTGGGCAGCTTCTCAATTGGTGCTTTTATCTGAAATATCAATAATCAACATTGTAAATTTTAGGCAAAATCAGTTGTGCAAATGTTTCTTTTTGTGTTCAATGCTGCCCCCTGACAACATTCAAGCTATATAGTGGTGGTCTGTGATAATCAACCCTGGACAAGTCAATCCAGAAAAGTACACAATCATCAATCTACACAATTGGGATACAATAACATGTATCAGGTAAGCCACAGTACCTGATCCTATTAGTCACAAAATGGGCAAAAGGAAACTGACAAATAAACTAGCAGTATAACCACTAATCCACAAAAAGTTCTTTTTTTATCACAAGTTAAAAAGTTAGAAGTGGTAGTCTACACTGAAATGTCACTTGTTCTTAATGAAATACAAACTTAAGACAAGATGTCTTGTTTAAATTTTCAACTCCACCTGAAACTCGTTCAACCAACCCATTTGTAGCCATTGGGTGAAAACACTTCGAAATTAGAAACAGGATTACTGTGCTTCTAGCGAGAAGTTCAAAATTCCTGGGATGTAATACCATTCTAATAGCACTTAAGTTATTTTCATGTATTTCAACAACACAGACCAAAATATTGTTCAGATTTCTTCATGCACAGCCTTGCTACTAAAGTTTTCCTAGAACACAAAAAAGCATACATACACCACGTCTTTTGTTGAGGATCTCCAGTTTCTTGCGCCTACGGACAGCTTCAGTGTTTGCAGCTGCCTTCTTCTGGACCGCAGCGTGTAGGGGTTAAGTCGAACCATCACACGGTAGTTCTTCAATGGATTCTTCTTCAAAACTCTCCTGTCTGTATCATGCCTACAAGTAGGAAAGAACACGAAAATAAACATCAAGTCATTATGTTATTGTTTAATGCCCTGTCTATATTTCTGGTATTTGATAGCCTGTGAATAATTAAGCATCGACCAGACAATTGAGTAACCAACAATATGAGCATGGGATCTTGGTTTGGCTAAAACTATTGCTGATGGGAAGATTCATTGACAATAATATCTTACATCAAGTCAAGTGAGTGGGTTGTATGCTGCTTTTAGCAATATTCTAGCAATACCACGGCAAGGACACCAGAAACAGGCTTCACACATTGTACCCATGTGAGGAGTCGAACCCAGATCTTCAGCGCGACGATATGGATAAAGTAATGGCTTAATTCACATACACAAAGCTGCATCTGTGTGGCTCAAAGTTTAATCAAATTTCCTTCTCTCAAGTTTATGGATAATCTAGCCCTAATGAGATTGTTTAAGATACATGGTTGATTGGTTGTTTTATGCAGCACACAACAATATTCCAGCTATATGGCAGCTGTCTGTAAATAATCAGTCTGGACAAGACAATCCAGTGATCAACAGCACGAGCATAGTTCTAAGCAATTGGGATACAATGACGTGTTAAACCAAGTCAGCAAACCTGACCACCCAATCTCAGCGATACATGGAATCTATTCCGCTTTTGAATATCCTTTGAGAATCACTCAAACTTACTTGGGAGCCCTGAGGATAGATTGGATCTCACTGCTCCTGAGGAGTCTGGACAGGTCAGTGTTATTCATCACAGGCATGGGTAGGCTGAAACAAACAAACATGCATACATTACTCAATACTTACTAAAGACTACCATGGTGATAAATTCACTTCCACTAGGCAAAATCAGAGGTGGTTATTTTGATTTTCATAACATTCAACAACACGGACCAAAGAAATCATCACTTTTGCCTGTAGAGAAACTGGTTGGTGAAAATGAACAAGCAAGCATTTAATGTGGTAATGAAACTCACTTGTAGTTATTCTTGGTAGCTGAGGGTTTGCGCCATGTACCATAAAGAGTGTCTAATTTTTTCAGTGCTGATTCAGTCCACAAACAGAATCTTCCCACATGACCACCAGGTGCTATTTTCAGCAGATTTAATCTGGCAACATTGATGAGAGTGACACCTGAAAAGGAAAACCAAACAGCACATGACAACCCTTGACATTTATGCAAGCACTGGTCTAGCAATTAAAAGTGAATATTGAAAATGATCTCAAATATACCAATAATAGTATGCATAAATATCTACATTTTAAATAACTACAATTAGTTAATGTACAAATTCGGCAAACTTCAAACATGCCTATTGATGGTTTGCAAGGATTCTGACAAAATCACTTGAGTTACTTTCCAGCAACAAGGAGTAAAATGGCTATATTGGAATTGATAGCAATACTTTATTAATCATTAAAATATCTGTCAAGTCTGACAACTATCATAATACTACTGCAATAGTAGGGGCTGCCAAGTCATCCATAACACTACTCAAATTGTAACTGAGTGCCGTTTTACGTCACATACAAATTTTCCAGCGATTTCGGCTTTCTTGTCAAATCTAGTTATATTACATTATCACAGTCCCAAATGAGAGCAAATTTACTTAAAGCAGCAGAAGTAGCTGAAGCCACATTCGACAAGTATTAGATCTATAATGTAAAAGAACTGGTTCGCAGGCAAAGACTTCCGAGATAGTGAGGATGGGCAGAAAAGTGCTACGAACCTATTTTAAACACGAGTCAACACAAATTCATGCAAGTCAGGTTTAGTACCCAGTCAGTGAACTTTATGGTACATGTCTTCAAAACAACCTGAAGATGTACGCACCTGGGATATTTCTGAAAGCTCTTGAGATGCCATTGTCTTGGTTGTATATGACAAGTGGACCCCTACGCTGGACACGTCTCCTGTTCCTCATTTTCCCCTTGCCAGCACGGAACCGCTTGGAGCTGTATACCTGGAGCAGACAAATATATTTAACATACATGCAATGAAGCAGAGCAATGATATCACAATAACGAACTGCCAAGACATGCAAACAAATGTGACAAGTCAGAAGTGGTGAGGTTTTTTTCAAAATGTTCAACAACACGGACCAAAGACATCATCACACTTGACACATCTCCTGTAAAACGAATCCTCACGTTTGAAACCTTGCTTAAATTTTAGTGTTTAATGATATACACAGTTCATATAGCTTTCTATAGACTAAGACTATGCAAATGTGAAATTACTGAAATTAAATTTTAAAATCTTTTGTGTTGAAAGTATGGAAACATGCAATCCTATCACCAAGAGAGTTTAGTTTTACGCCGCTTTTAGCAATATTCCAGCAATATCATGACGGGGAATACCAGAAATGCGCTTTACACCATGTGAGGAATCGAACCTGGGCCTTCCTCATGAAGAGCAGACGCTTTAACCACTAGACTACCCCCAACCCCCAACATGAACATATGAATAACAAATACTGATATTAGAGTAAACTAGACAAATTTCAAACAATGAAAACCATATTGCCGCTTAGCAATATTCCAGCAATATCACGGGGACACCAGAAATGGGCTTCACACATTGTACCCATGTGAGGAATCGAACCCGGGTCTTTGGCGTGACGAGCAAATGCTTTAACCACTAGGCTACCCTGCGCATTTATTAATATGAAACTTCTGACTTACTTTCTGAATGTCTGCCCAGGCTTTGATTCTCTTGAGAAGCCCAACTGCCTCCTTTGTCTTCTTGATCTCCTCCACTTTGTCACTCACGACCAGTGGTACCTCAGGGATTTCCTCGATGCGGTGACCTGCAATATGTACCACAAATCATCACTGACAGAAATCTCTGCACTACAAACAGGCAAACAGTCCATGCCTCATGTCAATCTGCTGACAGACATAATTTCGAGAAACACGGGAAATTAATAGATACTAACAACATTTATACAGCAAATGGAACAAAGTCAGAAGTGGTTAGGTTTTTTTTCAATGATATTCAACAACACGGACCAAAAACATCATCATTCTCTGTACATTTGCTGCATTTCAATTAACAATAAGATTACAATAAACACATTCTCACAACAAATCACACATATCCCTGGACATTGCTGGGGAGTCAGAGGAATTACCTACAGTACTTCAATATATAAAACAAAAAATAAAATTCAGTTTTGGAATTCGCATCATGTTTTGTTTACCATTTGACATAGTCAGGAGTATAGTTAGAGGTCTGAGAAAATTTAGAGTTCCATATTATAAGCCATGTCTTGATGTCACTAAGCATGACCATGACCACATTAACTAAATTTACAAGCTAAGCTAAGTATCAGATCCTGGATGATCGATCCACATCGTAGGGAGTCATCTCCCCATTTCAGTAATCTCTTAGCTAGCACTGGATACTTGGAGCCCATCCTTGTGAGTGAACCCCATCATATGATTTATATGTACATTGATGTAACATGAATACAGCTAATTTACAATGGGACATAAAACCCATTTGACATTAACACTATTTCAAGGCTGTTCGTGCCAGAGAAGCAAGCAATTGAGTGAGTGAGTTTAGTTTTACGCCACACTCAGCAATATTTCAGCTATATGGCGGCGGTCTGTAAATAATCGAGTCTGGACCAGACAATCCAGTGATCAACATCATGAACATCAATCTGCACAATTGGGAACCGATGACATGTGTCAACCAAGTCAGCGAGCCTGACCACCCGATCCCGTTAGTCGCCTCTAACGAAAAGCATAATCGCCTTCTGTGACAAGCACTGGTTGCTGAAGACCTATTCTACCTCGGATCTTCACGGGTCAGATAAGCAAGTAAACGAAAGAACTAACATTTGATTTCCATTGAATTGTTACTTCATTATGCCGAAATTATGGCAAGTTCATATTTCACGACTGAACCAATATGCGAGTCTGGACCACTCAGTCCAGTAATTAATACTGGGAGCATTGATCAATCAGGGTATTAGGACATGCTAACAAAGTCACATCTTGACCATCCTGTTCTATTTCGACCCCTTTCCTAACCAGCATAGGTAGCTGGTGAACAATCATTAGTTGAATCCTCTTCAACATCTCAGGATTGATCATGGAAATACATCAATACTTTAGAAGAGATCATACACCATACAAGACTTAATATAAAATGGGTTACCTGAACTTGAAACATGTCAAACCTTGCCAACAGATTTGTGTGAACACGACAAAATGTGACAAAGTCAGAAGTGGTTTGCTTTTTTTTCAGGATGCTCAACAACACGGACCAAAAGCATCATCATTCTTTGTACATTTTTTGCATGGGTATTGTCGTGCATTTCAAGTGAAACAAACTTTAACATACATCAGTAATGGCAAACTGAACTCAAGATAAAATTCCTGCATGTCAATTTTCTCACTGTTCTTAAAGTTCACAAGCAACGTAAAACAGCTTTGAATAGCAATGTCAAAGCTTTGAATAGCAAGTTAAGTTTATACTCTGACCATAATTTCTATATTATCCAATGACAGACTTATCTCTCCCCACACAATATAACTTCCAGTTTCTTTTCATGGTCGAGGTGTGTTTGTATCCATGCATTTGTTACATTCTATGGTATGCTGTGTATGTATACAGATTTGATGTAACTGTAGGGCAATTACTTTTGGGTATCACTTGAGAGAGGGATGGCCATTTGTGTCGGTGTATTGTTAGTTGTGTCTGTTGATTGGACATACATCCTATGTTCTCAGTGTAATTTCTACACAGATACTGCAATATCAACTAACAAAAAGAACTCTTACATATCACAGGCCATGCTAATAGCGGCTGACTGGGCCTATTTGTCCCAACTCCAAGTCAAGATGTCAAATTGAGGATGTTCATGACTAATTCCCAAGCAGATGTCAACAAAACCATGACCAGATTACTGTATCTGCAGATGACCAGCAACTGATGACATAAGCTAACATTCACCTTCAGGCATGATGTCTGGTCTCATCCCTAATTTAGCTATCTCCTACGACAAAGCATCAGATTTTCAGGACCTCTTGCCAAACCAGCAATTTGTGACCAATAGGATGTGCACATGCCGATTAACTGCTCCATCATATTTTATTTTCCAGGAGTTAATTGTCCTTATATCCAGATATCCATCATTATACTGTCAATGAACATGTCAAATACTTACTGCTTAAAACATTACAACAAATATAACAAAGTCAGAAGTGGTTAGGTTTTTTTTCAGGATGCTCAACAACACGGACCAAAAACATCATCATTCCCTGTATATTTGTTGCATGTGTGCAGTAGTCTCACATTCAAGCAATGTCTTTTAAACCCATGACCATATCTTTGTTTTAAAACACCTCCAAACATAGTTTAACCTCTATCAGCAATATTCCAGCTATGAGTAAATAAGAAAATATACAATATCATGACAACGTCTGCTTTACTGCATTTATGTTCAACAAAGTCTGTCAAAATTTTTACACTGTTAAAACCCACATTGAAATATTGCTAAATACAATCAACCAAGCAGTGTCATTTAATTTGTATGTTTGCTTATTTACCCGCCAACTTCTAGAAAGCCAAACAGGTAGCCTGTAAATGGTTGGGTCGGACCAAACAATCCACTGACTGACATTGGGTGCAGTGACCTACACCATTGGAATGCGAGGACAAGTCAACCCTGTCTCACAAGCACAGAGTTGTGTGGGACCTATTCTGAACAGGAATTACCTTGAGAGGCTACTTTTATCAGGGCTAAAAAAATCCAAAGATCTGCACTCCCCCTACAGTGCGAGTAATATGAACTTTCCACTCGTCCTTCTAAAATTGTACTTTCCCTATAGATTATGCATCACAATGAATATAAATTTAAATTATGTTATTTCAAAATGTTTGCTTGGAATAAAGCTTCAATAAACACTACTTACTTTGTCTTTTGTACAAAATCTATGACAAAATTGAATTAGTTCACCATTTAAGATAGCTGAACTTCAAAGAAAAACAAAAATGTTAATTTCAGGTCAGAAAACATACTCGTCCTCTAGGACGAGCAAATTAGGTTTTTCACTTGCCCGAAACAAATTTTACTCGTCAATACGGGCGGACAAGTGGAATTTTCAAGCCCTATTTTATGGATTGAAAGACATCTCTGATCAATCTACCACTTCAGCACAAGATATTATTTAGTATACCACAGTTTAACATACACAAGTATTCAGAACCACCAGCAAATGTCAAAGATTGCCAACAGATGAGTTAACACAGCAAACATAATGAAGTCAGAAGTGGTTAGGTCTTTTTCAGTTTACTCAACAACACGGACCAAAAACATCATTCTCTGTATGTTTGCTGTGCATAGCATCTTGTATTTCAAGTAGAGACCATCCCAAACAGAAATTATAACGAGGTCTCATTATCATATAACCCTCACCCTTGGACATGACGACTGCTGGGATGCCTGTTGCAGCAATAGCGGAGCACATGGCATAACGGCGCTGGTTGATGTTGATCCTGCGGTGCCACCTTCTCCAGGTTTTGGTGGGAGCAAACATGCGGCCTCCACGGCACATGTTGCCAAAAGCACCCTGGCCAGATCTGTGGGTACCGCCACCTCGCACACGAGGAATACGAGCGACGGCACGGCCAGTACCCCAAGACTCAGCAGAGGTCTGGTGGCCTGTAAAGAGGAAGTAAAATAGGTAAGAGTTCCTTACGTACCCCCCACCTAATTTTTAACTATAAACTATAGACTAAACTATAGTATTTGCTCATCACAAAAATAGGCAGGGGGTACGTAAGGAACTCTTTCCGAAAAAATATCTATCACTACATTTGAGTAGGTAAATATGTTCTGAACAACAACTATCACTAATCAGATGTAACTGATATTAATAAAGAAATGAGTTATATTATAAGGAAACCCCATGGAAAGGTGGAATAGGGAATGTATTGCACCATTTGTACAACTGTTTTGTTCAAAATGCGAAGGAATCAATGCTCTACATGTTTGTTTTTTCCATCACAAACTGTTGGCCCAAATAATTTCAGTATAGGTCACAGGATTATTCCTGCAAGCAGTCATCGTTTGTTTTAAGTTGTCTGTCTGATGGGAGGACACCATTTAACTAACCAGCTTTCTCTGAAACTGCATATGGGTGTCTTGTGTTCATGAGCATCTGGAAGTGCACAAAGTTGACAATATCCGGCCTGACGGGAGCACGGAAGACTGCTGGGAGTGTGACATTGCTTTCAGAAGCCTCCCCTTTCTCAGAGTAAACCGTTACAAGCGGTCTTGCAGCCTGGAATATAAATTAGAATTGAAAGTTAAAACGAGTCAGACTATAAAATGCATCAACCTGCAAAATCAAAGTCTACCAGCAAAATCGCAATGTACAGCTCTAGTTTTCATAGATATAGAGGGTATCCAGTGGTACACCAAGCACAACTAAAAGGTATGTTTCAATGTAATTGTCCAAAGCTGGGATAAGTTTACAACCAAAAAAAAGAAATAGCTGTCAAGGCAATAACCTCAAGAATTTCTTTCTGTTTTATGGCTCAGTGGCCTTTCATAAATATACAGGTTTGGCTTGGAAAAAAGGTGATTGGCATGTGGCAGAAACATTCCCTGATATTTTGTCACATGCATTGATTCTGAGGCAGTTTGTAAAAGCAGGCGAGTGAGTTTAGTTTTGCTCAGCTGTCAGCAATATTCAAAGCCGCAGCGGGGGACACCAGAAATGGTCTGCACACACTGTGCCAATGTGGGGAATCGAACCCGGGTCTTTGAGTGACGGAAAGCATGTAAAAAGTCAGCACGAGATCAGTGGAATGATCTGAAAACGTAAACTGTAGCTGCTAGTGTAATCGTTTATTCTTCTGCTTTATTTAGGAATCTGATGAAGCAAAATTGCGTTTTGAAGTCGACTAGTGGAAATGACGGCGGCCATTTCCAAATCCACGTGCGCATATGGCAGGCAAGGTATGACGACTACTCTAAAGAGACCGCGGTGTAACCCTAAACAACGAAGACGATACATACATTAAACCCAATTAAGCGTGTTATTGTTGGTGACAAGGTTATAGGCATTCTTTGTTGCCCATGATTGGCTTAAAACAATTTACCATGTTGGTTGATTTCACCCTCGTGTCTACCACGATTGGGGTTTAGCGGAAAAAGAATGATCGTCGGTGCCCGGCGGAAGGATATCGATAAAACATGTATATTCCGAAGTTACAAGATATTATTTATTTGATATCCTGGAGAGCAGCTACTTCTGAAATACAAACGGCTATTACGAAGCTAGTTAATATATTTATTTCAGCCTAATATATCCTTTAACATTAGGAACTATATTGGTTCTTTTGCGGATGTATTCAACAGGCGTGTAGTCGTGCTGCTTTCCTTACCACTGCTTTCCTTACCACTTTAAAAGAAAACACAAACTTCATCGAAGTTCTAGCAGCCACTACTAATCATTTTCGGCTTTTGAAATTAAGAGACATGCAGGTTCCTTTCTATTATTTATTTTTCATATTCATCTTACGCTTAACCTTATTTCCGGGACTGTATTGAATGTTTTTAGTCAACTCATTAGAGTTATTTTCACCAGCATTTCAAGAAAGGTTTAGAGTTTAGAGATTGTAAACTCTTTCAAAGTCCGGCTATAATATGATCCTACTTGAGAACCTATGGCCAATTTCAGTTTAATTTTATCATCAATACTAGTAGATATACCATATATTTTCTCGTCCATTTTCTCTTTTGTTTAGAAATAAAATCTCTTTTGTTTAGAAATGAAAACAAAACATGAAAATTACCAAAAAGCAAACGTCTTATCTGAGTGATTAACCAAAACGTACATGGAAAGAAATATTCCAAGTTACTACACTATGAACGTATTCCCTTTTCGTCGAAAATTGACTATTGTTTCAATATCTTAATACTAGTAGTAAAGAAGTTAGGGTGTTAAAAAAAGTTTGTCAAGGGAGATAATTTGTTATTTACCGCCAGGTACAAACTTGTTATGGTGGAAAGATAGAGAAGTAAAATTAATGACGTAGAGCCATGCTTCATGAAGTTCTTCTTGCCTTGACAGGTCACTGTGGTGGTGTTTTCAAGGACAACGGAGATGGAATAAAAGTTAGTGGACATATCTAATGTTTATGATTTTGAACGGCAATTACAGATCTGTTGCCAGTGCAGTAGACTAACTGCGCTAAGTTGTCAAATTGCCGGTTACAGTGTCGTTTGGCCTTGCTGTCAATTTCTGTTTTAATCGTGAACTCAGTTCAGTCTTGTAGGAATAGTAAAGTGGGTACTAAAGATTTCTCATTATAAGGTAAGAGGGTTTTGTCAGTATTTCTATTGCTACAGTTGTCAGGCTAGCTGACTTGGTTGACACAATCTTATCACAATTAAGTAGATCAATGCTCATACTGTTGATCACTGGATTGTCTGGCCAAGACTCGATTAGGGTAGCATCCATTAGTAACAGACCGCCGCCATATAGCTGGAATATTGCTGAGTGTAAAGTTAAAACACCAAACAAACAAAACTTTGATGCGATCATTTATGATCAGCCCACTTGTCATTAATTCTTGATAATTTAGAGGAGAGTGGTAGGAAGGCGTTTCCTATTCTCGTGATACTTAAAGATATCAGCTGAAAAAATAACACAAACAATTCTTACTGTGTGAATGCTTGTTGTTTTTAAACAAAGGGCCTTTTCCTCTAACATCTGCTAGATCCATCAGCTGAATTACCACTTGTGAGCCCAGTTATAAACAGTGCCATCTGCCACTGATGAAATGAGGCTTCTCCCATTCTTAGCGGTATGACAAGGAAGTCATGTTATGGAGTGTATGGAAGAGCAATCCTGTCGGAAAGGGCAGGACAAATTTATGATATGTCCAAGTTGGTAAAAAATTCACCAATATTTGTGACATTGCAAGATTTTGATCACTCGCGGACTTCGGCCACTTTCTAGTTACCGGCCGGCAAGTTAAACAACCGCTAAGTGTTGCACATCAGCGATTTCAGAAGAAAACTTGTTTGCCGCGAGAATAGGAAACGGAACTATACATGATTATATGTAGAAGTAACTCATTCATATTATTACCCAACTAAAGAAACCTTAATGTCTAACAGTCAAAACCCCAAAGAACTTTATCTTTTTTCAGGTTTTGGAAGACCTCCCGTTTATCCACCCATCTGAAGTGAATGTACTGAACCAGCTATGTCGTTTGGGTACCTTGTACAAAGGGTTCAAGGTGTTCATTCACAAATATGGATCTACTCTGAGCTTCCAAAATGCAGGTAGGCTTTGCTGCAGCTATAAAACACCAGCAGGTAAATTATCTGGGTGTGTTTGACCTCCTGTTCACCTTTCACATTTAAATGAAAATATTTGCTGTACTTTAACAGTGTTCACGAATGGTGTTTCAAAGTAACAGGACTTTTGGTCCTGTAAGTTTCAGATGTCTGTCTGACCCATTGAAAATTCACAGGACCCATAGAATAAAATTAAACACACATTTCAGATTTAATATTTCTTATATTGGCATTGAAATTATTAACAAACATAAGATTTATAAACAGCAAACAAGTGTCACATGTCACATATAACAACTTCAGTCAAAGTCATTGTGAAATATACAGTCAGAAACTGGGGCCGGCAGGTTGTAGATTTCTATCGGACCGTTGGCGAATCTGCCGGATTTGTCAGAGGGTCAGACGCTATTCATGATCACTCCTTTAATATAAAAGTTTTTGGAATAAGGTGTATACAGATATCCTCTATTGAGTAAAGTGCAGTCGTACTGAGCCAGTGATTAGCACCAGACTTCAGCAGAATATTAAGAAAGCATGAATCATAGCTTTGTGTCAGCCACTAGCTCATGCCAGATTGTAAATACAATTTCACAGCTTGGATTTCCTCATCTTTTGCATCTGTATCAATCTCTTGTAAATCTTACATTTTTCAGTTGATTAGTAATTTGTTGGTCTGGGTACAATTTCATTATGGATATTTTCATATGATGTTCATAGTAACTGATAGAACACTAAATATATTACTGAAAGTTATACAGCATAATATGTTCTGTAAACTTGAGGACACCTTTTGTGAACAAACTTTGCATTAGGGAGGGCATAATGAGCTTTACTTGCAAGTTCATTTAGTCCCGTCATTGTGGTTTTAGGATAATGTAATTTAATTTTAATAAATCAACAATCAGGATATATTTTGATATGTGTTATGAGCTTGTGGTTGTTTTTTACCAGAAGTGACTTAACTCACCTTGACTGAAAGTGAGAGAGTTTTTCTGTTAACCATCAACTTGTGACTTCTCTCTTTACCAGTTTGATTGTTTTGACTTGATGATATACATTGACGATCTTCCCTTCCCAGAGAACTCCGTTTGTGGAAACCTACATGGAATGTACATCAAGGCTTTTTTGTCATGGTTTGGATGAAGTTCTCCAGGATTACAGGCAGTTGCTGCTGCAACTAGAGCAAGACATCATTGCCGATCCTCACCTCCCTGTCTCCCACCTACAATGTGCCTTACAACAGGTGAGCATATCCCTGTCTTACAGCAGGTGAGCATCTCCCTGTTTCTGCGGATCCGTGGAATTCCACGGATTTGATCGTGCTGGGGTCATTCTTGTGAATTGTCTAAACCTGCTGCCCCCAAGACCCTGGCTCATTTTCCCGTTTTGTCACTCAAACCCATTCTCATCCCTGCTTACAATTGGGGAAGATTTCACCTGATCAGGGAATGTATGTTTTAGTAGGGACATTCTTATAGAAAATTAGGCAATTGAACATAATCCTTATATATTTAAGATGGAGTTGCAGGGCCGAATACAGCTTTTTGAGAAAGGGGGAGGTGCACACTATTGGGAATGGAGGGGTGCACACTTCATTTTCATGAGAGTTTCAATGGTCATTTAATAAACTTTCAGGACAAAAAAGGGGGGGGGGGGATGCGCACCCCTGCACCACCCCTCTGGATCCGCCTATGAGTTGGGTATTGTTTCTGTGCTGTGTAGTGTTCGCCAGACTGATACTGTCAATTTGTGGTGAATTACTAGTCACATTTGTTAGGATTTATAATAAGTTCTCTTTTGATATCATGACCATACAATGTTAGGAAAAGCTTATATTTTTTCTTATTCTGGCTCATGTTATTTGCTTCTCTCCCCCTTCTGCCCAAGGTACAGTGGGAACCTGTTTCTATGTTCCCTAGAACACTAAAAACATCTCACCCGAATGCGCCTCCTCCAGAGCATGTGCACCAGCATCACTGTGACCTTACGATAACTCACTCTCTCCATTTTTGCTCAACAGGACGGTTGGGAGGAAAGTTCCTATGTTCAACAATCCAAGCTAATCCTCTTTCATAACAGTGTGCGAAATTTACACTGGTCCTGTGGTCCATGGCTAGTAAAAATTCATCAGGACCACAAAATGATAAGTTTGCAGTGGTTCTGGTGGCCAGTGAATTTTGTTTTGATAGTTAAGTAAATCTGTGAATGTTATTTTAGACCAGTGAAGTACTGACAGGACCACTAATTATTGTCCACTCACTGGTCCTGTGGTCTAGTGGGAAATTTTGAAAGGTTTCTTTCCCTGCATAATGAGTCATCCATCAAAATTAATGCTTGCATGTTCTACATATATCCGGGACAGTGGGGTAGCCTAGTGGGTAAAGCGTTGGCTCATCACGCAGAAGACCCGGGTTCGATTCCCCACTTGGGTACAATGTGTGAAGCCCATTTCTGGTGTCCCCCGCCGTGATGTTGCTGGAATATTGCTAAAAGCGGCGTAAAACCAAACTCACTCACTCACTCACTCTTCATATATCCTTTATACATCACAACCAACAGCAGAAGCGACGTAAAATCATACACGCACACTCAGTGAACCTATTACAGCAAATATAATGGTGGTCAACCTGATAATGCACCGGTGATGTCATACATTGTACAGGGAAATGACTGGAGGTCCACCGTTATTTCGTCGGAACTCGGGAGAGGACCACACTGGCTAATATACATTCTTTTTCATAGAGATCTTCCTTGGGGTACATATATGCATTTTCTGCGACTGAAAATGTCATGTGACAGTTGTAACAATGTTTTAATAAAAGACTGTACAATAAATAAAAAGCCTTTTTAATTTACTATACGGACCCCCACCATGTGGAGTAACCTCCCCACCACGCATGCGTGGCCAACCAGGTAAGCACCCTAGCCCGAATCATCATTCCTTCTGCTGTCACGAACCGTGTTACACGTGCTGAGACCGGATGCACACACTGGTGATGTTTCGCCGAATGTTGTTTTGCTCCGGCAGCTTACCGAAGTGCAGGCTCACCTGACCCATGATTCATTACGATCAGCGGCATCTCAGGTCATGTGCGCGGTCATTGGTATGCGCCAGCTGTGGTTGTCAACTTTGAGGTATTTGGCGGCAACACAGCTGACCTTGCTGGCCCTTCCGTTCGACTGGGCACGACATTGTTGCTGGGGGCACAGCAGGTCATTCAGGACAGCTGCAGCGACCTCCTTCAAGGATTCCAAGGCCTTGCTGGAGCAACTTTGGGGTTCTCGCTCCCGCACTCCCGTTGCAAGTTGTGAGGAGGAGCCCCACGAAGGGTGGAAGCAAGGAGCAGTCTACTGCATGTTCACAGCAGCCTTCTCGGGGTCGGTTGGGGAGAGAGGTAGACATGCGTGTTCCTCAGACGACTATGACCCTGCCGGTTGTTTTGCAGTGGACCTTCCACGCGCTTCTGCGCGACATTCCTGTGGGTGGTCGCCTGTCTCTGTTCCGGTCGGAATGGAAGAAGGCTACAAACAACCCTTGGGTGCTGTCCACCTTTACTGTCGGTCACTTACCACTATGGAAGTGAGGCTCGCCCCCGTGCTGTCCTGTTCGGTCAAGGCGGGAATTTGCGAGGTTCAGGCTTTGCTGGACAAGTCCGCCATAGAGCGTGTTCGATCAGAAGAGGAAATGTCGGTCTGTACGTTTCCGTCCCATACTCAACCTCAAGGGGTTAAATCGCATGGTAGAGGTTTATTCCTTCAAGATGGAGACACTTCGGTCGGGTGATCACCTCTGCTCAGCCCAGCGATTTGCTCACGTCGATCGACCTAAAGGATGTGTATCTTCATGTGCCAGTACATCCCTCGTTTGAGGGATACCTTCAGTTCTCGTGCGACGGGATTTGTTACCAATTTCGGATGCTCCCCTTCGGCAATCTACTGCCCCCAGGGTGTTTACCAAACTCATGTTGGTGCCGGCAACGTTAGCAAGGTCGCAAGGAAGGCATTGTCATCCTTACCTGGACAACTGGTTGCTGTGGGCACTACCTCAGCCAGCAAGTCTAGACTCATGTAGTGTTAGATGTTCTAATCCGTCTGGGGTTGATTGTAAACCTCAAGAAATCTGACCAAGTACCCACCCAGGACTTGGTTTTTCTAGGGGCGAGATTCACAACACATCAGGGTCTGGTTTCCCTTTCGCCCGATCGTATCACCAGAGTGCAGGAGATGGTCTCTTCGTTCCTCTGCTGTCCCCAGGCCCCGGCGCGGACATGGTTCCGGTTGCTGGGTCACATGGCAGCGACCATCTCTGTAGTGTGACAGGCGTGGTTGAGGATGCGCCTTATACAGCAGGCGTTGGTGTGTCTGTGGGCTCACTCGGAGGATCTGGAGAAGTGTCTCACAGTTCCCGAGTGGTTATTCCCTCACCTTCAGTGCTGGACCAATGTCAGGAATCTGTCCAAGGGTTTCCCCTTGAGCCTCCCGATGTCGGCTCTCAGTTCAAATGGATGCATCCCTAACGGGCTGGAGGATTGTTCTGGGCAGTCTGTTGGTGTCCTGGCGCTGGTCCAACATTGAAGCCCGACTTCGATTCAACGTGTTAGAACAGAAAGCCGCCAGGTTGGTACTCGAGTGCTTCCGGGGTTACGTTCAGGGTCAGGTTGTTTGTCTGCAAATGGACAACTGTACAGCCATTACATACATTCTGAAGCAAGGCGGCATGGTGTCTCCACCACTCCTTAGGGAGACGTGGGAGTTCCTACTGTGATGCGACCAGTACTATTGTCAGATGATTCCCTGGGCTGGAGAATGTTCGAGTAGACGCGCTCTCTCGCTGGATTCTGGCCCCGCACGAGTGGATGCTCAATCGGCGGATATTCAGAGTTATCTCCCAGTTGTACGGGTCGTTCCAGGTGGATCTGTTTGCGTCTGTCAGAACGAATCAGATACCACTGTTCTGCTCTCGAATACCGAACCAGAAGGCGTTGGCCTCCAACGCTTTCCTGCTGGATTGGTGTGAAGCCCATTTCTGGTGTCCCCCCGCCGTGATGTTGCTGGAATATTGCTAAAAGCGGCGTAAAACCAAACATAGTCAGTCAGTCCTGCTGGATTGGATGAACAGGGTACTGTGTGTGTTCCCAAATCTACCGCTGATCCCCAGTGTCCTCTCCCAGCTACCCACCCAGCCAGCTAGGCTACTTGTGCTACTGGCACCTCTTTGGCCGTCACAGAGCTGGTTTCCAGTAATTCTCAGGTTTCTGGCTCAGTCTCCTGTTCTATTACTTTTACAACCGGACATTCTCACTCAGAATGGGGTGCCGCACCCGGATCCACAGATCCAGTGGGTGGCCTGGCCTCTGTAAGGTCTAGCCTCGAAGCACGTGGAATTCCTGTGGCAGTTGCAGACACAATTATGACTTCAAGGTGGGATTGGAGAAACGTTCAATATGAGGATAGGTGGTCCTGCTATGCATGCTGGTGTTCAGATAGGGGTATTGCAGATCCCTTTTCTGCGGATTTAGTCCAACTTCTGGAGTTCTTTCAGTCTCATTTGGAAGAGGGTTTGGCGGCCTTGACCATTCGTGGCTACTCCACTGCTATTTCTACTTTTCACACCCCTGTCGATGGTGCTCTTCTTGGGCAGCACTCTCTTATACAGCGCTTCTTAGCTGGCGTGGATCTGGCTCGACCTGCTCTCAGGCAAACCAGCCCATCCAGTAGAAGGGTTGGTGATATTCACGCAATGTCGTCCGACCCGGCTCTGACCGTTTTCCACCCGGATCGGGTCACTATTCGCCTCCCGGATAGTTACCGTCTAAAGATCGATCACGCTTTCCACGTGACAGCTTCTGTTGATCTTCCCACTCTTACCCAACCTTCTACATCGGGGACCACTCCTACGTGTGCTCACCCGTTGGATGTCCGCAATTGTCTATATCAAACAAACGCAGGGTATCCGTACGGGTACCCAACTGGTCTGCTGTTACAGTGGCGGGAAGGCTGGGGTTCCTGTCGGTAAGCAAACAATCTCTAGCTGGATTGTTTCTGTTATTTGTGCAGCATATCAGGCTAAGGGTAAGCCTCCCCATGAGGGGTTGAAGGCTCACTTGGTTAGGGCAGTGGCTGTGTCCAAAGCTTTTGCGGCGGCACTGCCCATTGAAGAGATTTGCTCCGCCACTATTTGGAGCAGGCCGAGTACTTTTATCCGCCACTAACAGCTCGACACGCACAGATTGTGCTCAGTTTGGTTGGTCTGTTTTTTCCAGTGGACAGTGTCCTGCGACCATGACCGATTGAGTCTCGGATCATTGGTTTGGTTCTGTGTTCGAATTGCTCTTAACGACTATCCACTGAAGGCTCCTTTCACTCATTGCCATTTTATCTCCTGTCAGAGTTGACTATATTGTTATGGGTTTGCCCTTTCAGTGCTCTTACGTTATATAGAAACGAGTTCCTCCCCGTCCGTCCGTCCATCCATTCGTGGTGTCTGTGCGTCCGTCACACTTTGTCCGAAGCATATCTCCTAAATTATTCGGGATAGCTGAACCAAACTTGGGGGTTAGACTCAGATATGAATTTTATTTTTTGCTGTTTCATCGAAACATGACTTAGGCCAAAAAAAATAAATGTTATGGTTCCGATTTCCTACATTTCAGAACTAGGGTAGGTAGGTAGGTTTTTGGGGTTTTTTTGCAAAATATTTTTACATTACTTATGTGTCAGAATAAATTATTTTTATTATGTGGTGAGTAAAATTGTTAGGCTCGGCGGGAATATTTAGGGTCGGTCAGGAAATCGGAACCACAAGCTTTTTTTTTTTAGGCCTTAGGCTGTGACTATGAGGATGTCATCTTGTCCAGAGCAGATAGTAAATAAAAAAGGCTTTTTATTTATTGTACAATCTTTTATTAAAACATTGTTACAACTGTCACATGCCATTTTCAGTCGCAGAAAATGCATTTATATACCATATACCCCAAGGAAGATTCTCTTCAAAGAATTGGAAACCTCTACAGGTTTACCTAAGTTTCATTGTATTATCACATGGATACATTTGTGTCTGTGAAGTTTAGACTGTATCCAACAGAATGTAGCCATCCTGAACAAGCAGAGAACGTCTGCGGACAAAAGCAAAATGGAGCATCAACACTAGTAATGTTGACACCCTAGGTATGGTATCCATCGCCTCTTCACCGAATTTAAACATCAACATGGGATAACTGCACTCGGCGAAAAGAACAGTGACGCGAGAGCCAGGCAGCATTTACAACAAGACAGCGAGATGCGCTATAGCGCAATAGTTGCTCTGCGGCGAGCAGGTTTTGCCCGATTAGCTGCATTCTAGCCATCAACAGAAGAGGTTTAAAGTTCCTACTTCGGACCTGAACATATTTCTGAAACGGTCAACCAGCATTAGAACAAATCTAAGCTACCAGATTCGACAGTGATAAACTGTCTTATCGGAAGTCGCTATTGGTATGGCCTAGCAATATCTTAGGAAGGTCTTCATGCATACTGCAGTATACATTCCCTCAACCAGTGTTTTTGTGAAGAGTCATGAAAAAGATTACGCAAACAAAGAACCTGAGACTGACTTTGATAGCGCCTTACTGGCCTTCGAGAATGTGGTTGGCAAAACATAGTCTAATGCTCCCAAACACAAAGTTGACTCCAAGGTTTTTACACCCGGTCACAGGTGGGCTCGATCCCGGCACCTCATGCTCGCTGTATTACTAGCCTGGAGCCTTAGCCCATACGATTCAGTGAAGTTTACGCTCTATTCTTAACATATGGATGAACCAAAGATAAGCAGGAATATAATTCCATGTGCATCTTAAAATCCACAAAATTGTATGATTTACTTTTTCGATAAAAAGAAGGTGGTACCCAGTTTTTCTATATCAAGAGGATTGATGTAGTACGTAAATCAGAGGATGAGTGATACGATTCAGTGAAGTTTACGCTCTATCCTTAACATATGGATCAACCAAAGACAATCAGGAATATAATTCCACGTGCGTCTTAAAATCCACAAAATTGTATGATTTACTTTTTCGATAAAAAGAAGGTGGTACCCAGTTTTTCTATATCAAGAGGATTGATGTAGTACGTAAATCAGAGGATGAGTGATACGATTCAGTGAAGTTTACGCTCTATCCTTAACATATGGATCAACCAAAGACAATCAGGAATATAGTTCCATGCGCGTCTTAAAATCCACAAAATTTTATGATTTACTGGATAAAAGGTTGGTACCCAGTTTTTCTACATCCAGAGGATTGAAGAGTTCCTGAGGGTTTAATTGACCAGTATGTATGAATCCAAAATAGGTGGCTGACCCACCACCTTTCTGACAAATTCAAGCAAATAATGTGAGTCAGGATAAGGAAAAAATATGTATGTAATTATCCTGACTCAGGATCCCTCCCAACCGTCCCCACTCTCTACTATTTTGGCATATAAAAACATCTATTTGGCCTCGAAAATGGAGAGAGTAATGAGTTACTCATGGTCATGGGGACGCTGGTGCGGGAGGAGGCGTGTTCGGGTGAGATGTTTTTACTGTTCTTGGGAAAATAGAAACAGAAGTTTCCATTGTACCATGGGCAGAACGAGGAGAGAAGCAGATAATATGAGTCAGGATAAGTGTAAAATATCATTTTTATCCCCAAAAATACATATTTTTATACATACACAATGTTTGGATAATGTTTGACAACCTGAAAAGTAAAGTGTACATTTTAGATGTTTAGATTGACATCCTTTTATTATAAATCAGACTTCAAGCATTCTAAATATAATTTACTACAATGTCTCAAGCATTGTCATGATTGACATCTCATCACTTTGAATTTATGACTCACATCAACACAGCTCATCAGAGTGAATGAAAAGAGACTAAAGATAGGTAATTATTGAACTTGAGTGAAAGTATGTAGCTGTGGTTGGGAGCTCTTGTTCATACTGTCAGAAAGTATTGATTGTCCTTCATTTTTGTAACATTTAAGTTGTCCTGTTTTCATTTCAGTACCAACTGTTATTTCCTGCTCTTTCGTCTGTCATTGAACAGATTAAATCACATAAGGTAATCATTTTTGGTTGTATTATATTTTTATTTCTAATATTTCTACTGTCCATGTTAGTTATATTTCTTTTTTTTCGTAAATCTTTAAATGCTGCAAAGATTCAGCATAAATATTGTTCATAACAGTACAACATTATTTTCAAAAATAATGGATTAGATTTGTTAAGGACAAATGTTATTTTACCAGTTGAAACAAGGTCTTGGAGAAGCTTACAAATATCTGATTTGTTTAATTACAGGCTCATGGTTGTTACATTCTGGACATTATCCACAAGAACTCTATATGTGGATTACCATCTGTGAAAGAAGCTCTGAATAGGTGAGCTTTCAATATCAGCTTTGTAGATAATGCTCTGTTTGAGTTGCCTCCCTTGGTTTGTATGTCTTGCAATAGAACCTGAAATTGACAGATGAATCTGTTACATCTGTTGAATCAGGACCAAATAGTCCTGTGACTGACATTATTAGTGTAGATCTAAATAATTTGGAAGTCGTGCAAGGCAAATTACTTGATCCTGTTAGTTGCTTCTTATGCCAAGCATGGGTTGCTTATTGTTTTGTTAGTGACGACGGAGTTCTGACTTGGAAATTGGTAATTATTGTGATATTTTCATTAATCATGCACTGTTCTTTATCATCACATTATGTTTCAAAGCTCGAGGACCCCCATCATCCCCCACAAGATGTGTCAATAAAAATGTTTGTTCAATTGAGTAGATCAATTTTCATGATGTCAATCATTGGAATATCTTGTACAGACTGACATCATAAAGCAAGAATACATAATGACAGGAATATTGCTGAGTGTGGCAAACAAAAGTCACCTCAGACTTCAGCACATGATGCTGATACTTTCTTCCCCTAATGGTGTCCAGTGTTGTTGATTGAGAGTATGTATATTTGTAGGGTACTCCATGTCTGTCATGGTGTGATGTTTAAGCAGCTGTGTGCTTGGCTGCTCCACGGGAGTCTGATCGACCCATACCGAGAGTTCTTCATACAGAAGGCAGGCGGGGGACGAGGTGAGCAGACGGACGAAGACACGCAGGATACACAAGATGATGAGCTTGGCATCATGGGAGTAACTGGGAGGCAGTTGCATGTAGGTGCTGAAACTCTATGCAGAATATTAGCAGGAATGATAGTCAAAAGTATGGTGCTAAGTGTTTGGTACAAGAAAGAGTGAGTGAGTGAACGAGTTAAGTTTTAAGCCGCTTTTAGCAATATTCCACCAATATCACAGCATGGGACTCCAGAAATGGGCTTCATACATTGTACCCATGTTGAGAATCGAACCTGGGTCTTCGGTGTGACAAGCGAACGCTTGAACCACTAGGCTACCCCACCACCCTGGTACGAAAAAGATATTGTCATGGAAATGGAGACTGTACAGATAGCCTGTAAAATGCTGTCATGGAAACAAATATGATGTGTGCAAATAACACGTTACTATTGTCATGAAACAAAGATTGTATTCCACAGCGCCTCCTGAACCTGTCGAGTGTGGCTGGTGAGACTCCCTCAGTCAGTCAGTTCACGGTGCAGGCGGACCTGCTTCCCACCTACATCCCGGCCAGGGTGTCCAGCCACATCCTCTTTGTAGGGGAGTCAGTACAAATGTTCGAAAATGATAGACACAAACCTCAAGCACAGAAAATAGGTAGGAAGTGCTTTTGAGCAGTAACTGATTGAAAAGTTGGAAGAGAAATGACTGATGATAGAATAGAAGAATAGAATAATACTTTAATGCCTTTTCAGGAATTTGTGTTACATCAGCAGAGCTACTGACACATTAGAGAGATACCAAACATATTTACATAAATTCTTTGATTTAGGTATCTTCACATTTGTTTAAGAGAGATATGGTACTTGGAATAAAGGATGTACGGGCTCTCTTAGTTTTCACAATTGGAACTTTGTAGCGGCGGCCTGAAGGGAGGAGGTTGTATTCCGAATTTAAGTAGTGAGTACGGTCAGATATGATTTTGACAGCTTGATTCACGATTTGCTGCTCATATATTGATGATAAACATTCAAATCTGACTCCAGCGATTTTACTTGCAGTGTTACAATTTTGGCTATTTTAGATTTGAGATGAACTGAGAGAGACCCGTACCAACAATGGAAGGAAAATGTTAAAATACTCTGATAAATGCTACATAAAAAGATGACATCACAGATGGGTTAACATTAAAAGATCTCAGTTTACGCATGAGATGAAGACGTTGTTGACACTTTTTGTATAGGGCTTCAGTGTTAGAGTTCCAGTTCAGCTTAGAGTCAATGAAGGTTCCCAGATACTTATACTCCGATCATAATCATCCAGTGAGTGAGTGAGTGTTGTTTAACAATGCAGTCTAGACTGCCTCATTGACACTGGTCATCATGATAGTATGGTTTATCATTTGTACAAATTTTCATTATTAATTACAGACATAACTTTTGTCATTTTGTATTGTCATTTTGTATGGTATGTCTAGTTCATGTTTTCTTAGGCTTCTAATAATCTATAAGCCATAGCTGTAATTTTCTAATATCTGAATCCTAATATATCACACAATGAAAATATATTTTTTAATACAAACTGAAATGAATATTCACGATCACTCAAAGCATGTGAGATAATCTTATAGCCTTCTGGTGTGAGTGTTAGTGTCAAGTTGATGTCACATCGTGGTACAAGTCCGAGTGCCTTGGTGGATGCTGTTGTGATATGGCTGGAATTCCAATCCCAGTTAAAACCACTTAAAAATTTTGCCTGAAAATGTTTTCCTTATTTTTACAATTTTATTACAGCCAGTAATTCCCTGTCATAGTTGAGTCTGATTTTGTATGTTGCAGGGTCAATACTCAAACACCGAGAACAGGAATTTGCCAGGGCTCTACATGAGCTCTCTAAGCCGTCTCTATTCAACAGTATGGAGTTTGAAAGTCTCATAGAAAAGATCAGGACATACGTTGCTGAGGTACGTGTGTCGCACAACTAACACAGTAATTCCTGACTGACATTCATTGCATTACTTCCTCTTTCAAATCATTAAGATCTGGATTAGAATTGGTCTTCAACAACCCATGCTTGTCGTAAGAGACAGATAAAGGGATCGGATAGTCTGGCTTGCTGACTTGGGTTGATGTGTCATATGCCGTTGAAGACTGCTATCAAATTGCTGAGTACTGCGTTAAACAAAGTTCCTGTTTCACATGAACCAGCACGATGTGAATATAAACAATACTTGTCATTACTTGGAAATCCTGATTTGATGTGTCACATTTAATATGTGGATGGATGCCTCACTTTCATGGCTAGTGAGTGAGTTTAGTTTTACGCTGCACTCAGCAATATTTCAGCTACATGGCGGCCGTCTGTAAATAATCGAGTCTGGACCACACAATCCAGTGATCTACATCATGAGCATCAATCTGCGCAATTGGGAACCGATGACATGTGTCAACCAAGCCAGCGAGCCTGACCACCCAATCCCGTTAGTCGCCTCTTACGACAAGCATGGGTTACTGAAGGCCAATTCTAACCCGGACCTTCACGGGTCACTTTCATGACTAAACTGATGTTATTGGTAATTTTAAGCCCTCTGTGCAAAAATGTTGTGATTTAACTTAAAATGCACTCTGGTCACATGTACATACATGTATGTATTGTATTTCACTAATTGACTGTTGCAAACTGTAGAGTTAATGTCTTGTTATCAGTATTCTATGACGAATTCACAAGATTGTGACAGTATTAATGTTAATAATTTCACAAACCTAACTGCAAATGATGACGGATAATATTTAACAAGGATGAAAAATACAGGTTTGCTCATTTTTCAAGTGGTTTGTAATTCTAATGAAATCAAAACCTGTTATCGAGAAATTAGGAGTGTATATGCAGCCTATTGTAAGTTTCTCTATATCTACTTCATCACTGGTGTAAAGACAAGGGTCAGTGTACTTCAAAACCACCAACAAAATCACTTACGGGTACTTGAAATTACTTTTATTCATTTTCTTGCCGTGTTGATATCCAAGGAGCTTTCAGTCTTTCATTTTAATTTCCTCATCTTTATGATGCAATGATGTTTTTGTGAAGCTTTAGTTAATGTGTATATGAAGTTGCATTGACTATTATTTGGTGTCCAGTAATACACAAATAATAAATCTTTTGTACTCACTCATCTAGGTCTCACCAACTCAATCACACTAACTCACTCATTCACTGACTGTCACAATCATTTGCCAAGTCATGTTTTTGTTATTTTCCAGCATTTATGGGTGTTGATAGTCCAGGAGTCTGGTTTAATCAACCAAATCCGCATCATGAAGGATTTCTACCTATTGGGCCGAGGGGAGCTGTACCTGGCCTTCATAGACCAGGCCCAGCAGCTACTGAAGGCCCCGCCCACCGGAACAACAGAGCATGGTGGGAACCAGGACACTGACATCAGACCCCCCACCCTGACATACGTCAATTACACTGACTTTTCTGATACATTTGTTTGATTATGATAATTTCTATAATGGTATCGGGGCAGTGGGGTAGCCTAGTGGTTAAAGCATTCGCTCGTCACGTCGAAGGCCCGGGTTCGATTCCCCACATGGGTACAATTTGTGAAGCCCATTTCTGGTGTCCCCCGTCGTGATATTGCTGGAATATTGCTAAAAACGGCGTAAAACCATACTCAGTCAGTCAGTCAGTCTATAATGGTATCAAAATGATATTAAAAACAAAGAATTATCTCGGATATGTTGCTGTTGCTGAGATTATTTAGTGTAAAGTATAAGAAACACATACAGATAAGTTAACTGTGAAGTTTCAGGCGATGTAGTACCAGTAAGCATTACAGCTCCTCAATATAACGTAATCAGTTGAGTGTTTGTTTAGGCCTGAAAGTAACACCATTAATGTGCCACGTAAGTGCGATCAGGGCTGTCAGTTCTCAACAGCCAACACTGCCAGGACAAATTCCACGAACAACACAATAGATTAAATGAATCATGTAAAGTATACACAGGCCTTGTTTCCATCGTTCCACTGTGACTGTCACAAGTCATTTCTTGGATTGATTGACGTTACACGTTGTCATCATCAGAATGGAGAGACCGCCTCAGTGATGTGCATCCGCCCGGAGAGCGGAAGGTCGTGGGTTCGATCCCCGACCGCGCCATACCAAAAGACGTTAAAATATGGTACTTGTTGGTCCCTGCCTGGCGCCCGGCATTAATGGGTACAACAAGGACTGGTCGGCTCGTAGTCAGTATAATGTGTCTGAGTGGGGTATTCATGCTTCACTATGGTATGGTATCTCAGTGGGCTAGCTCTATAAAACCAGCTTAAGTCTGGGCTAGTACAAGCAGCCGCACATACACATACACACGCATGCACGTCGTCATATGAGCGAAATATTCTCAAGCACGACATTAAACCCAATTTCACCTCACCTCACCTCACCTCACCTCACCTCACCTCACCTCAGAATGGAGATTAATATTAGTTGTCAGGTTAATGCTGTACAGTTAACACTTTCCATTTCCAGATGTCAATATGGCGTATCAGCAGTCTGCGAGAAATGTGCTTCTTGAAGATGAAAATTTCTTTCAACACTTCCACCTGACTGTTACATCTAAAGCTGCAGAGAAAAGTAGGCCAAGCTTTTATTAATGTGTTAACTGATACTGGTGATATCATGTGATGTCACTACGTCTGTAACCATGATAACATTTTTGTCTATTATCGTCGGATCACGTAGCAGGAGTAATAGTAACAGCTACTTAAAGAACCAGGTGTTAAAGAACAAGCAACAAGAATAACGTTCATTGATTTTTTTATGGTACAGTATTGAAAAGAAGATAATGTTATTTCCATCATTGCACTGAACAATCACCATTATGGGTACTGCCAATATTTTGCTGATCATGGGTTTAATCCCCATTTTTATCCCCGCCGCACGTTTAGCTCGAAGCAGGGGATATAGTACTAGGCTCCGTCCGTTCGTATGTACGTACGAATTGGAATATCTTAAGAACCGTTGACTAGATTCTTTTCATATTTGGTATTTAGGTTCATCACAGTATAAGAAAGGTCCCAGTCATGTTTTGTGACCTTGACCTGAATCTCAAGGTCACAAGGGGACTTTAACGTTTTACCCTTGTCAGCGAGATATCTCAAGAACCGTTCATTAGAATTTCTTCATATTCAACACCAAGTTTTATCTAGGGAAGGCACAGGGCCCAGTGACAGGGTGACCTTCACTTAATTTTCAAGGTCACAAAGACACTTTGAAGATTTCAGTGTGTTAACCTGCACGTTAAGGTGGTCAGCGAGATATCTCAAGTACCATTCTCTGGACTTTCTTCCTTTTTGACACCAAGCTTCATCTAATGAAGGCGGAGGGCCCAGTCAATTTTGGTGACCTTCACATAATTTTCAAGGTCACTACGACACTGAAGATTTCAGCATGTTAACCTGAATTCACTGGATGTTCTTCATAGACTTTCAAGACTTCCCTTGAATATTTTTCAATAAGCAATTTTTTTAGTACCATTTTTGCATATTTCATACCCTATGACATCCATGACAATGTCTAATGTCAGTCTTGAAAATATTTGTGTGTTTGAACAACTAAAGAGCAAGATATCAAGAGTGGTTGACTGGTCATTTTTTTGTTGACATTTAACTTCATCTTAATCTTTCATTACTTTTTAAGTTTGATTTGATAATTTGCGTCGGGGGATTATGTCACCTTAGTGACAATGCTTGTCTCCCTACATGTGATTGTGAGTTGGAGAATGACTGGTCTGTGTCACTGAAATGTTTGATGTAGCATTAAACCCACATGACTGACTGATTCATCTACAGAGAGTGGTCTGGCGGAGGATGGAACCTCAGGTGGCACAGCGGAGACAGGCTGGAAGTGTCTGGGTCTCACCTGCACCATCCAGTGGCCTCTACACATCTTCTTTACCCCCAACATCCTGGACAAGTGAGTACACCTGCAACTTCAACCTCTTCATTCCTGAACACCTTGCTTTGATAAACATTTAAACAAATCAAATGTAAATGCATGCTTTCTTTTATGTATGTTCTTTGTGCATTTCTTGATCATGTACAACACAATTACACATTTATTAAGTTGAGCACCCAAGTACTACAGGCACACGGCCACAATGCAGAAGATCCAAGTATTAAAAGTACATGGTTATCATGTAAATACCACTCAGATAAGAGAATTACATGATCAAGATCACTACATAAATACCACGCACTCAAACACACACCCTTGCACAACATGCTAGAACCACACAAGTAAGGTTCCGTATATTGGTATTCTGCTTGTCACCCATTCTTGGTTTCTACTGCAATGATACTTGCTGAGTAGTGCTAAAGGTAAACCATGCTTATTGTCTCACGATGCAGTCAAAATGTTGAAACAATGTCAGAGTCAAATTCAAATAAAATTCTAGGTACAACCGGATATTCCGGTTCCTGTTGGCAGTAAAGAAAACACAGACTGATCTGCAGTCATGTTGGACTTTTCAAATGCAACGTAAGAAGAAGACTCTCCGAACAGAGGAAGCGCCCAAGTGGCAGCTGAGGACACACATGATGTTCCTTGTGGATAATCTACAGTACTACCTTCAGGTGAGTTGGGCACATAGTGGTCAGTGGTACTTCAGCAGATTGCCCTGCTACTGTTACAGTCAGTTGTTCGAGAAAGCTGTCACCAAGAACAGACTGCAATATTCAAAGCTGAGCCTCTGATTGTTTCAGGAAATTATTCCAATAAGTTTCCTTGCACTTAAGGCTGAAACTGTAATCAACATTGTCTTTTTTAGTCTAATGTGCTCTTGTTTGATACAGGTTCAGGGGTAAATATTCTTATGCACAATGCACAGTCATCTAGTACATCATTTATGCTATATGTGAAGTCTTGGTCAAAATGTCCATCTAATGTAAATTGATTCATTTGGCTTATACAGGTTGATGTGATTGAGTCTCAGTATGGCATTCTGCTGGAGAAGATCAACTCAACAGGAGATTTCGAAGCTGTCAAGTTGGCCCATGAGCAGTTCCTAGTCACACTACTGTCACAGAGCTTTGTTCACATGAAATCTGTAAGTTATGTTCATGCTACAATGTCGCTGCATTTGCTCTTAACACTGATCAGTAGAAGCCTGGTCTCAAGCCAGATAGAAGGCTTGCTTGTGAGACTACAATGAAGGAAACATTGCTAACTGCAGTGTAGAACAAACAACTTAGAATTGATCATAATGCCATGCTTTTTGTAAGAGTCGTCTCCATGCGGAGATGATGGCTCAAGTAACCTTGTCACCTACGCCCCTGTTATCTCCTGTGCAGAGTTGGTTCTTTGGCAGTCCAGAAACGTGTGATCTTTGATGCGAATCACAGTTTGAACTGATAGCTGACATGTTCTGGAATACTGTTTAAAGGGTTAAACCATCTCACTCTAACACTTGCACTCACTCTCACACTCACTCTCACACTCACTCTCACACTCACTCTCACACTCACACTCACTCTCACACTCACTCTCACCCACTCTCTCACACTAATGCACTCACTCACTCTGGTTTTGCAGGTATCCAGCTGCCTGTCTGACATCCTGGAGCTGTGCTCCACCTTCTCCCGACTTGTGAATGAAGCGGAGTCAGCCAACATCACACACACTATTCCACAGCTCCAGACCATTGCAAAGGTACAGTAAGGTTTTAGATGCTTGTGATCGTAAAGTCCAAATTCTTTACATTTAGGAATAGCTGGCCTCTATGTTTTCAATGTTTCAAATCAACTTTCCATGGGATTTCCAGTTTGAATCAACTAATAGCAGCTTTTATAGCCATGATTTACCCTGATTATGTAGGATATCTCCATGATAGATACTAAAACAGTCAGAGTGAAAACAATACTCTACAGCTATTCTGCACTGCAGGGGTTATGGATAACTGGGAAATCATCCCATGATGATGCAACTCCTCTGGCATGTTCATGGCATGAACCAAATAGTTGATCAACTTGCTCTGGGAATATTCTGCAGCACTTTCGCACTGCTGTCATTGTATTTGATTGCTTACATTTCATTGTTGCATCACTGAAGAGTTGCAGTTTGCTTTGACAAATAGTTTATCAACAAACTATTTTTGGTTTATTTTTTTGTTTTAAAAGTCAGTATACTGTCACATGAGGCATCGTTATTTTCCATTTTTGTCCATATTATGTATGTGGAATATCATCAAATAGTCTTCCACAATACAAGATATCTTTTGTGATCATGATGATATGTTAACTGAGGAGTGTTTACTTTATGTCTGAGTGTATTACAGGCTGACACTGATGGTGTGTTATGTTGCTTGCAGAACTTTCAACGTCAGTCCAGCTTGTTATTCAAGATACTGTCCAGTGTGCGGAGTCACAATGCCAGCCCCCATCTTGCCCAGTTGTTGCTGAGACTCGACTTCAACAGATATTTCTCTACAGCTGGAGGCCAGTTGGGCAGGTAAACCAGTGCACACCATTCTCCCATTATAATGTAAATGTTGCAGCTCAAAAGAAAGCTCATTTCATAACGATTATTCTCCAAATTGGCAAGTTGGTTGGACAATCAATGACTAAAAAGGCGAGTTGTGAAATTCACTAACACATGCCTTAGACATGTTGTCACACTCAGTGACAGGGATGTCACGTTTCTCCTATCCCACTATCTTCAAAAGATTGTGATGCAATGAACAATGCAAGGGCTGCCTGATCTTCTTGTAGGGCCTTTTGAATAGTATTTCCTCTTTGTCTGCACATTTTGAGTTTAGTTTATATCAGGCTTATCTCCATGTAGAGATTCCAAGGTTTAGTAGTCGCACTTACCTCCCTTTGGTGAGTGCAGAACAGGATAGGTCCTTGTTTATCCCAGTGTAGATCCTCAAATAATGAGGTCCCCAGTTATCCTTACCTCCCTTTGGTGAGTCCAGAACAGGATAGGATCCCAGTGTAGATCCTCAAACAAAGTCCTTTACCTCACTTTGTGAGTGCAGAACAGGATAGGTTGGAGATTGTTTATACCAGTGTAGATCTCAAACCATTGGTGTTGACCTAACTATTTGGAGAACAGGATAGGTCCTTGTTTATCCCAGTGTTATCCCTCAAACAATGAGGTAGATCATACTTACCTCCCTTTGGGAGAACAAAGAGGGCCCCATAAGATTCAAACAAAGCTTTACCTCCCTTTGGTGAGTCACAGAGCAGGATAGGTCCTTGTTTATCCCAGTGTAGATCCTCAAACAAAGAGGGGTCCTCATAAGTCATGCTCTTACCTCCCTTTGGTGAGTCCAGAACAGGATAGGCCCTTGTTTATCTCAGTGTAGATCATTAACTCAAGAGCAGATAATTTTACTTTATCATGAGATGGGAGTGGTTTCCTTGGCATATGCTCAAACCAAGAGGTTCCGTGTAGTCATGCTTACCTCCCTTTGGTGAGTGCAGAACAGGATAGGCCCAATTGTTTATCTGGTTTATATTTGTTATTTTAAGTTCCAGTGTAGATCCTCAAACCAAGAGTGTAGTAGTCATCCTCAAAGTGTGCTGGGAGTAGGATAGGCCCTTGTTTATCACCGTGTAGATCCTCAAACCGAAAATACATGGTTCTGTAGTCATCGCTCTACCTCCCTTTGGAGAGTGGGTCCAGAACAGGATAGGTCCTTGTTTTTCCCAGTGTAGGTTATGTTGCTCTTGCTGTTGAGATTCCAGGTAGGTCTTTATCATGTCATGTTTCATGTGGTGGGTGGAATATATATCAGAATATGTCCCTGGCATCATGCTTGTCTCATGCCTTGTTATTTCAGTATCTGAGAAACAGGATCACCGCGACAATGGACATGATTATATGGGAAGAAGGAACTATGTAGGAGATACTGACTAAGGAAGACCTTGTAATATTTGTAACTTAATTGCTAAGTTATCAATTCATTGTCTTGTGATACTGTAGCATTGAATAATGAATTGATGCTTTTGTTGAAACTGTATATCAGATGTACAGCTGAGATGATGTTCTTGTGGTCTTGTAACATGTTTCCTATGCTACAGGTAGGAGCACAGGCAACAAGTCTAAGATGCTGAATTCTTTTTGCAGAGTTATGTCCTGCAGAATGTCACAGTTGATGATAAATGACATATTGTTATATTGTTTTTTTTCTGTAACACATTTCACTGTATAGTGTAAATAATATGAATAATAAAATCAAAATCAAATGTTTTATAGTAATCTCTGTGTTAGTATATTGTTATTTCTGTCATATCGCAAATGGGAAATCGGAGATATATAGGTCTCCAGTGCCTTACATAAAACGCTAAACAGGAGAAATTTACAAACGTGCAGTAATCAATTATTTGCCCATAACTTGATTATTACGAGACATGATGTGCCTGGCGTGTTTTTGATAACGTATTTTTATGTTTTGGAACCAAACAAGTCTCTGTAATAATGGAATGTACTCTAGTGAGAATTGCATGTGAAAAAATGGCCCTGTTTGCAGCTGATCCAGACACTTTCTTGCAAAGTTTGTGACAACAAATGAAAGAAATTCAGCTTAAACAGTAAACAATAGAGAAATGATTTCACGATTACCCAGTTCCTGCTTTGAAACTCTCAAAACAGTACCACTGGCTGTTCGTTATACACCCTGTCTCACCAGGATCAACGTAATGAACAGAAATTGCATTGTGTTGACAGGTCGCCATGCGTAGGCATTGTGAAATCACAAAATGCAGTGTTGCTATAATTGAGAGGTCATGTGTGGCCATACTCCTTGACAAATAGTACCATAGATATCGGCTAGAAGAATACATTTGGAGAGCTTGAAATTGGACACCTGTCTGTTGCCGACTATGACGTCATAACGTCAGCGTAAGGAATGGGTGGTGTTAACCAGGTTCAGTAAACATCGTTTGTTGAAAGGCTGTGTTTCAGGCCTTTCCTTAAATCAGATCGAAAACCCACTCTTGACCCCAACCCATGTCGGTTCACTCATATCTCCCCTTACAAAGAGATTGCATTTAATTGTCATGATAGAATGGAGATAAACACTGTCCTTTCAGTGTATAGTTAAGTTACCTGTGGACTGAACCAGAACTAGATTTAGATTTTCTTGTTCCGTATCAGATTCAATGTAGCGCTGATAAATCTAAAGGATGTTTGTCTCTGGTTTGGGTGAAAAATGCCCTTCAAATGCCCTACAAGCATCCGCCATCCACCAACTTGCATATAAAATGCGTCTCTTGCAGGACAACTAACAGCAGCACACCCGCCAAGCGACAGCTCGCAAAGAAACCAGACAATTGAGCAATTTCAGGGTGTCTGTACCATGGTGAAGTAAAGGATGAAACATACGGCGCAATACTTGTTAGGGATCATGCATATTGTTGAGGACATGTGTACGTATAGTCGTAAATTATTTGGAGAGTCTTTGCTATAGAAATATCCAAAAACATATTCATGAACCCTAAATCTACGTTCAGTCGGCGACCGTTCACTGGTGTATGGTATCTCGGTTCAGTATATGTCCGTCCCCTACAGACGCTGAGAATGATGTATAGCTCCCTCACGTAAAGATCGCCCTTGTGACGCATGACGGTGCGAAAAGAGGTCATCGGTGGACGATAGCTTTAGGTAAAGTGGAAGTCCTTTTACTTAGTGACCGAGAGCGTGAGAGATGGTTGCGCGAACACATCAACACCCTGGCACTTCACCAAGCTGTCAGATCAGCTATTAAAGGAAACTATGAATGTTTTGAGAAACCTCTTCGGCATAGTTTTACAGTATCATACTTTGGTTGTCAGAGTAACAAATCTGGTATAGAATTCGAAACATGAACATTATGGACTGGGGTTCAATGACGTCAAACTACCACACTGTAAAGGAGGGGGTTAGGGATGTAACACTGTCGGTTATGTCCCAGACTTTCCAGGATTGGGTTCATTGACGTCAAACTACCACACTGTCAAGGAGGGGGTTAGGGATGTAACACTGTCGGTTATGTCCCAGACTTTCAAGGATTGGGTTCAATGACGTCAAACTACCACACTGTCAATGAGGGGGTTTGGGATGTAACACTGTCGGTTATGTCCCAGACTTTCAAGACGATTGTCAATGGTTCATGTAACACTGACGTCAAACTACGTCAAACTACCACACTGTCAATGAGGGGGTTTGGGATGTAACACTGTCAGTTATGTCCCAGACTTTCAAGGATTGGGTTCAAGGATGTCTAACTATCCGCAATGTATCTCGAGGTCAAAGGTGTGGTTGCAGAGAAGTCAAACTGTCGGTAATAATATATATTCCTCACAAAAAAATAAGCAACCCGTATTTTCAGTGTAATATCTTTATCAATCTCGATAGCGATGTTTGCCGACATGTTACTGAAAGGTAAATATTCAATGAATACATAACCTTTAGTGACTGTCAGGTTGATTTATCTGATAACATTGATAACATCCCCCGAACACAACCACACTCAGAAACAACAAGCAAAATGTGTGGCATGAATGTGCTCCGCTCTTCACACATGCATCCTGATCGGCGTAAACCTACCTGTAATCATTCCTCTGACTTCATGTGTATCTATGATAATGCCCGTCCATGGATGATAATGCCCGAGAGAGAGGTGTTAACGATGTTGTTTAGATCAACAACATCACGCATATGGACTGACCTGCAAGGTCACTTGATGTTAATCCCCATTGAACATGCTTGCGACATTATTGGAAGTCGTGTTTACGGTCTCCATGTTCACCCCTAGGCTCTAGATGACCTTGAGCAGGCGTTACAGAGAGAACATTCAGTGCTCATGGTGGTCATACGCGTTACTGAACACTGCTTCACTGTCCAAAACTGACTTGAACCTCAATGATAACATTTTGCTCCATCAATGCAGCACATTTTGCACGACTGTTTCACGGGGTACATGTTTTTGATGATTTGTAAGTCTATTATTGCTCAATACCAGTTCATTTCATTTTGTAAATCGTGTGTACATATGTTTCACCTTTCTATTGCATCATTGCATTATTTGCAATTTCAATAAGGGAGGGGGGGTCGAATCCCCTGAACCCCCCTTCTGGATCCGCCAATGGTATGTGTACCACAGACTTTCAAGGATTGGGTTCAAGGATGTCTAACTGTCCTTTATATCTCAGGTTTAATGGTGTGTTTCAGGGACGTCAAACTGACTAATATGGATAGAGCCAAGCAACAATTTCATGTCTCCAGCTTCAGGTAAAATGAAAACGGAAAACGTGTAAATACTGTCACATGCGAGTTGCGTAGCAATGTTTTGTTCATACGGTAGACAGAAGTGTCTATGTACATGTATTTAGACAGAAGTGTCTATGTACATGTATATCGAGAGGCAACCGAAACATTGTAATAGTCTACATGTCATCTGGATATATTGTTAGAGAAAGGTAAGTGCGAAATCGGTTACTCCAGAAGCGCTCGTTAAACCTCCATCATCTTCATCAGTCTTGTTTAATGCCACTTGGGACAGTATCTTTGCTTTGCCACGTAGTAGCATCAGGTGCAAGAAAAAACAAAAATGGCGTGTACCGCTCTATCTGCTGAAAGACCGGGGTATATAATGATTCGATCAGATCACGATAAGTCACTTTGAGGGTCGTAAGCAATTGGCAACCTGTATCCATTTGTGAAATAAGGCAACGACCAATGGTTGAGAAAATACCGTATAATTTTCACATATTCCACATATGATTACATTTGTTTCAAAACATTATTTGATATTTTCTGTCTTAATGTCAAACCTCAATGGCAAACAGTAGCGAGCTTGAAGTCAACATCTGAATTCCATGAGGTAGAACGGTTCGAATCCAATCATCGGGAGCGATAAAAAATGTTAAGTCAGGTATGACAGGTTATTCTGTTGGAAGTGGATCTTTATTAAGACGTGCAAGAGGGTAAAAATAAGGTTAAACAACAGAGGTACAGATTGTAAAAGGTGGTTTCAACCAGGGGTGGATACAGCTTTTTGAGAAAGGTGTGTGTGTGGGGGGGGTGCACACTATTGAGAAAAGGAGGGGTGCACACTTCATTTTCACCCGTTTCAATGGTCATTTAACAAACTTTCAGCACAAAAGGGGGGGGTGGGGGTGCGCACCCCTGCCAAAAAACAACAACCCCTGCTAACCCCCCTCTGGATCCGCCTATGGCTACAACCCTCTGCCGTCATTCAACCCTCTGACCCGACAATCAAGATAACACCAGAAAACCCACAAAACGCTAGATGACGTCTCAGGAGGTTATAATGGAGATGAATGACTGAGATAGAGTAGGATCTCGGATATTTTGTAGCTGAAGAATCTGCGAAGACGTAAATGACTTTCGGATGTCATTGTTTGTATAACTTTATTTTTCGAATGTGAAGTTACAGAGCATGTAAAACTTGCTTCATGAAGGTACTAACGCGTGTAGCGAAACGGCACATGTAAAGAATACACACGCTTAGAATCCATAAGTCAACCAGTAAATATATAGGTCCTTATATGAAACGTCGTATCATAATAGAATAAAGAAGTTGCCATTAATAAAAGTTAACTCAGCTGTTTCTTTCCAACTTCTAACATGTCAGTCAAACAGTTCATACGTCAACCATATCTGTAGGTTTAATTTAGGCTTTTGTTCATAATACAAGAAAGTCTTATCTGAGTGTCTGAGAGTATCCACTGAGCAAATATACAAATAGTAAGACAAAAATACCACTTTGTGTGTCCGTTCTAGCATCTATCCAGTATCCCAGCGTTCTTACATGTAATCTGTTATTACAAGGGTATTTTTAGGTCATGGATAATTCATGTTTTCCCATAATGTTTCATGTCATGTGTGTAGGTCATAAGGTGTAGATTTATAAACGATGTATGGAAAACATACAAGGCTTACTTTACAAAACCCCTGTCACTCTGTCTTCGTCACTCATATAGCCCAGAGGTTATTTACGGGCACGTGACGTGAGGTGACGTCTTTTGTTCTCAGAGCGTCAGATCACTCTCTCCTGCAAGCCACTGTTGGTGAAGGGCAAAAACCTACGTTCCGAAAAAGCCTTCAAGAATTCTGGAGAAGTGGGCAGGCACCACTGTATCTCCAACACCAAGTGATATCTGGCTGGTCCATGTAAGATATGTTTATATTATTTATCCATTACACCTTGTACGGAAATTACGAAATGTGGCTGTCGTGAGCTCTGTTACGAACAGAATCAGAAGTAAACTGCCAGGCGAAACAACATAGATTTGTGTATGATGGTGGGGAAATATAAAGATACAAGAACTGTCTATTCAACGGTGATGCATTTGATTTGGGTATCATAGTAGTGTTTGGGACCTTAACTTTTCAGTGTTTCAGCAACTGTTTTACCTAGTAACGTCATAAAGTCTATCATGTTAAGGATCAAATCAAGTATTCTAGTGTATGCTTCTTTTTTCATGGCGGTTTATTTGGTAGACATTGCAGATACACGTGTAAAGACATTTCTGTTTCTTCGCTACTGTCTGTCTTGTGTTTGCGCTTAGAGCATGGCCAAGTGATGTGGAGTCAAGCGCATTACAAATGATCTATATTATTATTATTCATTGTATTTGATTGTATTACTATACATCATCTATATTGGTTGCGTAAGATCTAACAATTTTGTCCATGACAGACTCCGTTGTAATGTGATGACAGGCATCCAGGCGTCGATTATATTTAATTGTCCTTCATTTCATCTAAGATCGCATGCCTCTATAGTCCTAACTGCCTTTACCTACATCGAAGAACATATTTTGAACATTTACGTAATAGTGATACGTTTTAAGATCAATTTCGTTATAATTATCTTCCTTCGTGTTAAATATATCTTAAGAAATACTGGAGGCGGTTACATCACCATATCTTTAATTATTTAAAAACTTACTTCCAACTTTTGTAAATTTATATTGAAGAGCACTGAACAGCTACATAATATCATGTACACCTACGGTTGTATTAATTTCCAGATAATTCACTTAATATGAAGGTAGTGATCACCGTGTTCGTCGTTGCTGCGATTGCGGTGTGCGACAGTCGTGTACTGTCCGCACCAAGATTTGCTCAGGATGGTGCTTCAAACAGAGGTTCGGGGACGTCAAGAAACGATCAGATTGGCGCCGTGGATTCCACCGGAAGTTCTCCCGTGCTGGAATACCCTTACCCCCCGGCCTGTTACCCCAACGTATGCCCAATGTATACCATCACCTCTAGCTCCTTCAATGAGGTAATACTGGCGACCCCACGCTTTTCCCGCTATGTTTAATGCTGTAATTATTTCTTCCGAATCATTATCAGAACAAAGAACAATAATTTGAACATTGTTTTTACCATTAACCGTATCAGAACAAAAAAACAATGATTTGATGCCTTTTACCATTAACCGTAACAGAACAAAGAGCAATAATTTGATGCCTTTTTACCATTAACCGTAACAGAGGGAAAAGAGCAATAATTTGATGCCTTTTTACCATTAACCGTATCAGGACAAAGAGCAATAATTTGATGCCTCTTTACCATTAACCGTAACAGAACAAAAAAACAATGATTTGATGCCTTTTTACCATTAACCGTAACAGAGGGAAGAGCAATAATTTGATGCCTTTTACCATTAACCGTATCAGGACAAAGAGCAATAATTTGATGCCTCTTTACCATTAACCGTATCAGGACAAAGAGCAATAATTTGATGCCTCTTTACCATTAACCGTAACAGAACAAAAAAACAATGATTTGATGCCTTTTTACCATTAACCGTAACAGAGGGAAGAGCAATAATTTGATGCCCTTTTACCATTAACCGTATCAGGACAAAAGAGCAATAATTTGATGCCTTTTTACCATTAACCGTATCAGGACAAAGAGCAATAATTTGATGCCTTTTTACCATTAACCGTATCAGGACAAAGAGCAATAATTTGATGCCTTTTTACCATTAACCGTATCAGGACAAAGAGCAATAATTTGATGCCTTTTTACCATTAACCGTATCAGGACAAAGAGCAATCATTTGATGCCTTTTACCATTAACCGTATCAGGACAAAGAGCAATAATTTGATGCCTTTTACCATTAACCGTATCAGGACAAAGAGCAATAATTTGATGCCTTTTACCATTAACCGTAACAGAGGGAAGAGCAATAATTTGATGCCTTTTACCATTAACCGTATCAGGACAAAGAGCAATAATTTGATGCCTTTTTTACCATTAACCGTATCAGGACAAAGAGCAATAATTTGATGCCTCTTTACCATTAACCGTAACAGAACAAAAACAATGATTTGATGCCTTTTACCATTAACCGTAACAGAGGGAAGAGCAATAATTTGATGCCTTTTACCATTAACCGTATCAGGACAAAGAGCAATAATTTGATGCCTCTTTACCATTAACCGTATCAGGACAAAGAGCAATAATTTGATGCCTCTTTACCATTAACCGTAACAGAACAAAAACAATGATTTGATGCCTTTTTTACCATTAACCATAACAGAGGGAAGAGCAATAATTTGATGCCCTTTACCATTAACCGTATCAGGACAAAGAGCAATAATTTGATGCCTCTTTACCATTAACCGTATCAGGACAAAGAGCAATAATTTGATGCCTTTTACCATTAACCGTATCAGGAAAAGAAGAATGATTTGATGCTTTTACCATTAACCGTATCAGGACAAAGAGCAATAATTTGATGCCTTTTACCATTAACCGTATCAGGACAAAGAGCAATAATTTGATGCCTTTTACCATTAACCGTAACAGAGGGAAGAGCAATAATTTGATGCCTTTTACCATTAACCGTATCAGGACAAAGAGCAATAATTTGATGCCTTTTTACCATTAACCGTAACAGAACAAAGAACAATGATTTGATGCTTTTTACCATTAACCGTATCAGGACAAAGAGCAATAATTTGATGCCTTTTTACCATTAACCGTATCAGGACAAAGAGCAATAATTTGATGCCTTTTTACCATTAACCGTATCAGGACAAAGAGCAATAATTTGATGCCTTTTTACCATTAACTGTAACAGAGGGAAGAGCAATAATTTGATGCTTTTTACCATTAACCGTAACAGGACAAAGAACAATGATTTGATGCTTTTTACCATTAACCGTAACAGAACAAAGAACAATGATTTGATGCTTTTTACCATTAACCGTATCAGGACAAAGAACAATGATTTGATGCTTTTTACCATTAACCGTATCAGGACAAAGAACAATGATTTGATGCTTTTTACCATTAACCGTATCAGGACAAAGAGCAATAATTTGATGCCTTTTACCATTAACCGTAACAGAGGGAAGAGCAATAATTTGATGCCTTTTTACCATTAACCGTATCAGGACAAAGAGCAATAATTTGATGCCTTTTACCATTAACCGTATCAGGACAAAGAGCAATAATTTGATGCCTCTTTACCATTAACCGTATCAGAACAAAAACAATGATTTGATGCCTTTTTACCATTAACCGTATCAGGACAAAGAGCAATAATTTGATGCCTTTTACCATTAACCGTATCAGGACAAAGAGCAATAATTTGATGCCTTTTTACCATTAACCGTATCAGGACAAAGAGCAATAATTTGATGCCTTTTTACCATTAACCGTATCAGGACAAAGAGCAATAATTTGATGCCTTTTTACCATTAACCGTATCAGGACAAAGAGCAATAATTTGATGCCTTTTTACCATTAACCGTAACAGAACAAAAACAATAATTTGATGCCCTTTTACCATTAACCGTATCAGGACAAAGAGCAATAATTTGATGCCTTTTACCATTAACCGTATCAGGACAAAGAGCAATAATTTGATGCCTTTTACCATTAACCGTATCAGGACAAAGAGCAATAATTTGATGCCTTTTTACCATTAACCGTAACAGGACAAAGAGCAATAATTTGATGCCTTTTTACCATTAACTGTAACAGAGGGAAGAGCAATAATTTGATGCCTTTTACCATTAACCGTATCAGGACAAAGAGCAATAATTTGATGCCTTTTACCATTAACCGTATCAGGACAAAGAGCAATAATTTGATGCCTCTTTACCATTAACCGTAACAGAACAAAAAAACAATGATTTGATGCCTTTTTACCATTAACCGTAACAGAGGGAAGAGCAATAATTTGATGCCCTTTTACCATTAACCGTATCAGGACAAAGAGCAATAATTTGATGCCTCTTTACCATTAACCGTATCAGGACAAAGAGCAATAATTTGATGCCTTTTACCATTAACCATAGCAGAACAAAGAACAATGATTTGATGCTCTTTACCATTAACTGTATCAGGACAAAGAGCAATAATTTGATGCCTTTTAACCATTAACCGTAACAGAACAAAAACAATGATTTGATGCCTTTTACCATTAACCGTAACAGAGGGAAGAGCAATAATTTGATGCCTTTTACCATTAACCGTAACAGAGGGAAGAGCAATAATTTGATGCCTTTTACCATTAACCGTATCAGGACAAAGAGCAATAATTTGATGCCTCTTTACCATTAACCGTAACAGAACAAAAACAATGATTTGATGCCTTTTACCATTAACCGTAACAGAGGGAAGAGCAATAATTTGATGCCTTTTACCATTAACCGTATCAGGACAAAGAGCAATAATTTGATGCCTTTTACCATTAACCGTATCAGGACAAAGAGCAATAATTTGATGCCTTTTACCATTAACCGTATCAAGACAAAGAGCAATAATTTGATGCCTTTTACCATTAACCGTATCAGGACAAAGAGCAATAATTTGATGCCTTTTACCATTAACCGTATCAGGACAAAGAGCAATAATTTGATGCCTTTTACCATTAACCGTATCAGGACAAAGAGCAATAATTTGATGCCTTTTACCATTAACCGTATCAGGACAAAGAGCAATAATTTGATGCCTTTTTACCATTAACCGTATCAGGACAAAGAGCAATAATTTGATGCCTTTTTACCATTAACCGTATCAGGACAAAGAGCAATAATTTGATGCCTTTTTACCATTAACCGTATCAGGACAAAGAGCAATAATTTGATGCCTTTTACCATTAACCGTAACAGAACAAAGAACAATGATTTGATGCCTTTTTACCATTAACCGTAACAGGACAAAGAGCAATAATTTTATGCCTTTTTACCATTAACTGTAACAGAGGGAAGAGCAATAATTTTATGCCTGTTTACCATTAGCCGTAACAGAGGGAAGAGCAATGATTTGATCATCTTTTTACCATTAACCGCAACAGAAGAAAGAACAATAATTTGATGCCTTTTTACCATTGACCGTATCAGGAGAAAGAACAACAATTTGAAGATATTTACCATTACCGTGCCAGAAGAAAGAGCAATAATTTGATGCCTTTTTACCGTTAGCCATAACAGAGGGAAGTGCAATAATTTGATGCCTTTTTACCATTGACCGTAAAATTAGTATATCTTTGAATTACAAATGCGATAGACTTTAACAATTAGTTAAATCATCGTGTCCCTACCATGTCGTGAATGGGCCTTTAATTCGAATGTAGACAGAGTTGGAGTGGCAACAGACCTCGCACCGTAACATAACTGAAAATGCAGTTATTAAAAGTTTCGGTCTTGTCTCTCTGATGAGCAAATAACATATCTTATGATCTGACTAGACATTATTACATTAAAAACATTGTTCATAGAAAATAGAAATCACCCTTCTCGATTCATAAGTCTGGCATGGTATTTGTCAAAGAAAGATATCTCTACTTGTCTTTTCTGTTCAGCAATACGAAAGGAGAGAATACCCAGCTGGAAAGTGGCTGAAAACACCCAGAAGAAAATACGATGTACGACGTATCGAATCCCAAGAGCTGATCGACTACATTGTCAGCGAGAATTCCCTGAGTGAGTAGCACAAAGATTGAGACACGACCGGTGGCCACTGTATATACATCCTCAACACTATACAGTAAGACAACCCGTGAGGATCCGGGTTAGAATATTGATCTTCAGTAACCCATGCTTGTTGTAAGAGGCGACTTACGGGATCGGGTGGTCAGGCTCGCCGATTTGGTTGACACATGTCATCTCATCTCATCTGCGTAGATCGATGCTCTTGATGTTCATCACTGGATTGTGTGGTCGATACTCGATTATTTATACACCGCCGCCATATAGCTGGAATATTGCTGAGTGCGGCTTTAAACAACCAACCAACCAACTATACAGTACGGCAAAGGACGATTCTGATTTTGACATGATATTGGTTAATGAACACCTGGTGTCAGTGATTTGCAGTGATCGATTTATATAACTTTCACAGCCATTTTGCCTTTTTCGCCCAATGGAGCTTGTCGGTTTTCACAGGGAAGCTAAATATATGAATAGATTTGCGCCAGCTGACTTCATACCCAGACTCAAAGCTGTAGAAACAAAACTAACGAACAGGAGGACGCTTGTTAAATTCTGACGCAGCGGGGAGTTGCAGTTTCAAACTATTCAGTGGAAACAAGTGTTTTGATACACATTTCACAAAAAAAGCAGTATATTCCCGATTTTAATAAAATAATCATGTGAAACAAACTACAGGCACGGATTTCATATTAAAATTATTACAATAAAACAAAACTGACTTAAATACTTACTTCATGTTTACAATAGGATGATCTGAATCTTGAAACAATGGACTAGTTGTAGGTTACATGTATAATACAGAATCCCGGAACAATTTCACAACGAATGGAAATGAGTTTTTCCAAAGTACTTGAAATAATTACAACCCCCCACAAATTTACTAAATGTCGTAATAACATGTTCTTAATCCACTGTTAACCATTACAAGGATCGTTTGAAGGTACATATTTTGGCAACATTTTTAGAATTTAAGATAACATACACTAAAACCTCACCTTATTAACAACCTTTTTATCGGCTTTCCTCAAACAAGCGTTTTGACATTCTGACGTACTGGAAAGATATCCATGAATGAATTCTAAACTTCCTGCCCAAAAAAGTATAGGCCTACACTTCAAAATTGCAAGAATTGTTATAAAACAGGGATGATACAAGGTGTTCGAGATAAGGTAAGAATATTCTGCTCCACCGGAACCACTCGTCACAAACACATGCAAAGGCAATTCAAGTGTTTATCTGAAAGAAGCCCCTTTTGAACACCGACGCGCCTTTAGAACCATATATTCCCCTAATTATTCAAAAGTGAAATATGCAAGGCTGTCAGCTTAGAAATATTTCGAAGTAATGTTAGCAGAACTAATCAGAATCCATGATTTCAAGAACAAGTTCACAAGTCGTCTACCTAAATAGTGTCTCGACTGTTGTGTTCAGCCTTTTGTTTGAACATTTTGACATGCTCTTATCTAGCCACACACATGGCGGGAACTACCTGATCTCATGTAAGTTGACTGTTTCAATCTTGTTATTGTTTGGGCTAAAGGTCTTTCCACTTCGATTGTACAAGCCCGACTATATCATCAGGATGTGTTCAGGAATCCTGAAAACTGTGATGATTCTAGGTGTTCGCAAAACAGAGAGTACATCCTGCCCCGCCGGTGGCACCCGTCATAACATATGCAAAGGGTAGTCAATTGTTCACTTGACAAATATCGAGAACTTACCGTATAAACTAAAAAAGGGAATTTTGAAATTTCTTTCACATGTCCACCATAAAACCTTTCGAATGTTGTTATGTTGATCGAACATACCAAACGTGTGTATGTAGGTGAGGTGAGGTGAGGTGAGGTGAAAATGGGTTTTACGTCGTGCTTGAGAATATTTCGCTCATATGACGACGTGCATGCGTGTGTATGTGTATGTGCGGCTGCTTGTACTAGCCCAGACTGAAGCTGGTTTTATAGTGCTAGCCCACTGAGATACCATGCCGCAGTGAAGCATGAATACCCTACTCAGACACATTATACTGACTCCGAGCCGACCAGTCCTTGTTGTAACCATTAATGCCGAGCGCCAGGCAGGGACCAAAAAGTACCATATTTTAACGTCTTTTGGTATGACGCGGTCGGGCATCGAACCCGCGACCTTCCGCTCTCCGGGCGGACGCTCTAACCACTACACCACGGAAGGTCCGTATGTTTGTAGGGAATGTCTAATACCAAGATTCACATACAACGGCCTCCGTTTTTGTTTCTATTTATAGAAACAACGTTGCAGTACGCTGTGCCGGTGGTAGTCCAGGTGGACGTCCCTGTCGGCCACGCTGCCGTCTACAAGGGATTGATGGCTCAGATGTCCTCCGTCGGCGTCATAATGCAACAGAAGCGGAACGACATAATACAACAACTAACGGAGCTGCGACGGCAACAGCAACATCTGCAGCCCCACCAGCTGATGACGGAGCTGCAGAAGAGAATGCAGCCGATGAAGGATCAGTACCGGACCCTGACGGCGGGAATCTACAGTGAATTCACCACCTTCGCCCACGACTACAACATGACGGTGTACCTGTACCTCCACCCAGACTACCATCTGAACCCACCAACACCCACCAACCCTAATGTCACCATCGTGGACTCACCTGGATTCTCGGTCTATGCCAAGTAGGTAGTGCAGGAGGACTATGCCCATTGTCAGTCTAGGTGATACATTTTCTGTTAGTGATCAGGGGAAACATCGACAGCTAAATGTAGTCACATCTTAAAGCCTTACTTACATGACGAAGAGGGAATGAGTGTGGTTTTACGCCGCTTTTAGCAATATTCCAACAATATCACGGCGGGGGGACACCAGAAATGAGCTTCACACATTGTACCCATGTGGGGAATCGAACCCGGGTCTTCGGCGTGACAAGCGAACGCTTTAACCACTTGGCTGCACCATCGTCCTGATGACGAAGAAAGTAGTGCTAGAAAATCTGAATCAAATTCACAAGGCCTCACAAGTATCTCGAACCTTGAGCCCCTTGAAATGTAACGGAGAGTCCACTGTGCAATATGTTTTCCACAGTCATTTTGTGTCAATTACAAACTACCATCAGCATTCTTCTAGGAGAATAAAGGTCCAATAAGAGTGCAAGCGTCAGCGAGTACGGTTTTAGGCCGTTTTTAGCAATACTCCAGTAATATTAATACTAGCGGGGGAACACCAGAAATGGGCTTCCAATAAGAGTGAGTGAGTTGGATTTGACACCGCTTTGAACAGTATTCCGTTTACATCGCGGAACGTCAGCTAAATGTGGCTGGAATGCCCGAAGTGATTCAGATACTATATAGGCTTTGCCCAGTTCGGTGAAAACCACAAGCACGGGGATGCTGCTGATAAATTCTGGCAACGCTATCGTGGCGAGCTGGGATTCCAACATTTCTTTTAAATATAGTGAATGTGACTTTCTAAGAAGGAAATATAAAGATCGACAGTTTCGCATACATCTTACTGTATATTTATATTCATCCCGGCATCATTTCTTAATATATGTGCACAGACTTTTCCATTTTCACTCTTAATACCACTTCACAAAATCTCATTGTACTTTCGGCGTTTTGCCGTTCAATCGTTCTTTGGTTAGTTCACATTCATTCATTCATTCATTCCACTTGATAAATTATATTTGCAGGGGCTACATGGACGCGAACGCAGCCTCGTCCTACGACATAGCCCTGAACGTTTCTTCATCCGCCAACGTTGAATTCAACAGCTACTACTTCATCGACTATCTACAACGCTACAATGGCTTAAACCGATTTTTCTATCATGAGGTCTGGCTTAGCACTGATCCCAATAAGCGAATCCTGTGAACAAAGACACTGCTCTGAAGCTCAGGGTGTTATGTGATCAGACGTCAATGTCACGTTACCTGAATTCTTTAGTGTGGACAGTGAGTGAGTGAGTTGGGTTTAACGCCGATCTGAACAGTTTTTGGGTTATATCACGGTGTGTCAGCTTAATGTTGGAAGAATACCGAAAGCAATGCGGGTCTTAGATGCTTACTGCTTCTGTGAAAGCAACATATCTGGGCATAGGCGATCTTTGGTTTCTGACTCGCCAAAGTAATGCATCTTTACACTGGAAATTGAGGCGCACTATTCCACTGCTTCACCCATGTCACCTGGACAGGGAAGGACAAAGACAAGACTGGGATCATGACTATTTCAAATCCTACATCCACAGACCTAACAGCCAACAGGATGGTGCCTTCATGATGCCTAGCATGTATCCTTGTGTGTTTATTAAAAAAGTACACCCTCATAATTGGGCTTGGTCTTTTCCCTTCAAGGTAGTGCTGATCGATATTACGCTGTCATTATCGACTCTTATGGCGAAAGATCCGGGTTCAAAAAATTGGTCTTGTCCTCTCAACACGTAGTGGCATTATATTGTCCTCTCCACAAAAAGTGGCCTTATATTGTCCACTTAACATAATATTATAGTGGCATTTTATCGTTCTCCCAACACCTCGTGGCATTATATTGTCCTCTCAACAACATCGTTCTCCCAACACCTGTAGTGGCCTTATATTGTCCTCTTAACATAAAGTGGCATTTTATCGTTCTCCTCGTGGCATTATTTTGTCCTCTTAACAGGTCTCTTAACAGTAGTGGCATTTTATCGCAATATATTGTCCTCTCAACACAAAGTGACCTTATATTGTCCACTTAACATAAAGTGGCATTTTATCGTTCTCCCAACACCTCGTGGCATTATTTTGTCCTCTTAACAGGTAGTGGCATTATATTGTCCTCTCAACACAAAGTGACCTTATATTGTCCACTTAACAGGTAGTGGCATTTTATCGTTATCCCAACACAAAGTGGCCTTATATTGTCCACTTAACATAGAGTGACATTTTATTGCCCTCTCAACACAAAGTTGCTCCTTCAACACATAGTCGTTTTATATTGTCCACTTAACAGGTGGGGACAAATGGTGGGGGTTACATTATTTTGTCCTCTTTAACAGGTAGTGGCATTAAAACATCGTTCTCCCAACACCTCGTGGCATTATTTTGTCCTCTTAACAGGTAGTGGCATTTTATCGTTATCCCAACACAAAGTGGCCTTATATTGTCCACTTAACATAGAGTGACATTTTATTGCCCTCTCAACACAAAGTTGCAACGAACTGACTTCTGAACACATAGTCGTTTTATATTGTCCACTTAACAGGTGGGGTGGTGGGGTAGCCAGGTGGTTAAAGTACAATGTAATATAGTAACATTTCATTGTCCTTTCAACACACCTCGGTGGCATTATGTAACACAAAACCTAACAAGGACGTTACAGGTAAAGGATACTAAACTCAGCAGCAGTCCCAGCAGATTTAATTCAAGTGCTTCAAATGCCAGCATTTGCCTGTTCCTACTTCATCATATACTGAGGGTTAAAGAAATTAGGGATCACATGAAAGCACAAGTGTTCCGTTATTTCTTCCAGGTTTCTTCACAAGTTGTGCGATAAAAGCTTTGAAGAAACCTGGGGAAAAAGTAAAGGAATACTTGTGCTTTCATGTGATCCCTTATCTATTCCCTCAGTATATCTATCGGGTCCAGGTAATCGAATATACACAGAGTTACTGTCATATTTCTACTTATATATCCATGTCAATATCTCCAACTAGGCAGACAATGGCCCCCTTTTTTAGCACAGCTTCCCTCCCCTTAAATCCAACATGTACAAGGCAGCTGTTAAAACAAACCATGGAACATTCTATGTAATCTCAAGTATGACTTAAACAACAATGTTAATCGATCGTGAACATGTCACTACGTGTGGTATATATCCTTCAAACCATTACATTTCGGAAGCAGTCGAGCCCACCGTATGATAAATGTACAAGTACACAGAAACAGCGATATGCGCCTGAGGTCAATATCACCTGATACCAGATCGCAGTGTAACTGCCAAGCACATGCTATGGTGATTCGTGGTGACAGATTAGCACTGGCACATGTTCAAATATGCAGGCCGTGTACAAGGAAGGGGTATTGTCAGATAGGGTTAATGATCCGCGGCGATCCACAGTCTCGTCAGTATGTTCTTTACTGCTTGATGTTGGACTTACTTACTTACTTACTTACTGGATGGCTGACTGACTGACTGACTGACTGACTGACTGACTGACTGACTGACTGACTGACTGACTGACTGACTGACTGACTGACTGACTCACTCACTCACTCACTCACTCACTCACTCACTCACTCACTCACTCACTCACTCACTCACTCACTCACTCACTCACTCACTCACTCACTCACTCACTCACTCACTCACTCACTCACTCACTCACTCACTCACTCACTCACTCACTCACTCACTCACTCACCCACCCACCCACCTACTGGCGTACTTACTTACTTACTTACCCATAAATGTGGACCCTTTGAGTTTGCTATAACTGTAGTTTCTTTTATATATACTCATGCCAATAATGGTTGTCACCCCCATCCCCACCCCAATCCCACACACACCTCACACACACACCCAACCCCCCTCTCCAATTAAAAAAATTGAAGGGGGTGACAACCATTATCGGCATGAGTATATTTCATAACAGACTAAACTGGCAGACCCTTTAAAACACAGTTACAACGATCTATACTGTATTCATGTGATGTGTGATCACGCATTTGACTTTATTATGGGCCAGTGGCCTTTTACTGAATAAAACTGTCTGTCTGTCTGTCTGTCTGAATCTGTTGATCAACCGATAACACCCCAGCAGCGTATCGATGTTGTGTTCATCCAACCAAGAGCACCCATGTAACTGGAGCCCTTAGCCCAACGTACAGGTCGTAATGGGCGACTTAAGGCAACCACCAACATACACAGTACTGTATGCATGTATAAGGAATGCAAGAAAATACTTATTGCATATGTGTGCGTTCGTGCGCTCGTACGTTCGTGTGGTCGTGTAAACTATTCCTATGAATTATGAACTCGTATGCATCGTGTGAACTAGTTCGTATGAATTGTCATTTTATATCATTTTTCTTATTTTGTTGCATGTCATATATACACTCCCAGTTATTATACACTTTAACATTCCAAGCTAATAATAGTTTAAAATTAAACAATAATGAAATATTGAATTAGAATTAGCTTCATGTTCATGATGCAGATCGGGATATTTGATCGCGTATTTGCAGCAATAACCTGATTTGAAAAAGCGACAGAAAAAATCATGGAAATTGATCCGGCGTTGCGTGATAAGACGGGAACAAAAGACAACAACCCCTTCGAACTAACCACGTAGAACTAGATTGTAACTAAGTGTAGCTGACACGGATTTACTTGTGGAAAGGTATGTTTACCTGAACCGAGGACAATTTATGGCTATGGGATACTTCCTGTCCTGCAGGTACTTGCTGGCTGGTGTCAGTACCCTTTGTACATATCCGACTTGGGCACTGATTGGGTAATACTTACAATGGCAGAAGGATTATCAGAGATATGACAGTTATACACTGAATAATAGAACGGTTAATGATATAATCACTGCAACGCTTATGCTGTTTGGATAAAATACATGTTTACTCTTGACTCCGGGGACGAATTTCCGAACTGTCTTGCAAGGTGAGTTGCCAGCATTACCATTTTGAGCGGTGATTTTAATGTTCAGGGGACAGCGCCCTGATGTGAAATACATGTATATGTACAACGTCATACTATATAGTGCATTTGGTTTTTGTTTAACGCTGCCAACAAAGCAATTTTCCAGCTTTATGGAGGGTGTCTGTACATAATCGAGTCTGGACCAGACAATCCAGTGATGTTTTTGGTTTGGTTTGTTGTTTTACGCCGCTCTCAGCAATACTCCAGATTATGACGGTGGCGGTCTATAAATAATCGAGCCTGGACCAGAAAATCTAGTGATCAACAGCATCAATCTACACAATTGGGATACGATGACATGTGTCAACCAGGTCAGCGAGCCTAGGTTGCTGAAGACCGATCCTAAGCCGGATCTTCAGGGGTTGGACCTTATGTACTGAACAAGCAGATGTCTTTGAACTCGTTGTATCTCTTCCGCCATGGCATGTTCTCGTTCAATACATATGGTCCAACAGCACTAAGGCGTTCTATATTTTATCTTACTCTTAACGTCACTACCTAAACTTCCGCACTGAGGTTACCGTGACCCGAGTATCACTCCACCCAAGGGACGTATCACACATGTATTGACGTCATCAATCAAGTGCCACAATCTGATCACGAAAGAAACAAAACAGAATACTATTTGACACAAACTATCTTCCATTAGATAACTATAATGTTTTCAAAGGGAATGCCCATGACCTAAATGATGTTTAAATTTAGATGTTTCCGGAAGGATCCGAGTATTGCCGAAAACGTAGATCCGGAAACCGTGCAATACGGAAATTGGAGTGCAATTCGGAATTCGCCATGTTTGGCGTATTGCACGGCTGTGTTGCAATCGTAAGATTAAATGGGTATGTAATATATAATCTAGTTCATGTAAACTACATGACGGTAGAGTTAGTGAGTAAGTCAGGTTTATTCCCGCAATGAAGACTTTGTGTCACGGCCACGTGTAAGAAGGAATCACTGAGTGAGTTTAGTTTTACGCTGCACTCAGCATTATTCCAGCTATATGGCGGCGGTCTGTAAATATGGAAGCAATGACAAACTGATGCAGGTCTGGGTTGCTGGTAAACAGTTTAAATCTTTACTGAAGCCCAAGAGCACAGATCGGATGTAGTCTGTCATAAAGACCCTGAAACAAATATATCCCTGAAAGCCCATGCAAGTCGAGAAAATGTCTCAAGATTTGAAAATCTCTGGAAAGTCTCTGGACTCCTTTCAATATATTATATGAGTATAATTTAGGAAAAGTTTTTTGCTGTAAAATTGGTTCTTTCAGAGACTTGATGTTGGTCTGAGGTAGGTTTCTAAGTTACACAATCATAGACATCGTGGATATAGGATATGAATCCACAATCATAGGACTGAGCCTTCTCACTAGATATTTACGAGGTAGACATATACCGTTACGGTGTATTATCAGTAGGAAGGAAGGCAGGCATAAAGCCATAGTGACCAAAATAAAAACTGATAATGTTTCTTACTGATATACAGTTATTCAGTCTTAAGTAATTGATGTGTTCCTAGTTTGACGTTAATAACACCAATAAGGTTTATCTCATTCTAACGCTTTTTGATGTCTAATGCTAGTATTTATTTCAGGTATCCTTAGTGGCTGACTCATTCAGGGTCATCCTCAACCACCATGAGAAGGTCATCCAAGGTCGCTAATGGCCCCGGCCAAACGGACATGGTCAGTGGGCTTGGAGGGTCGACCTTCCTCCCGAAAACAGGCCGCAAGATCCTCACAGAGGAAGAACAGCTTCAGCGCGACATCAAGTTCCACCCAGAACTCCAATCAGCACTTGAAGGATTCGACGTGTTCCTCAAACTCCTTGACGCTAAGAAGAGGGACAAGGGGCAACTGGTTGAATCCTTGCGAGCGAACATTAGTAAAGCATTTGAGACGTATACATCCGACAGTATACGTGGCATCCTGGGGAACTATCTGGCAGTTAAAGGGTTCGCGAAACGCATGTATGATCTGTATGAATTTGCCATTGGTACGATTGATATCCTCACGTCCGATTTCATCCACAAGCATCAGAACGCTATCGAGGTGAAGCTGGTGATGGAGATGAGGAAGAGCCTGTGGACAGCCACAGACAACAGTTGGTCTCTTGGGGAGAAGGTTTCCCAGTCAGGACTGTTCAAGTACCTCCTCGCCGACGTGAAAGCCATCGGGAAGACCCTTCCAATCATATCGGTAACCTATTTTAACTTTAACTTTTAACACAGTCACATATGACGCCATGTATGGTCCGGGGCACGGGCTGCCTTTAAGAAAGAGTTGCTTCCAATAGCTACGTCAGAAACCTATGAATGCCGGTTCGAATCCCGGTTCGTGCTGGTATATTTTTCAGTTTACCCGTGCCCGTGTGTTTCAAAAAGACCTTCTGGCACCCACACCCCATCATCAATATATGCCTTGAATACTGTACAAAGCGATGTTAACCACGCTCGCTCACTTATATATGGTTGGTTACATATTATATAAACATGGTGATGAAATCTCGATTCTGCTTTTATATATCCATTGCAATTCCAAAGTCGTCTTTATTTAAGCCACCTAAACTTTATGGATGACCTTCTATGTACAGAGATATCTTTATCTGTGTGGTGAAAGTCCTGCTTCGTATTTTTATGCTTGACATATTTCATCATTTCCTCCCATCATCATCATCATCGTCATCATACCTTAAAAACAATTCAGTTGAGGTCCAACCGCTTAATGTTAATTGTCACGAGTACAATGTGTCCCCTTCCAAATCTAAATATATACTCATGCCAATAATGGTTGTCCACCAGCAACTGTGGCTGAGTGGGTTAGATTCCACAAGCCATGGTGGCTGAGTGGGTTAGATTCCACAAGCCATAGTGGCTGAGTGGGTTAGATTCCACAAGTCATGGTGGCTGAGTGGGTTAGATTCCACAAGCCATGGTGGCTGAGTGGGTTAGATTCCACCAGCATCTGTGGCTGAGTGGGTGGGTTAGATTCCACCACAACTGCTATGGTGGCTGAGTGGGTTAGATTCCACAAGCTGAGTGGTGGCTGGGTTAGATCCACAAGTGGGGTGGCTGAGATTCCACAAACCATAGTGGCTGAGTGGGTTAGATTCCACAAGCCATAGTGGCTGAGTGGGTTAGATTCCACAAGCCATGGTGGCTGAGTGGGTTAGATTCCACAAGCCATGGTGGCTGAGTGGGTTAGATTCCACAAGCCATGGTGGCTGAGTGGGTTAGATTCCACAAGCCATGGTGGCTGAGTGGGTTAGATTCCACAAGCTATGGTGGCTGAGTGGGTTAGATTCCACAAGCTATGGTGGCTGAGTGGGTTAGATTCCACCAGCAACTGTGGCTGAGTGGGTTAGATTCCACAAGCTATGGTGGCTGAGTGGGTTAGATTCCACAAGCCATAGTGGCTGAGTGGGTTAGATTCCACAAGTCATGGTGGCTGAGTGGGTTAGATTCCACAAGCTATGGTGGCTGAGTGGGTTAGATTCCACCAGCATCTGTGGCTGAGTGGGTTAGATTCCACAAGCTATGGTGGCTGAGTGGGTTAGATTCCACAAGCTATGGTGGCTGAGTGGGTTAGATTCCACAAACCATAGTGGCTGAGTGGGTTAGATTCCACAAGCCATAGTGGCTGAGTGGGTTAGATTCCACAAGCCATGGTGGCTGAGTGGGTTAGATTCCACAAGCCATGGTGGCTGAGTGGGTTAGATTCCACAAGCTATGGTGGCTGAGTGGGTTAGATTCCACAAGCCATGGTGGCTGAGTGGGTTAGATTCCACAAGCTATGGTGGCTGAGTGGGTTAGATTCCACAAGCTATGGTGGCTGAGTGGGTTAGATTCCACAAGCCATGGTGGCTGAGTGGGCTAGATGGCTGACTTTGTGTGCTGGCGATTAGGTGCCTCACGTTGAGAGTGTGCGTTCGAATAAAGGGGCGGGGCCCAACCTCAAGAAAAGGATCTCTACATTACAGAGAACGTGTAACCCCAAATATAGCACGTTATACGTTGATGCTTTTCAAACAAAACAGATCCTTTCTGACACTGCCCCGGGGATTTCGTGTTAAAAGTACATACATATGATGCATGAACATAATAAAAACATCTTTTAAAGATTAAAAATGTCTGGGTTAGAGGTCACCGGCGCGGCTTTTGTCCTTATTGCGGTTCCTCGCGTTAAGACTGTTGTACAGTTGCAATAACTTCATCACGAGAGTCCTGTCTCACATGCGTGACTTTCACTGACTGGCCCAGCTTGTTTCCGGGATATATAGGGCACCTGTCAATCATCCACGACAAGTGTGTCACGTGTGTGATTTATTATGTTATTCTTCTGATTTAGCTCGAGAGGTATGGCACATGCAAAACATGTACATGTTCTAACACACATCTGTCTGGTAAAAGTATTTATATAAACACAAACAAGTGTAAAATATAAACAAAATAAAACTTTATCCGCATATATTATTATTTCTATTTGTGGTTGCAAATCAGATAAACTGACAGTAGATTCTAGATTCTAATTCATTGCTATCCATATGTATACATATACATATACATATATATGTGTATATATATATATATATATATATATATATATAGATAGATAGATTAATACAACAGAAGGTACAATGAAAAACATTAATCGTGTGTTTTCAGTTGATGAACATGTTCGGTGACAGCTTAACGATAAGAACAATATAACAGAAGACTTCTGTCACTTTGCTCCCTTTTTTAACGAGGCGCCTTTTTAACATTCCCAACAGAGATAGGGAATTAGGATTCATCTTGTAAATATGTCTAAAACAAAAGGTAAAGCCATAAACAAGGTGACATTTTAGTTGTTCATTCTGGTGTGTATTTCATGTCTTCAGCAATACGACATGGGTATTAACTAGGAAACATTTTAGGCAAGACCTTTTGGTTTCGTTTAAGGATTTTTAAACATTTGGTTTGTCGGTAAAGATTAACTGAAATATGCAGAATTTTTGTAATCTTCTAAAAGTTTGATTATACATAACAATATTGGCCTGGGTTAGATCCTTGTGAAATTATAAATCTGAAATTTTACAGCGGCATTTCATTGTCAGACTTTTGTCAATGCAATCTCAACCGTCGTATTAAACAAACTTGTCTTTCTGGGTATTTTTATGAATTTACGATATTATATTTCGGCGTACCGTTAACCAAACAAACACATTTGAGGCTAACCGCAGGCTTATATATGTAAGAACGTTATCCTCTTCTGTCATTCACGACATCATCTCACCACGTGAAGATTCATACCTGTGGCGGTTAGGTTTGAACTTTGACCCTAGAGTCCGTTTCTGACAATTGCAATTACTTAGTTTTACGAAGTTTATCTGACATGTTCGTGTTCTCGAAACATAATCCTTTAATAACTATAGCACGTTGTCACTTCATCTGTGACTGTCGGAAGCATCTGTGACACGAGGGTCAGACTTTAGGTCGTCGACAGTCAGCAGGGTCATATAAGGTCATAGCGTACATGTGTACTAAAAGGCGGAGGCGGAATATCATCAATATATTATTTGTGAATTGTTTGTGAATTACGTTCCTGGATAACATACAAACATAAGGTCACAACGCAAGATACTGATCAACGGAATACCTTTTAATTGTTTTAAATCTTCAGTAACCCATGTTTGTCGTAAGAGGCGACTAACGGGATCGGGTGGTCAGGCTTGCTGAATTGGTTGACACATGTCATCGTATCCCAACTGCGTAGATCGATGCTCATGTTGTTGATCACTGGACTGTCTGGTCCAGACTCGATTATTTACAGATCGACGCCATGTAGCTGAAATACTGTTGAGTGTGGCGTTAAACAAAAACCAACCATAGGGGCTTGCAGCGCAAACACTAACATCAAGGTGAATATATTGTCTCTGTCGGGGACAGGCAACATATACCGGGATTCTAGTTCTTGCTGTTTCGACAGATACATAACTACAACCACCATTTAGATTGCTCCTGTCTTGGATGTATGTTATCTGTTCTAGGATGATGATATTGCCTTTGACGCCGCTGTTGCTCCTGTCTTGGATGTATGTTATCTGTTCTAGGATGATGATATTGCCTTTGACGCCGCTCTTGCTCCTGTCTTGGATGTATGTTATCTGTTCTAGGATAATGATATTGCCTTTGACGCCGCTGTTGCTCCTGTCTTGGATGTATGTTATCTGTTCTAGGATGATGATATTGCCTTTGACGCCGCTCTTGCTCCTGTCTTGGATGTATGTTATCTGTTCTAGGATGATGATATTGCCTTTGACGCCGCTGTTGCTCCTGTCTTGGATGTATGTTATCTGTTCTAGGATAATGATATTGCCTTTGACGCCGCTCTTGCTCCTGTCTTGGATGTATGTTATCTGTTCTAGGATGATGATATTGCCTTTGACGCCGCTCTTGCTCCTGTCTTGGATGTATGTTATCTGTTCTAGGATGATGATATTGCCTTTGACGCCGCTCTTGCTCCTGTCTTGGATGTATGTTATCTGTTCTAGGATAATGATATTGCCTTTGACGCCGCTTGTCTTGGATGTATGCCTAGGATGATGATATTGCCTTTGACTTTGCTCTCCTGTCTTGGATGTATGTTATCTGTTCTAGGATGATGATATTGCCTTTGACGCCGCTGTTGCTCCTGTCTTGGATGTATGTTATCTGTTCTAGGATAATGATATTGCCTTTGACGCCGCTCTTGCTCCTGTCTTGGATGTATGTTATCTGTTCTAGGATAATGATATTGCCTTTGACGCCGCTCTTGCTCCTGTCTTGGATGTATGTTATCTGTTCTAGGATGATGATATTGCCTTTGACGCCGCTGTTGCTCCTGTCTTGGATGTATGTTATCTGTTCTAGGATAATGATATTGCCTTTGACGCCGCTGTTGCTCCTGTCTTGGATGTATGTTATCTGTTCTAGGATAATGATATTGCCTTTGACGCCGCTCTTGCTCCTGTCTTGGATGTATGTTATCTGTTCTAGGATAATGATATTGCCTTTGACGCCGCTCTTGCTCCTGTCTTGGATGTATGTTATCTGTTCTAGGATAATGATATTGCCTTTGACGCCGCTGTCTTGCTCCTGTCTTGGATGTATGTTATCTGTTCTAGGATAATGATATTGCCTTTGACGCCGCTCTTGCTCCTGTCTTGGATGTATGTTATCTGTTCTAGGATAATGATATTGCCTTTGACGCCGCTCTTGCTCCTGTCTTGGATGTATGTTATCTGTTCTAGGATAATGATATTGCCTTTGACGCCGCTCTTGCTCCTGTCTTGGATGTATGTTATCTGTTCTAGGATAATGATATTGCCTTTGACACCGCTCTTGCTCCTGTCTTGGATGTATGTTATCTGTTCTAGGATAATGATATTGCCTTTGACACCGCTCTTGCTCCTGTCTTGGATGTATGTTATCTGTTCTAGGATAATGATATTGCCTTTGACACCGCTGTTGCTTCTGTCTTGGATGTATGTTATCTGTTCTAGGATAATGATATTGCCTTTGACACCGCTGTTGCTCCTGTCTTGGATGTATGTTATCTGTTCTAGGATGATGATATTATCTTTGACACCGCTGTTGGCATCATGTACAACTGTGCCCAGAACCACGTGACCAGACAGAAGTATAGAGAGCTTAATGCAGTTGACACACTCCTGCCGTTCCTTAAAGCAAAGTCCACAAGTAAGTGTGTCCAGACTCCCTACACTGAGTGTCGCGTGTCCTTGTTAACTGGGGGGCATAAAAGTATACCGCGTCCAATTTAATTGTAATTAAGGATTAACAGACCCTTTGTTAAATTATATTTGCCTTTGTATCTATTCTTGCAAGAGGTTGCAAAAAGATATCTGTATTTTAATATAAATGAGTTAGTCCAATGTTTTGATTGAAATAATATTTTGAAAAGACCATACTACGTAGAAGTATATTACATATAATACAAATATTAAATCAACTGTGAGGTTTAGTTTCCTTTAGCATCGGTTTTTACAAAATATAATGGCTTTATAAACCTAGTACACGTGTTTAAAGAGAAAACACCACAGCCAACGTATAGATATACACACATGTTAAGTCAAAGTGTCATAATGTCGACATAATGTTTTGTCACAATGGAAAAAATTGCACTGTTCTCAGCAATGGAATTTTATCATACCTAAAATACTTTGAAAATCAGAATTAATTTGTTTTCAAATGATGTTGAAACTAGAGTGTTCATAATGCTGACAACATTTGTTAGTGCAGATATTAGAACTACCTTCAAAGTGTGTGTGTGTGTGTGTGCGTGCGTGCGTGCGTGCGTGTGTGTGTGTGTAGTTTATATTTGGCTGTCCTCCCGCCGTGATATTGCTAAAATATTGCTAAAAGCGATGAAACACCATACTCACTCACTCACTTATATTTGGCAGAGGTGAAACTCACGACCCTGTTGGTTTTAACCCACATCGTGGACGAGGCCAAGAACAAAGTCCTTTCAGCAGACGTCACTGTGTTCGACTTCCTCATCGACATGATCAAGAAGGCGTGGGAGGACGTCCACCACCGCTGTGTTCAAGGGACCACCTTCTTCAGCGCCAGGGAACTTCTAAACAGCCTGACAGCCTTGGCCAAGAATGACGACAACAAGCGACTGTTGATGGAAAAGGGAGTTTTGAAAACCCTGAAAACTATCCTTAAAGGAGGAACAGAGGTTGAGCAGGAGGAGGCTCTAGGATGTATCAGGGAACTCTCCTTTAACGACGAAAATAAAAGCATTCTCAACGTAAGTATATCTCTGTGTGGTACTAATGGAGAAAAATATGGTCATGGTACATTAGAACAAAAATAATCAAATCAAACTGATATAATAAATTTATTATCAGTTTCTTAAGAAAACCACTCTGTCTCCTCTTACACAAAAATGTAGCACGTTGCTATGGACATAACCGAATAGGTAATAATTGTATCAACAAATATAACCAAAAATGATCGAACCCTATTACCTGTGGATGTCAAAAAGATTTAATTATCGCAGTGTATGAAGAGTGCCTGAGGCAATACGTACATGATAGAAGATGTAAAATATAAAACAAACTTTGGTGTCTCCGGCTCCCTCAGTTAACCTCAGTTTCACAAATCATTTGAATAACAATTGGAGAATCCTTATTTCGACCGGATTCACCATGTGACCACAATTTGGTTACTGCCATGACACATTCGCCATGTCAAATCGTATACTTCATTTCTAACTGTAAAATAAGCATTACATGGACTCCATGCTGAAAGATATGGCGTTCAAGAGAATTCATGCAATATCACCATTCAGATACTGCCGAATGTCTACTTTCTCTTTCATTATGATTAAATTGATATAATACTGCAGGCTGACGAAGGTGTCATGGATGTACTCAAGGAGAAGCTGAGCTCCGGTAACGCACAAATCGCCAAGGCTGCCGAGTTCACTCGGTGGGGCCTGGCCACCAAGAAAGTTGCGGAATCCAGTAAGTGATGTTCATCTTTGGAACATCAACGTTGCAGCTTGAGGACACGCTATGTCTATTGGTCTAAACTATTTGAAAGCTGTACTTAAGTTTTGAACGTTGTAACCCTGAGTAAATGCTTTCCATATAACTTGGACATTACCTTTGACAAGATTTGATAGACTCTCAATGCTAGGACAACTGTTTCTCTTAAGACTAACCAGAACATGATTCATCAAAACAAAGTATGCTTTAGGTTTGTAATGAGTAGTGTATTCGAAGTGACTACATGCTTATGACGTTTCTGTTACATTTCAGATTTAAAGCGCAGACAATCAGGATTGTCGATGATCTCAAAACAACCCAAATCGGGCCACGTGATGTTGAGTTACTCCTGGTACAACCAAAAGACCGTGATAGAGGTGTGTCACATCATCACTCACATGTGTATAAATATTATAGGATACGACTTTCGAGAATTTTCAAACAACGTTATTCCCCACGTCTAATCACATCCTCAGCCACCAAGTGAAGGATATCTCCAGTCTCATGACAAATGTCCTAAACCCATTTACTCGTGTGAATGCTGCAAACAGCCGTCCAGTCATGTCTGAGACAAGCGGTTATCTGACCAGCACTCCATTTTGTTTGGAACTCCGTCTGTCTGGGTACTAGGTCTAGTGTGCATGTTTGGTTGTTGACTGGGTCATATTACAATACCAGAAAGGTTAAAACATGCATAAAATTAAAATATTATCTTGAAGTTTAAGTATTTACCAACAATCCCGAGCAGTGTCTTCAACGTGACGAGCGAACGCTTTAACCATTGGGTAACCCCACCGCCGTCCCTAAAAGCAGCCATCGCAATGTGACAAGTGTGACCTGAGGAATTAATCACAGTGGAGAGCACAACGTCGAAGTTTGACGCACGCTTCTCTTTGAAGACTCGCGCAATCATTTCAATGACTCTTTGAGTATTATTTATTACTCATAGTTGTTTCTCATGTATATAATCGTTGCCTTTGAGCAAGCGGCCCCAAGAACACCTGGCCATAACATTTTAGTAAATCTGGATTTTTAACTTCTGTCCTTTTTAGTCCCGCGTTGCTTCTACTCCTTGAATTCTTCTTTTCTCGCGGGGTCACAGTGATGGATCCAAGTCTCATCTTCTGTGACCTTCCTTAAAATGAAATTTTGTTCGCGCTTATACTGAACCACAAAAGAAATGTCGCACCGATAGCGGTTTCTTAAAGCACACACTTTAATTCACTCTAATTAACAATCAAAACGGAGGATTGAGTTCAAACTTGACAATTATGGTTAACACATTTTCGGGAATCACATTTAGAGTTCACACAAACAAAATCACCAAAAATGGTACCATTAAGATACCCCAAAGTCAGTATTGTGTATGGCCTCCATGGGCATCGATGAAAGCGTTGCATCGTCTGTACATGGAATGAATTAGCCGGTTGATGAAGGCCATAGGCACTTGGGTCCATACTCTGCGAAATGCCTGATCGAGTCCAGCCGCAGTTGTCGGCCTTGGTTGGAGGTCATTCAGTCTTCTTTGAATCTCGTCCCAAAGGTGTTCTATTGGACTTAAATCCGACTGAGTGCAGGCTATTGTAGGGTTTGGATGCATGTTGTCTCAGGAAGTCCAATCTTGCTCTGCCACTGTGGGTACGAGCGTTGTCTTGCTGGAAGATGTGATTTCTGTAACGTCCAAAATGTGGTACAATGTGGGGTCTTATGACTTGGTCAATATAGCGAGCAGCTGTCACGTCATTTCCTCATCCTGGACCAAGATTCTGGAACACCACGGTGTCAACTAACTGGTTCAGACCGATTGCACCCCACACTATGATGCTTGGACCACCCCACGAGTCTCTTTCAACAATACACTCATTGGAAAACAGTTCCCCACGCCTTCACCATACTCTCACTCTGCCATCGACTGTCGAAACACAATATCGGCTTTCATGAGATAAAAGCACAGTTCTCCATTGTCGATAACGCCAATTTCGATGCTGAGTTGCCCATTGCAGTCGGTTTTGGCGGTGATGAGCGGTGAGGACAGGACTACGATATGGTCTGTGACAGCAGAGGTTTCTTCCGCGCAAACGTCGACGCACTGTATCGGCACTGATGGGTCTGTTGTGAGTCCCAATGGTCTGGCGTGCTGTTTCCGTCGCTCTGGGGAAGCGATCCTGCAGATGGTGGCGCACAATCTGTCGGTCTTGACGTTGTGATGTTACTGAAGGTCGCCCACTGCGTGGACGGTCTTGGATGCTGTTACTGACCTGATACAACTCCTGCAGTCGGTAGATTGTCCTAACATGAACATTGAAATGATTGGCTACCCTCGGTGCAGTCTGGACAACTCGCATTCGTCCCAAGACTTGGTTCCTCTGATCTCTCGTAAGTCGTGGCATGGTGATTGTGTCAAAATCAAAATGATTTCAGGCGGGTTTGGGACTCGCTTTCATTGGTAGGGTTGTCACGACATGCACGTGCATTTTCATTTTCACGAATGTCATACGGAACCTTTTACCATGTCTGCCTTTTTCGGCGCGTTTGGTCGATATGCTTTTTCATCAGAAAACACATGTTGATGTCAATTTGGATTGGTAATAACTGTCAATTTGGATTGAAAAACATGTTAACAAAACGGTACAATCATAATAAAAACACCACCTTGTAAGAACAAAATTTTGCATTTGGTTTTGAAAGGCGACGTTTCTTTTGTGGTATAGTGGAGAATGTTACAAACAAGCACAACGAAATCGGTTATGTTTACGATATTCACGGCGACAAATTCATGCTTAATTTGGTTTTAAACCAAGTAACAAAGAATTAATGACCACGTAATATTGGGACCACCAAGTCCTGATTCTACACTGGCTGTCACAGAGGCCGAGTACACGTACAAGCTGAAGAAGACGATGGTGCCTGTGCTGCTACAGGGGGCATACCAACCAACTAGCTGGCTGGGGATCATTCTGGGAACCAAGCTGTATTTTGACATGAGTCCTGGAAAAGACTTTGGCGCCAAGCTGAACGAACTTGTGAGAGAACTTGGCCAAAATGGCAGAATAACAGAGGAGGAGGAGAAGGTAGAGTTAAGCACAGCTTTATTAATCCATTCACTGTAAATACGAGTGGGTTCATGCTTGGTTGGGTGTGTTTTTTCCAAAGGAGGTAGGACCATGTTGGAGTGGACGTATTCATTCTATAACAGATGCATTCATACTAGTTGATATGGAGTCATGCTATAGGATATGGGTTCGTATGAGAGTATGTTGATTCATACTGATGGTAGAGAGTTATAGTTCATGGTAGAGTGAAGAATGGATTCATGGATGGGTTTATGTTAATGGCGTTCCTCAAGGATCTGTCCTTGGACCATTACTGTTTAGTCTGTACATTCTTCCCATTGGTGACATTGTCCGAAAGCACTCACTGAAATTTCATCTATGCTGATGACAATCAGTTATATCTGTCAGCGGAGCCTAACCTTGCTGAAGATTGTGCACTGAACATACAACAATGTATTGCTGAAATAAGAGACTGGATGACCTTGAACTTTCTGAAATTTAATGACACAAAGACTGAGTTCTTGACCATCGGATCCAGGCATCAACTTTCCAAAGTGCCTGACAGTTTATCTCTTGAAATTGGACAAGATGTTATCACGCAGTCCGACTCTGCAAAAAATCATGGTGTCATCTTTCAATCAACAATGTCATTAGAAAATCAAATCAAATCACTCAGCAAAGGATGCTTCTACCATATCTTCAATATTAGCAAGATCCGAACCCTCTTAGACTTCAACACCGCCCAGCTTCTAACGACCAGCCTTGTTCTCTCTAAACTTGATAATTGCAACTCCCTCTATTACAACATTCCTCAACAGCTCCTTTCACAACTCCAACGGATTCAGAATTCAGCCGCCCGTGTTGTTGCCCGTGCACCACGCTGCCCTGTTCCAGCCGCCCAAACTGTGACACCTATCCTCCAAACTCTTCACTGGCTTCCTGTATCAAGCAGAATTCAATACAAACTTCTTCTTCTTACACACAGCTGCATCTATGAAAACATGTTTCTCAATATCTTAAAAGCCTCATTCATCTCCATGTTCCAAGCCGACTGCTCCGCTCGTCAAACTCCCTACTGCTTACACAGTCTCATGTCAAAACAGCCATGGGATCAAGGGCGTTCTCTGCTGCAGCCCCTATCTCTGGAACATTCTACCACTCTCCCTAAAAGAAATAGAATCTGCTGACGCTTTCAAAACTGACATTGTCTACAATCTTTTCTCTTTATAGCGCCATTGAGCAATATCTTTTGGAAATATAAATCAATTATTATTAAATTATTATTATTGTTATGGTAGAGTGGATGGGGTATTGGTAGAGTGGATTGGTTCATGGCAGAGTGGATGGGTTTATGGTAGAGCGGATGGGTTTATGGTAGAGAGAATTGGTTCTTGGTAGAGATTCATGGATGGGGTATTGGTAGAGTAAATGGGTTCATGGTAGAGTGGATTGGTTCGTGGATGGGTTTATGGTAGAGGGGATGGGTTCGTGGATTGGTTCATGGTAGAACGGATGGATTCATGGTAGAGCGGATGGATTTCTGGTAGAGTGTATAGGTTCATGGTATAGTGGATAAGTTCATGAGAGCGGAATGGATTGGGCCATTGTGGGATGAATATGTTCATGGTAGGGTGGATGGGTTCATGGTATAGTGGATGAGTTCATGGGAGAGCGGAATGGATTGGGCCATTGTGGGGTGGATAGGTTCATGGTAGGGTGGATTGGTTCAGCAATTATCTGGTGTCACTGTCGGACTCCTAAGAGTACATATAGCAGCTCGGTCATGTGACTGCTTGGCTACTTGTTTCGACCGGTGTGTTTCAGCTGCTGGATGTGACAGACGCGGCCCCCAAATCTCTCAGTACAGTCGCCGCTCGAGGTGGAGGAGACAGGGTGCCTGGTTGGACCAACAAAGATGTCATTGAGTGGTTGAAAAACATCGGCATGTACCAGTAAGTCTTTAGTGACGCCAAATAATGGTATCGTAATTGCGCTAGGTATATTTTTCAACACAGTTCGCCCCCTCGAGATGGGCACGCCATGTGATTATACGACACTTCCTTAGATAGGCTCCACGATGTGTTGGGAGATCCGTTGTACGGCTCTTTTGTCCATGAAAAAGTTTTCTTAATTGAACATTTAATACATCATCTTGACGATAACAGAACTCAAATTAGAGTTGGAGACATTTATACCTGATTATCACCAAGCAAAACTTTAACACAAAGTTGAAGGATATCTATGAGACTCGTATTTAAAACTTTAGAATGTACCTTGTGTCGATAAAATGATGCTTTTATACACCCGAGTTAGCTATAAGTATCGCAGTCCTTTCTATATATACATACCACATACCAGTGTGAACAGTATGACATATATTGTAATCTAAGTATCCCCAATAATATTAACCCCTTTCTAAGTGGACAATGTCTCCCTTTTCCCCCTGAGAGTGAGGTGCTACGTCTGCTTGTCTGCCATACAGTGAACTCCTAAGAAACATATACAGTATAGTATGACCAGAAATTATTGAGAATTTAAAGATTGTAATTTTTTAAAATTGTTTTCACTCATTACTCACGTATTAAATGTGAATATTAGCAGAACGTAACTCCAGATTCAAAGACAGGTGAACAGTTAGTACTTTGTCAAGTCACCATGGGCAGCAATGCAGGCTTCAATGCGGCGGGGAATACTACTGATCAAAGAAGTTAGAAAGTCGTGGTCCATGCTGTTCCAATATCGGACCACCCCTTCTTTCATTTCAGCAATATTTGTCAGATTTTTCTTATTGACACTTTCCTTCATAAGTCCCCAAACATTTTCTATTGGATTTAGGTCAGGGCTATAGCTTGGCCGATCTAATGATGTCATATTTTGGGTCCAAAACCCGGCCTGTGAATGCTTTGAACGATGTTTTGGGTCGTTGTCCTGCTGGAAAATCCAAAAATTTCCATGGAACACGTGAGCAGATGGAAGTAAATGCCCCTCGAGAATATCTTTGTACCGCTCACTGTTCATATTCCCTTCAGATACACAGAGGGGCGTTGCCCCTAACACAGATATGCCACCCCACACGTTAAATTTCGGACTGTACTTTGGGCGCTGATACAAAGGTTTTCTAGTTTGTTTGGTCCAGAATTTCAGTGTATTAGGAAACAGCCACACAGAACTTGCATCTGAGAAAAGCACTTGATAGCTGGTCAAGGTTGTTAGAAATCCAATTAAACATATTCCTAAAATTCTCAATAATTTCTGGTCGTACTATACATTTACCGAACATTTTACTGAATTCTCCTGTATCTAAACGTACAATCCTGCTACATGCCTTGTAAAATTGAAACAAAGCGTAGAATTGTTTTCAGCTATTACGTTTTTTCAGGAACAGTTTTCTGGAAACATTGTCTATATTCAGGGGGAGATCCAAGGGGGGGTTGCAGTGGTGCGCGCACCCACCCACCCACACTAATCACAACCCATCCCCTCCTCCCCCAAAAAATATACCCTGAGGAGCATTTCCCCCTAACCTTTGGACTTCATAATTTCTGTGCACACCTCTTCTCCAACATCCTGGATCCGCCCCTAATATTTGATATCAAGACAGTCAACTTTATGTTTATCATCCCACCGTTCAACCTACGCTTCTCCAGTTGATCCAACGCAGATCACTAACAATGGAGTCTTATTCAGGATAATACAGAATATCCCGCTTGTGTAACAGAGAATCTGAACCTAATCATCTCTTTCATGACCACAGATGTTCTTCTTTGAGGACCCTGACCGGCGAGGAGTTGATGTTCCTCCAGCATCTGTTGAACAAGGTAGGTATACACAGGCAGTGGGGTCGACCAGGAAGGCGTGGTACATATGATAGGGTGTACATACGGGAGTAGGGAGGATTGACAAGATGTGGTATATACGGTTGTGGGGTAAATGAACAAGGTGGGTGAAGGGTGGATGGACAAAGTGGGTATGTACGCTTATGGAGTGGTTTACAAGGTGGGTGTATACAGGTGAAGGGTGGATGGACAAAGTGGGTATGTACGGTAGTGGAGTGGTTTACAAGGTGGGTATATACGGGTGTAGGGTGGATGGACAAAGTGGGTATGTACGGTAGTGGAGTGGTTTACAAGGTGGGTGTATACGGGTGTGAAGTGGTTTACAAGGTGGTTATTTGCAGGTGTAGGTTGGATGGACAAAGTGGGTGTATACGGGTGTGGAACGGTTTACAAGGTGGGTATATACGAGTGTGGAGTGGTTTACAAGGTGGGTATGTACGGTTGTGGAGTGGTTTGAAGGATGGGTATATACGACCTAAGAGAACAAAGGATATCGACGAGGGACCGATAAAGTTCAAGCTGGTGCAAAGGCAACGGGCGAACAATACATCTAAAGAAAAGCAGTGTTTTATGATGGGTAGATAAATTACCGTACAAAGTTTGCAAATTTGGCCAGGTGTTTTAGGTTCAGTTCTATGTTTCAGGCGCCGGAGTTCTACTACAGCTACCTTGAGAGAAACATGAAACTGAAATCGCTGAAGGAGCTAATGACGTTCTCAAACGCCCTAGCCTTGCTATGAGAGATTGTGAGATGTTGATGGTATTGGTTAACTAGCAGATGTGCCGATTCCTAACTGACGATGTTTTGTTTATTCATAAATACTACTCCAAACGAGTTACAGAACACCATAAGTGGAAGGTGTTGCAATACTCACAATCCGTGACCCACTGACTGTAGTCAGAATCAGGATGTCTTTAACTTATAGTTGTAGAAGTGGATTTTCAGATAAGACAGTAGGTTGCGTAACATGTCACAATAACAATAGCACTCTCATATATATACACATACAAGTGTGTCGATCTCTCTCTCTCTCTCTCTCTCTCTCTCTCTCTGTCTCTCTCTCTCTCTCTCTCTCTCTCTCTCTCTCTCTCTCTCTCTCTCTCTCTCTCTCTCTCGCTCTCTCTCCCTCTCTCACACACACACATAGTCACTATAAACCCGGGCAGACACACATTGTATGTAGATATACTATATATTTATTTATGTGAAATATTTTGCTATGTTAAATTCATCAAACAGTCCCAACAGGCGTCCCTTCTGTTACTTTCAGAATGGGATGTTCTGGCATGCATCAGCTTTCTTCGGTTTGGTTTCTGATACTTCATAACGTATCTGTATTGGAAGATTCTATGTGAACGCGACTTTAAAATACAATACCTACTATTGTGATGTATGAATATCGTATTGCTTTATGTTTACATACCTAATATATAACGTGAACGCGAGAGAGTAACCAGTCTGGATTATCCCAACGGAAACATTTCACAAGAGGCAAATCAGGGGGACAAGCATATAAATGAATCTTTGAAAATCTGTGATGACACCAGTTGTTCACGGAAAGTATCTACCATTTCGGTAGACTAACAGCTAGTCTCTGAAATTAACATATTTAACAGAAAATAAAAGTTTTTAAAATTAAAATCATAAATACAATAAAAAGGAGCCCAGAGACTTTGCCACACATTCTAGACTTGCATGGGCTGCATTCGATGCCAGCCAATACTCACAATTTGGACTAACCCCCACCCCCGCCCCACCCCATATGTCCCCTTTGATTTCTACACGGTGTAAGTTTTATATCTGTTACATAAGTGATCTGTGGGTTGCTGGTTGTTATAGACTGATGTCCCATGGCAGTGCAACCCCTCTGGCATGCATGTGCGTGTAGGTGGCTGGTTGCACTAGACTGATGCCCTATGGTAGTGCAACCCCTCACCATACCATGCGTGTGGGTGGCTGGTTGCACTAGACTGATGCCCGATGGCAGTGCAACCCCTCACCATACCATGCGTGTGGGTGGCTGGTTGCACTAGACTGATGCCCGATGGCAGTGCAACCCCTCTGGCATGCATGTGCGTGTGGGTGGCTGGTTGCACTAGACTGATGCCCTATGGTAGTGCAACCCCTCACCATACCATGCGTGTGGGTGGCTGGTTGCACTAGACTGATGCCCGATGGCAGTGCAACCCCTCTGGCATGCATGTGCGTGTGGGTGGCTGGTTGCACTAGACTGGTGCCCTATGGTAGTGAAACCCCTCACCATACCATGCATGTGCGTGTGGGAGGCTGGTTGCACTAGACTGATGCCGGATGGCAGTGCAACCCCTCTGGCAGGCATGTGCGTGTGGGTGGCTGGTTGCACTAGACTGATGCCCTATGGTAGTGCAACCCCTCACCATACCATGCATGTGCGTGTGGGTGGCTGGTTGCACTAGACTGATGCCGGAAGGCAGTGCAACCCCTCTGGCAGGCATGTGCGTGTGGGTGGCTGGTTGCACTAGACTGGTGTCCGATGGCAGTGAAACCCCTCTGACATGCATGTGCGTGGCTGGTTGCACTAGACTGGTGTCCGATGGCAGTGCAAAGCCTCTGACATGCATGTGCGTGTGGGTGGCTGATTTTACTAGACTGGTGCCCGATGGTAGTGCAACCTCTCTGGCAGACATGTACGTGTGGGTGGCTGGTTGCACTAGACTGGTGCCCGATGGCAGTGAAACCCCTCTGACATGCATGTGCGTGTGGGTGGCTGGTTGCACTAGACTGGTGCTCGATGGCAATGCAACCCCTCTGACATGCATGTACGTGTGGGTGGCTGGTTCCACTGACTGACGCCGGATGGTAGTGCAACAGCTCTGACATATCCTATACTGCAGTTAAGCATGGATACCCTACACAGAAAATACTCATATACTGATTCCGATTTTTGGCAGGATCGAACCCCTTCTCCTGACAGACGCTCTATCCGCTAGACCATGGAGACTCTTCTTCTCATCCTTAGATCGAAGATAGAAAATATTTGTGCGCGGATTAGTTCTAAAGGTCCTCTAAAGGAGACAGACAGTTGCGACATGTTGCAAGGGTTTTACCCATGTGAATAAATGTTATCATCTCGTATTGATGTGTGTGAAAACTAGTATTAGTGTTGATGTTGTCAAGTTTACAGTGATACGGGATACTATCATTCTTCGGGCAACAACCAGCTGACAAACATACCGATATAGTTTAAGGTTCCCAATGGTAAAAAGAAGCATGTTTTCAGAGTGCCGCAGTGACGGAGCTCTTATAAAACTGGACGAGAGCTGCTGTAACCCTTAGTATGGCATCGCACATGCTTACCATATAGAGGAATGAGTGAGTGAGTTTAGCTTTACGCTGCATTCAGCAATATTCCAGCTATATGGCAGCAGTCTGTAAATATTTGAGTCTGGACCAGACAATCCAGTGATCAATAGCATGAGCATCGATCTACGCAATTTGGATACGATGACATGTGTCAACCAAGTCAGCGAGCCTGACCATCCGATCCCGTTAGTCGCCTCTTACGTATAGAGGAATGAAGTAAATTAGGTGTCAAACGTTGCTGAGCATACACTAAACAAAAAAGAAACTTCACATGTGTAGCGTTATGTACCAAACATACCCATAGAGAACAAAGTGTGTTGCTGGTGGATAAATGTGGTTTAAGGAGGTAATGAGCGTACACTAAAACAGGATAAGACATTAAGATGTGTTTTGCACCCTTCACATTCAACAGCACATCGACTAGCCATCTATGTTGGAGCTGGTTCAGTACCGTGTACGCTCCCTTCTTGCATCACAGCAGCAGGGCAACATTGTGTCACTGACTGCCTAACATCCATCAACATAGCATTGTACTAGAACTAGAACCATGAACTAGAATCTGTACTGTACTAAGAAAGTGTAATCCCAAATAACATATGTTACATTTGACCACTTTCTAAATGGCATTGTGTAATCATAGCAGTGAGCAACCTGCGCCATTGCTGTACCAACATGGTGCGCAGCTCTTAAACGTTCTAGAGTTGACGTCTCAAGGCACGAAGACTTCTTCCTAGAGCATCCCATACGTGTTGGATGAGTCTAAGGTCAGGTGATCTCAATCGCCACTCCATGACACCAATACCCGCATTTTGGAGAAACTTCAGCCATCTGCAGGTGTAATTGTGCACAGCGTAGACGTTCATTACGGTTCACCTGTTTTAGAATCGGCCACGTAATACCACATCCATTGCCCGTGGTAGCACGGATGGCTCATTGGCCTAAGGCGCTGTGAAGAGTTGCCTCCCTGGACACGCCAGAAACCTGATGAGTGGGTTCGAATCCCGAGCATGTTTCTAAGTTTGTCCGCACCAAACCCATAATCGTGACGTTAACTAGGAACACACCGGAGACCTTAACTAGGGCTTTCGTGACGCATCAAACTGACATGCCATAACATAACTGAAATACTGCCCACAGTAGCTCCAGAACAAAACTCCCTCACTCACTCGGCTGCCATTATTCGTGAAAGTCTCTCTTTCGTCAGTTTGGGGTCAGTGTCACAATCTGTCACCCTCGTCTTTAACGACCAATATGCCCTAATACGTCTCACAATGAAGTCACACAGTTCCACTGCTGAAACAATAGTCGCGCCAAGAATAAGCCCGAGAGCGCCACCTATGTTACAGATCAGGTCAAGGACGGGGTAGCTGTACTGCTTTCTGATGTAGGGGTAATACATGGATGAGTAGTAGACCTCCACAGACACAAAGTTCCGTCTCCAGTATGCAAGCGAGCTGCCATCAGCGTTAGCCAGCATTGATAGATACTCGTCTGTCACTCTCAGACCAGACGCAGTCTTTAAAGAAAATATGTTGTACGAGCAAGTTTCTGGACAGTTAGATTCACACTCACGCCGAGAATGGAGGTATTCCTGCGTTTTTGGATGGATACAATTGACAATAACATCCGCGTCGCACAACCTCGCGTTACCAGGCATGTAGGCTTCACGGCAGGAGCACGCCTTTAAGATGTAGTCGGTAAAGCATTCTTTACGGCAAGCTTCACGGGAATAATTACCCGGGTAATACTTCAACTCCTGCCTGCCACAGTTCGCCAGCCCATCCGGAGCATCCATCTCCTGACAAAGAGAACATATCGGTTACATGCATTCGAACAAGAAAGCTCTACTGATCCAGCCGTGGGCACGGATGTCATAGTATACTATTGTGTCGCAATTCGCTGTGCTGTGTTGCACCCCTTGGATGTGACATGAAGCTATGAGCGAGTGTTTGAAATATTTCCCGCGCAATAATCGCACACGTGGAAATTGACCAATGAGAGCCGTTTTCTGTTTCCGAGTCATTTAGAGATTTACGGACACTGTCGAGGTTTACCGAAGAGAGGTCTGACGTTTGTTCAAAGAAGAGGGTAGGGCTGATGCGAGGGTCAGTGGTGTAAGGTTTGATTGAACTGCACGTAACAATAGTCGGGCTGTCCGTTTTTTTATCATAATTTTTGCATCGGGAGTGTCACTCTTGTGTTTTTTATGTAATGTGTCTAGCGGTGGAATTTCTAAAATCCTTATTTCTCCACCGATTTCGTTCAAATTTGAAATATGTGTAAATAATAGCATATAAAAACAATATAAACTCTGTCAAAAAAGAAACGCAACCCCTGTCCTCAGATATGAAAAATTCGTTTGAATGAAGTTATTGCTTCCAAACTAAATTTTATTCGAATGTATTGAAATTATACACGTAATTAATGAAGATTACCATCCAAACAACTGCATTTGTACGCATAAGTGTATTTTATTGCTTATTCCGTCACAACGCATGAAATGACCCTCATGGTGACTTCGCACAAAAAAAACACATGCAAATCATGAAAATGGCAGTTAATGTAGGGGTGTATAAAAGCCCATGTGCTTTCGTATTATATTCATTCATTTGTCGCCGAAAAGCTGTGTTAAAAATGCCACGATTGAGTGCTGCCGACCGAAATATCGCCATTGGTCGTGTTCAAGCCGGAGAAAGTTTTGGAACTGTTGCACGGCACCTAAATGTTCACAAAACAACGATATCCCGACTTTGGAGCCGCTACAACAACTTCAATTTGACCAACGATCGCCCGAGAAGTGGAAGGCCAAGAATCACGACCCCCTTCAAGATCGGTACATCCGGGTCCATCACCTGCGTAATCGGCATGCCCTACCAACCGTGACTGCCACACAAATACCAGGTTTGAGGGAGAGTGTCAGCTCAAACGATTAGGAACCGTCTGAAAGAAGCGGGTTTACGTGCCTGTAGACCAGTTGTTGGACCTGTACTACGCCCCTACATCTCCGCCGACGACTCAGGTGGTGCAACAACGTAAGGATATGGACTTTACAAAACTGGAGGCGCATCTGGTTTCTGATGAATCCCGTTTCTTTGCAACATCACGACGGAAGAAAACGTGTATAGGAGACGTCATGAACGTTTTGCGCCCATCTGCGTCCGACAGGGGGGACAGATTTGGCGGAGAAAGCGTTATGGTTTGGGGATCCATCTCATACAACCAGAAATCAGACTTGGTGATCGTTGAAGGAACCTGACAGCCCAACGTTACATCAACCACGTATTACAGCCTCACCTTCTCCCGATTATTGACCAACAGACACAGATTTTCAAACCAGACAACGCCCGGCCTCATACTGCACGTGCAACAATGAACTTTCTGCAGAATTCCAACGTCAATGTCTTGCCATAGCCCCTCTAAATCACCAGACCTCAACCCTATTGAACACCTGTGGGATACTCTGGGTCGACGCGTACGTCAACGTCAGCCGCCGCCACAGACGCTGCAACAGCTCGGCGTTGCACTGCAGGAGGAGTGGAGAGCCATTCCCAGGAAAGAATCCGGCGTCTTATCCGTTCTTGTCCAAGGAGATGCCGTGCAGTGATTGCAGCTCGTGGTGCTCATACGAGATACTGAGAAAGACGCCCCCCCTGGTGACAAACTGGTGTCTGTGAGATGACTTTTGAAATGACAATTTTAAACATGCCCATCTTGGTTATTATTCTGCCAAATTTCAGACTTCTGTCTTAAATAATAAAAATGCTGTGTCGTCTTAAAACTTCAGATCAAAATCTCTAAAATACAGGGGTTGCGTTTCTTTTTTGACAGAGTTTATGATTGCAAAAGTCTACATATCTTAAAAAAAAAAAAATTAGTGTCCAAACAGGGATTCGAACCCATGTGGTTTGAATCCTGATTCGACCTGGTTATGGTCCTAGGTTTCTCAGCACCAAACAGGTTCTGGCCGGTCTAAGACCTGCGTCAGGTCTGGACTTCATCGCCTATCACACTTTCTTGGTTGGTTTGTTGTTTAACGCCACACTCAGCAATATTCCAGCTATTTGGTGGCGGTCTGTAAATAATCCAGTGATCGACAGCATGGGCATTGATCTACGCAATTCGGATACTAAGTCAGCCAGCCTGACCACCCGATCCCGTCAGTTGCCTCTTACGACAAGCATGGGTAATAGCAATGAAACCGATGATTATTCACTTAGCAGTAGTAGTTACTAGTTACGTTTTCCGAAAATAGCCGAGTCTGAAGACCAATTTTAACCCGAATCTTAGCCTACATACTTTTCAAAGTGGAATTAAACCTTACTCACTAACAGTAATTGATGTGTGCCCGGGTGCCAACGTGGTCAAACACGATGCTGGAGCGTTATCATGTTGTGCTTAGATCCTATGATCATGTGAATATTATATATACACACTTATTATAATCTCTGATTTGTGAGCTCCGTACAAATGACCTCACAGCTGGGTTTCCTCCCATATAGTCAGGCACTCCTCCCAGATAGTCAGGCACTCCTCCCAGATAGTCAGGCACTCTGCTAAAAACGGCGTTAAACAAACATACTGATCACCTCGATTTCTGCCCCTACCTGCACTTCAAGCCCAAACAAGTACTGGGAACCTGGCGACACCGCCATGCCAGTCTCCGCAATTACCGGGGGAATGTCGGCCGAATGAATCGTAATCTGTACAAAGGAACAAGGGACGTTTATCACAATGATCTCCATGTATGTGGAGTGAGTGAGTGAGTTTACTTTTACGCCACACTCAGTAATATTCCAGCTGTATGAAGGCGGTCTGTAAATAATCGAGTCTGGACCAGACAATCCAGTGATCAACAGCATGAGCATCGATCTACGTAAGTGGGATACGATGACATGTGTCAGACATGTCAGCAAGCTTGACCACCCGATCCCTCTACGACAAGCATGGGTTACGGGTCCGTCACGGTCTCTACGTGGAACATCGATCTGCAAAATATATCTTTAAACATTATTGTAAACCAAAAGTGACTGTATTCTTTAATCTGATTGGTTGAAAAACATGACCCCAGGTGTCATCTTAAAAGGGTAGACCCGTGAAGATGCAGGTTAGAACTGATCTTCAGTAACCCATGCTTGTCGTAAGATGCGACTAACGGGACTCGCTGATTTGGTTGACACATCTCATCGTATTCGAATTGCGTAGATCGATGCTCATGCTGTTGGTCACTGGATTGTCTGGCCCAGACTCGATTATTTACAGACCGCAGCCATATAGCTGGGATACTGCTGAGTGCGGCGTAAAACTAAGCTCACTCACTCACTGACCACTAAGTGGTTATATTTGCACATTTTAAATCCAATCCGTCAGACGACTCATAAACACTGCATAATCCGATTTGGGGATAACATGTACCCACGCTTGTTTATAATCACTTTTGTGGAATTATCAAGCTCAATATAACCTTCAAGTCAATTACATCAATCCTCAACTATATCTCTGGAATGTATCGATCAACTCAATCAAAGAGTTTTAAAATCTCTGCATTTGCATGCGTCAGATGTTATTTAAATTAAATACATCATTTTTAATTTTAATAGTTGTTATGATCGTGCTCAAGATTCTCTATTGTGGGTTGTCTGGTCGGGAGTTTATTCTTACCCACCATGAAACCCTCTCCTTCTGTCTTCTGGCGACTACGGGTAAACTCCTCTGCCCCAACCCATAAAGCGAGTTTCAACCCGTACTGTCTCCCCGAGTTACGTATGAAGCTTTCTCCATTTGCTAAAAGAAAAATATGACTTTATTTTGTGCACGTTTTCTGCCTCTACCTCACAACAGCTACAACAGCTGATGAAATATTTATCAGCCAGAATATTTTCATTTACAGTATTAACTTTGCAATTGCATTATGACAGGTAACTCAATGTGTTTCCGAGAGGATATGTTAAGGTACTGAAATCTTCTTACACAGATAACCATGCCCGTCACATCATTACCATGCCTTTCATTGTTACAACACCAAAAGTACTTCTCTACTCACCATTGAATGTGAAGCATAGCCCACTGTCTGTCACCAAATGCGTGAAGTTTGCGTGCCCACATGCTTCCTTCCCCCAAGTGCACTGAATTCAGACGTGTATACAATAAAATAGAATGGATTGGTTAATAATGTACGAGCAACACGTAATTATGGCTAATCCCTCCTGAGTCAATGAATGTTGTAAGGACCGGGTCTCAGCAGTAAGGATATGTTTATGAGACCCAGGGTAGTTTCATCAACATCAGGATACCCTGGCAGGTTCAACTGACTATTGGTACAGGAATAACTGAATGGCCAGTATCTCTGGTGTTGAATAACTGACTGACCATTATCTCTGGTGTTGAAAAACTGACTGACCATTATCTCTGGTGTTGAATAACTGACTGACCAGTATCTCTGGTGTTGAATAACTGACTGACCATTATCTCTGGTGTTGAATAACTGACTGACTATTATCTCTGGTGTTGAAGAACTGACTGACGATTATCAATGGTGTTCAATAACTGACTGACCAGTATCTCTGGTGTTGAATAACTGACTGACCATTATCTGTGGTGTTGAATAACTGACTGACCATTATCTCTGGTGTTGAATAACTGACTGACAAGAATCTTTGGTGTTGAATAACTGACTGACTATTATCTATGGTGGAAGAACTGACTGACCAGAACTGACTGAATAACTGACTGACCATTATCTCAGTATCTCTGGTGTTGAATAACTGACTGACCATTGTCTCTGGTGTTGAAAAACTGACTGGTGTTCTGGTGTTGAATAACTGACTGACTATTATCTCTGGTGTTGAATAACCATGACTGACCATTGTCTCTGGTGTTGAATAACTGACTGACAAGAATCTTTGGTGTTGAATAACTGACTATTATGGTCTGAAGTGTTGAAGAACTGACTGACCATTGTCTCTGGTGTTGAAAAACTGACTGACCATTATCTCTGGTGTTGAAAAACTGACTGACCATTATCTCTGGTGTTGAATAACTGACTGACCAGTATCTCTGGTGTTGAATAACTGACTGACCATTATCTCTGGTGTTGAATAACTGACTGACTATTATCTCGGGTGTTGAAGAACTGACTGACGATTATCAATGGTGTTCAATAACTGACTGACCATTCTCTCTGGTGTTGAAAAACTGACTGACCATTATCTCTGGTGTTGAATAACTGACTGACCATTATCTCTGGTGTTGAATAACTGACTGACCATTATCTCTGGTGTTGAATAACTGACTGACTATTATCTCTGGTGTTGAAGAACTGACTGACGATTATCAATGGTGTTCAATAACTGACTGACCATTCTCTCTGGTGTTGAATAACTGACTGACCATTATCTCTGGTGTTGAATAACTGACTGACCAGTATCTCTGGTGTTGAATAACTGACTGACCAGTATCTCTGGTGTTGAATAACTGACTGACCATTATCTGTGGTGTTGAATAACTGACTGACCATTATCTCTGGTGTTGAATAACTGACTGACAAGAATCTTTGGTGTTGAATAACTGACTGACTATTATCTCTGGTGTTGAAGAACTCACTGACGATTATCAATGGTGTTGAATAACTGACTGACCATTGTCTCTGGTGTTGAATGACTGACTGACAAGTATCTTTGGTGTTGAATAACTGACTGACCATTTTCTATGGTGTTGAAAATACTGACTAACAAGTATCTTTGGTGTTGAATAACTGACTGAATATTATCTATGGTGTTGACTAACTGACTGACCAGTATATCTGGTGTTCAATAACTGACTGACCATTATCTCTGGTGTTGAAAATACTGACTAACAAGTATCTTTGGTGTTGAATAACTGATTGAATATTATCTATGGTGTTGACTAACTGACTGACCAGTATATCTGGTGTTCAATAACTGACTGACCATTATCTCTGGTGTTGAAAATACTGACTAACAAGTATCTTTGGTGTTGAATAACTGACTGAATATTATCTATGGTGTTGACTAACTGACTGACCAGTATATCTGGTGTTCAATAACTGACTGACCATTATCTCTGGTGTTGAAAATACTGACTAACAAGTATCTTTGGTGTTGCATAACTGACTGAATATTATCTATGGTGTTGACTAACTGACTGACCAGTATATCTTGTGTTCAATAACTGACTGACCATTATCTCTGGTGTTGAAAATACTGACTAACAAGTATCTCTGGTGCTGAATAACTGACTGAATATTATCTATGGTGTTGACTAACTGACTGACCAGTATATCTGGTGTTCAATAACTGACTGACCATTATCTCTGGTGTTGAAAATACTGACTAACAAGTATCTTTGGTGTTGAATAACTGACTGAATATTATCTATGGTGTTGACTAACTGACTGACCAGTATATCTGGTGTTCAATAACTGACTGACCATTATCTCTGGTGTTGAAAATACTGACTAACAAGTATCTTTGGTGTTGAATAACTGACTGAATATTATCTATGGTGTTGACTAACTGACTGACCAGTATATCTGGTGTTCAATAACTGACTGACCATTATCTCTGGTGTTGAAAATACTGACTAACAAGTATCTCTGGTGTTGAATAACTGACTGAATATTATCTATGGTGTTGACTAACTGACTGACCAGTATATCTGGTGTTCAATAACTGACTGACCATTATCTCTGGTGTTGAAAATACTGACTAACAAGTATCTCTGGTGTTGAATAACTGACTGAATATTATCTATGGTGTTGACTAACTGACTGACCAGTATATCTGGTGTTCAATAACTGACTGACCATTCTCTCTGGTGTTGAAAATACTGACTAACAAGTATCTTTGGTGTTGAATAACTGACTGAATATTATCTATGGTGTTGACTAACTGACTGACCAGTATATCTGGTGTTCAATAACTGACTGACCATTATCTCTGGTGTTGAAAATACTGACTAACAAGTATCTTTGGTGTTGCATAACTGACTGAATATTATCTATGGTGTTGACTAACTGACTGACCAGTATATCTGGTGTTCAATAACTGACTGACCATTATCTCTGGTGTTGAATAACTGACTAACAAGTATCTCTGGTGTTGAATAACTGACTGAATATTATCTATGGTGTTGAATAACTGACTGACCATTATCTCTGGTGTTGTATAATGTACTGGCCATTATCTACCTGTAGTCAGCCCAGGTGTTGAATGACTATCATTTGACTGTTTTCCTGTATCTGTTTGTTCGCCTATTTGTTGTTTAACGCCGGACTCAGCAATATTCCAGCTATATGGCGGCGGCCTGTAAATAATCGAGTCTGGACCAGACAATCCAGTGGTCAACATCATGAGCATCCGTCTACGAAATCTGGATACTATGACATATGTCAACCAAGTCAGCGAACCTGACCACCTATTTCCGTTAGTCGCCTCTTACGACAAATCTTCCTGTAACCAAAATTGGGCAGTGAAATATATGTTAAACTAAACGATAACAGTCCATTGTAATCATTAAAACAGTCAACTTAATTAAAGATAGAAGAATATAGTAACTATATCTTACCCACAGTATGGAGTCGTAGGCGTTGTGACCAAATTCCATGTAATACTCATTCACGCTTGTGGATGGTACACTTGTAGAACTGTCATCTTCTTGAAAGTCATATCTAAGCGTATCTGTAAGTTCTTGAGTGAGTCCATACATGTCTACCACCGATCTTTTAGCTATGTTAGTGTTACACACGGTTACAGCCGGGAACGGCAGCGTCTGACCCAACTTGACGTCGACGTGGACGTTGACGGGACGTGACAGAAACAGTTGCATCTGTTTCATGACGTTGAAGGCGGTGAACGCAAGTCCTCCACATATAACGAGAAACCAGAAAAGACGTCGCAGAACACCGGAAGTGACGTCACTCACCTGCTTGACGCCTTGCATGTTAACATGGTCAGCAAGTTCCGGTTTGGCATCCAGGCGATGGTTATATTGCAAATGCATTTCCCGTGTTTAAGTAAAAGTTGTTCACACAAATATTGTTAATAGTGTTCTCCTAAAGAAGGTAGCAGTACAGAGCCCCGTTTTTCGGAACTGTCCTGGTACTCCCTGCAATGTCTATGGGCTCTTCACGATGTCACAGCACGTATACTGGGTGTCGAGTAAGGTTTTGTAAGTGTGCCACTAACGATTCACCCTGGCAGTTTCCGCCACATCCATCCAATCAAATAACAAAGTATAATACGAAACACATTTACGGATATCTGAGATCTGTTCCAACCAATGGTGCCATCATCGACTTGATTCATCGCGATCACTAATGACACGATTCAGAGATTGACAGCTGTCACTGTGCTGTTTTGCATGACTAAATAATAACATATACCGCCCGAAGGAAGTAAAACACCATCCGATTGTTGTTGCTGTTGCTGTTGTTGTTGAGATTTGGTGGGTTTTTTCATTTTACAATTCACAGCTTTATATTCTTGACATCATACTCATCTAGAAATATATGCACTGACATTCAACAGCACAAACAGTCTTTCATGTGACTATCATTATTCTGTTTTGGGTCTCGGCGTAATACATTTACAAAAGTTATTTGAATGAATCGAGCGTTCTTTGTCGTTTTTTTATGCGTATTATATAAAAGTGAAACGTTTTGTTGACCAGTGTTGTAAAGGTATTTTATTGTAAGACTCAGTAGAAGATCATAACATTGTATTTTAAGTAGTTGTCAGGAATGTATTACTATCGATGTAATCCGTGGTGGGGAAGTTATTCTGTGAGGACGCTTCTTGAGGCACGTGTAGCCTGATATCTTCTTGGACAACCTCATACTAATCCAGCATGATGTCAACCGTTCTGGAGGCGCATGCTTATCTCATTACACCAAAGGGGCGGTGGGGTAGCTAAGTGGTTTAAGCGTTCGCTCGTCACGCCGAAGGCTCGGGTTCGATTCCCCACATGTGAACAATGTGTGAATCCCAATTCAGGTTCCCCCGTCGTGATATTGCTGGAATATTGCTCCGAGCCCGTAAAACCAAACTCATTCACTGACTCATTACATCAAGACCACTGGTTGTGTAAAGATCATATTCAGCCTGGGTATCCAGCCTCGGCGTTTTAGTGAGGTAGTGAGTTTAGTTTTACGTCGCTTAGCAATATTCCAGCAATATCACGGCGGGGGAACACCACAAATGAGCTTCACACATTGTACCCATGTGGGGAATCGAACCCGGGTCTTCAGCGTGACGAGCGAACGCTGTAACACCTAGGCCACCCCACCGCCCCCTTGGCGTTTTAGGAAAACGTGACACTATTGCTGAAAAGTGATAAACAAATGATTTCATTGCCTTTACCATCACCTGTATATTTGACAGCGCCGTTGTATGTTGTACCCTACTCTATTCCTTACTCCGATTGTTATTATTTATTAACATGGTTAATCTGTTAATACATTTAGATGTTTCTTTATTATTTCTGGAAGTTATTTACTCTATATCTGCGGGAAAGCGCATCTCATTAAGGATGTTGTAGGACTCTCTGTCATATTCTGCCATTGTTATTCATTTTTGGTTATTGATTTGTAAACGTGAAAATACAAATGTTAGTTGTTCCTTGCGTATACTTTTCGCAGTGACAATCATGTTTGGAATTATACGCACGGAAAAAGCCTTTGGAACACATGATTTATATAACCTCTATACAGCCGTTTATATTCATATCATAATCATGTTTGTTTTTACGCCTATTTTGATCATTCGGCCGCATCGACCATTGCTTTTAGATATTCTTCCGATCAAAGGCAAACATCACGTGCAACATTAGGGCATGTGTACTGGTCATTAGGCAAATATCTAATTTCAGAGTCCTTTACTTAGAGTCCGATAACTTTGAAAATTTATTGAAATCGTTGTTCATAAACAAATATGGGGTTTCCTCAACTGATGGTATGTCACCGAGGGCTATTGCAATAGATGTTGTTTGCCATCCATCGATTATCAGCCGATTGAAAACATCAGTGAACAAATGGGGTTAATGACCGTTAGCGTCCTGATCGACCGCGAGTGACAACAAGGGGATTCAGCCCTTCTCAAAATCACAAGATTATACCCGTTCATGTCATAAATGGCATGTTAACATCAGAGTTGCTGCCACATCGTCGTTTGTCCATCAGGACGGTAGGAAGTCGCCTAAAATCGGCTGGGTATTGAATCAGGCGTCCGTTGTTATCATAGCAGCACAGCAATAAGGCATGAGTTCACATGGATGGGTCAACTGGTCGGGACGAAAGTCGGTTTTTGTAGTTCTTGGCTGATGACCGAGCTCGGGTTTGGTGCCGCACAGGTAAGGTGAGGTGAAATGGGGTTTAACGTCGCACTTAAGAATATTTCGCTCATATGCCGACGTACATGCGTGTGTATGTGTGGATGCTTGTACTAGCCCAGACTTAAGCTGGTTTTATAGTGCTAGCTCACGGAGATACCATGCCGCAGGCGCAGTTAAGCATGGATACCCCACTCAGACACATTATACGGACTCCGAGCCTACCAGTCCTTGTTGTACCCATTAATGCCGAGCGCCAGGCAGGGACCGACAAGTACCATATTTTAACGTGTTTTGGTATGACGCGGCCGGGGATCGAACCCGCGACCTTCCGCTCTCCGGGCGGACGCTCTAACCACTACACCACGGAGGCGGTCGGGTGCCGCACAGAAGCACTGCATATGTATAACTTGGAGCAAGTGCCGTTTGGTGGGGGTTCATTGATAGGGTAGGGGTGCCTCTCGCATGTCTGTAAACTTGACCTTTCGATGATCAGCCAAAATCTGAATGGGCAACGGTACATCCTAGACAGGGTTGTTGTACCACATTTCGATGACCCTCCCCCGGGATATAATTCCAGCCTTCATGAACGACAATGCTAGGCCACATCGTGCATGCGCGGTGGTGTAGCAACTCTACCTTGGCCCTCCAGGAGTCCTGATCTCAATCCCATGGAGTATGTTTGAGACATTATGGACAAATACACCAGAGGGACCCTCCAGTAAAAAATCTTGATGTATTGGAACATGGTTAATGGTAACATATTGGTACTATGAAAAGCATGGGGTGTTGCGATACTTTCTTCCATGTGTATATATAGATACTTAACAGAAATATATAAATGATATGTATTTGAACGTCTTTATGGAATTCTTATGAAGTGTTCCAACTGTAATGTAGCCCTTCGTATGGCAGGTAGACTGTAGACTCATCGAACGTTCAATCGCTATTATCCTCATTGCTACATGAATCAGACCTCTGCCTTGAGTCCCTCTGCCGCGCTATTCCGCTAATGACGTGTCCATGATAATGGATAATACACCACAGAGCTGTTATTGATTCAACATGAACAGAGTTGTTATTACACTCTGCTCTATAATGCATTTGTCTGATCTTCCATTTTAACGCGCTACTGCACCCATCATGTTGTAAACACAGATTAATTATTTTCACACAGATAATGGGCAATGTAACTGGGACTGTTATTTATACTTCTGTCGGTAAACAAAAGAGATGAAATGTATTCAATAATTTATGATGCCTCTGTTTCGTTTATCCTTCATCAACTGCCATCCGTGGGTGTATAGAGTTACTATGTGGAACACAAGCAAAGGTGTCAGGTTCTGTACTGGGTGGACTACTGGAAACAGTAGACATTGATTTGAATTCTTCTTCTGGAAATAGTTCTTCTTGAATAACAGATTCAAATAGTTCACAGATCACAGCCTGTGGACAATATCACTCATTGTAGATGTTGTATGATATGTGCTCAATGATGATCAGTCATTCAGGCATAAGATATAAGGCAGTTAAAACTGTCTTCGCTCTTTGGAACATTGATTCTTTGGATGTGTGTAGGATGCGGTTATTCGGTTTCAAGTGAGTCATAGATATGTGAACGGCAGTTTGACATTGAAAACTTTTAATTTCTCAAACTGGTCATCATTTGCCATCTGTGATACCCTAAATCTAAAAATGAGTGTATGCATCGAGGAGAATGGCGTTCCTCCTCCGGTACGTTTAGCAGACCAGATGACCATGCAGGGAGTCAAACAGATCGCTGACGTCACATCCGGTAGACTTCGGCGTTGCTTTTGGCTCATGGTTGTATGCGGGGGGCTCACCTTCACCGCCTTCAACATCGCCAAACAGGTCCAGCTTTATATGTCGCTGCCTGTCAACGTCGATATCGACGTTAAGTACGCGCAGAAGCTGCAGTTCCCCACGGTGACCCTGTGCAATTTGAACCTGTTTAAGAAATCAAGTCTGGAACGTCTGAATCTAACAGGGGTAGTTAAAGAAGCATTCCGATATGATTTCCAATCGGCAGTAAACATTAATTACAGCAGTTACGACCTGTCTGATGCTGGTATGGACATTAAATCCTCCATCTATATGTATGGCCACGATATCTATGATTCCGTTTTTCAGGTAAGCAACGTCTACATAAGCAGTTTACATGTTTTACAGTAGGCCTGTATGAGGACTATCAAAGAAATAACACAACTTGATGAAACTCTTTTGTTACTTGTGAAAATATATTGGAAAGTTTGATTGAAACAGAATTGTTTTCAATCCCTTCTTCAAGACCTCAAGCTGTAGACGTTTTCTCTCTGGAACTGAAAGAGGCAAACCCTATTGCAGAGTTCATTGCAGGATTCCGCCTACACTGAGAACATGTGTTCATGAACCACCATCGAAATGTTTTAAAATGGTGGCATTCATAAAAAGGTGTAAATCGCTGAAACATTTGGTACTAGTCACAGTCAAGGAATTGCACTGAACCAATTGTGTTAGACCAACCTGATGTTTTAGGACGTTTCAGGAACAAAAACCTTGCAATTCCGAATAGAGAATATTAGGACAAGTACCCTCGTAATAACTCTATACCTTTTGTTTGAATCATTTTAATCAGGATAAAATACTTATGTCTAGAACTGACAAAGCTATTATAGTATTCAGCACAGTGCGATCAGACATCGCGATTGGACTTTCCCTACACTGTAATTGAAATATATTTTAAAACTACGTTCTTCCAAAAAGGATACCCGCAGTCTAAATGTTACTGTGTTCAATCAAATGTGCATATTTCATTTGATTTGACTGATACAAAGATGAAACATGAATGGTAAAAGTCAAATGTTCAGTGGACGTACTTTCAGCAGACACGGAACTGATTGTCCTGACCCAACACACGTACGTTTACGGCTGGTGCGTTCTGATCAGTACCTGACGTGATCACCATGTGCTGTTGTCACTGCTTTTAACCATGGCACCAACTGAATATGTCTACGGATTCTGTCTTGTGGAATTGTCATCCGTTTCGTGCTGTAAGGTGTTAGCCAGGTATGCTCGTGTCTGTGGCAAACGTTGACGTTGACGTACACGTTCATGGAGTTAATCTCACAAATGCTCTTCCGGGTTCAGATCAGAAAGGCCATAGCAAGACATCACACTCCGGCACAGCGATGACTTAACATAACATCACTGCCACAGGCTAATTTGCATATCACGTGACCGGACTTTTCTCTTGTTTGTAATCAAACGCGCCTATTCATAATAAGAAGAGACTGGACTCACGAAAGCTTCTCGGCGCTCTCTTCATAATGTTTTACATTGTTACATATATATTCTTCCACAACTGCGACAATTAGGTCTATGACAGTACATATTTAGATATCAAACTGGCTGCATCGTTTGCTCTCCTTCGGCTTCGATGACAGCACGTGGAGCCGTACAACCTATGTAAACAAAGGATCGCTACGCAAATCGAAATAGTGTTACATGTTTTGGGATATTTTCTCAGTGAAACTAAACCATTCTATTAAAGATGTTTAGTTAGATGTGTAGACTCGCCAAAAATAAAAGAGTGAAAGAAATCTGTACATTATATTGAATGGACATTGCAAGATGTGACGAATCGTCACATTTTTCTGGCCCGTGGCAGAGATACTATGCTGGCTTGCCGCATGGAACTCTGGGTAGGAGAGTGAGCAAGACATGTAAACTATGGAGGAGCTCAACGGTGACCAGAGCTGTGTGGTGTAGCGATGTCAGTTTGAAACCACTCCTTCTGTTCATTGATAAACGGAAGACTTATTTGTTGGCTGGTTGTTCAAAGCCGCATTCAGAAATACTCCAACTATATGACGCATGTAAATATTCTGTCTGTACCCGGCAATACAGGGACTGACATTATCTGTGGATCTACACAACTGGGATACGATAAGTCAACAAATTGTAAGTCAGCAAGCTTGACGTTATTCGCCTCTTGCAATAAGATTCTACGTACTTTTAGGTGTCTTGTCATTAACTGTCTTGATTACTCACGGATGTTTGTATGTGTTTCAGTGTGACTGGATGCAGGAAAAATGTGACGTCGCCAATTTCACCCTGACTGAAACCGAGATAGGACTTTGTTTCTCTTTCAACGGTATATGCTGTTTTCACTGACACATATTTCCACATGTACATCAATGGTTTCATTACAAACATGTTATTAGAGTTACCCAGCGGAGAAAATCCAGTGCTAAGTTTAACTACATTTTGAACCCGAATTGTTTTACTAAGGATAAGGGGACGGTGGGGTAGCCTAGTGGTTAAAACGTTCGCCCGTCACGCCGAAGACCCGGGTTCGATTCCCCATATGGGTACAATGTGTGAAGCCCATTTCTGGTGTCCCCCGCCGTGATATTGCTGGAATATTGCTAAAAGCGGCGTAAAATCATACTCACTCACTGACTAAGGATAACTGCTAGGGGAAGTAATTCAGTGATTCTCCACCTGTCAGCTTTATGTCGGAGGAAAGCCCCAGGTGAATCATGTTTTTGATTTTTAATTCTCTAGTAAAATCCATCAGTACAATCATGTTGCTGTCAAAACTATAAATATGATCAGAGCAGGATGGAACTGAGTGTCACAGGTTCCTTATACGTGTAAGGGGCGCAACTCTGGGAAGCCAGCTGTATTGCTTTCGATAACTTGGGAAGTCTTGCTCCTTAACTACATGTAGGCAATTGAGAGAGTCTGTGGAAATGTACGAAAATCTTCTTGCACCATATTGGTAGCATAAATTAATTTTTCAGTCTAAAAACTGTGTTATTTCAATTATTTGAAATCTACTTAGAACTGTATTTTATCGCATTTTCAATGAGTTTATCATGAGTTCAAGTCTGTTCCTAAAACTCGAAATTTGGAGAAAATAATAGAAATTGCGAAAAAAATAATTGAAGTAACAAGACAAGCCAAAATTTCGAAAACATAAACAAAGAATTGACAAAACGAAGATTTTCAGTTTGAAACCAATTAAATGGCCACCGGTAGGGCAGGTCATGATTGCCATTTACGGGAACACCCGGTGTTGCTGATTTTCTGGTATTCTCCCTCATTTTGCCTGTAAGACCCTTTTGCCTGTTATGAATCTGTTTATTGCGATAATCAAGCCTGGATATATTCTGGCGATGACATTATACTTTCATATGGGCTTTTGGTGTTTTCAGTCAACGGCACTAGCTCCACCGTCGGCTCGGGGCGGCTTTACGGCTTACAGCTGCTCCTGGATGCAAGGTCAGAAGAATTTGTAAGGAGTCGAGAGCACACCGAGGGTGCTGGGTTTATGGTACGTGTACACAGTAACCCAAACACTGAAGGCAATGTGACGGAATGGTATATCCTTGTCACTTACATATTTAATTATTTGATCATCTTTAGATGTAAACACTAATCTGGCTTGGTCTATGTACAGTCGAATCCTGTTCTCTCGATCAGTTCAAAAGTGTCAACAAAGCATGAGATCAGACAATCAAGAAACGTCATTTGCAGTAAATTACATGCATATAAATATAGTACTTAACTCTTTGACAACAAAATACACAAAAATCATTTTAAATTGTTTGCATCTTTTCGTCATCTTCAGGACTTTACATTATCTATTTATAGTCTTAGTGTGAACACTAAGAACGGTTTAAGCAGTTGGGCGCCGTTCCACAAAGCGATGTTACCGGTAGGGTCGGATGATGCTTGCATTTATCTTGAATTGCAAATCAAACAAACATGTACAATTTTGAAAACAACTTAAGACGAAACAATGTAACATTTATACTTATATTAGCGACAAAAGACTTTCCAGAAACTAAAATCTCCTTTTAGGCTTCTTTTGAATATTTACTCCGTGTATTGCCAGATTGCCGTGCATTCACCTGATATCCCCCTCCTGATGAATGACATAGGGATGGCACTCACTCCAGGCTCGCAGTACTTCATTGGTGTGGAGTTAGCGGTAAGGTTAAGTGTGTGTGTCAGAATGATGTACTGCTACGAGTGACAGTGTGATTTGGTGTGGCAAGTAAATGAGTGTTTCATCTACCCAGCCACATATTTTGCCATGTCTCTCCTGGGATTACCTCGATGCAATTGTATAGAGCATCATCTATATTTAGAAATAGGACGATAAAGACATAAAGTCAATCCACATGATATATCAGTACATGAGATGTACTCGCACTCATTAATGTATGATCAGGGTTAACAATACATTCAAAGTAGGAAACAGCGTCATGGGTAAATAACCAGGTTACTCCACATGTAATATTTGTACATCAGATATATTCACACTTGTACGTGTATAGGAAGGGATTACCAATCATTCAAAGTAGGAAACAGTTTCATGGGTAAATAACCAGGTTATTCCACATGTAATATTTGTACATCAGATATATTCACACTTGTACGTGTATAGGAAGGGATTACCAATCATTCAAAGTAGGAAACAGCGTCATGGGTAAATAACCAGGTTATTCCACATGTAATATTTGTACATCAGATATATTCACACTTGTACGTGTATAGGAAGGGATTACCAATCATTCAAAGTAGGAAACAGCGTCATGGGTAAATAACCAGGTTATTCCACATGTAATATTTGTACATCAGATATATTCACACTGGTACGTGTATAGGAAGGGATTACCAATCATTCAAAGTAGGAAACAGCGTCATGGGTAAATAACCAGGTTATTCCACATGTAATATTTGTACATCAGATATATTCACACTTGTACGTGTATAGGAAGGGATTACCAATCATTCAAAGTAGGAAACAGCGTCATGGGTAAATAACCAGGTTACTCCACATGTAATATTTGTACATCAGATATATTCACACTTGTACGTGTATAGGAAGGATTACCAATCATTCAAAGATTACCAATCATTCAAAGTAGGAAACAGCGTCATGGGTAAATAACCAGGTTACTCCACATGTAATATTTGTACATCAGATATATTCACACTTGTACGTGTATAGGAAGGGATTACCAATCATTCAAAGTAGGAAACAGCGTCATGGGTAAATAACCAGGTTATTCCACATGTAATATTTGTACATCAGATATATTCACACTTGTACGTGTATAGGAAGGGATTACCAATCATTCAAAGTAGGAAACAGCGTCATGGGTAAATAACCAGGTTATTCCACATGTAATATTTGTACATCAGATATATTCACACTTGTACGTGTATAGGAAGGGATTACCAATCATTCAAAGTAGGAAACAGCGTCATGGGTAAATAACCAGGTTATTCCACATGTAATATTTGTACATCAGATATATTCACACTTGTACGTGTATAGGAAGGGATTACCAATACATTCAAAGTAGGGTAAACAGTAATTCATGGGTAAAGGGATTACCACATTCAGGGTAAATAACCAGGTTATTCCACATGTAATATTTGTACATCAGATATATTCACACTTGTACGTGTATAGGAAGGGATTACCAATACATTCAAAATAGGAAACAGTTTCATGGGTAAATCACCGGGTTATTCCACATGCAATATTTGTTCATCAGATTTAGTCACACTCGCACGTGTATAGGAAGGGAGTTTTATGTGTAAATCATGTCGAACAAAGTCATGCTCTTACCTGTTGTCATTGATGTTACCCTCGGGGTTTGGTCGTTGAATTTATGAACGGCATGGTTCAACATCATCTCATGCATCCATTCGTTTTAATAACCGTTTCATGTTTCCAGACGGCGACGTCACCAACAGGCCTGGATGGTTGTGGGAGCAAGAGCCTCAAGTACTACAACAAACCCTATTCCCGCGAGGCTTGCCGTATTGAATGCATCACCAACTATGCTCTGGCACAGTGTTCCTGCCGTGATATATATATGCCCGGGAATGCAGATATATGTTCACCTGAGCAAGGCTTTCGGTGTTTGATTCCAGCAATGATCAGATATCATTCAACACGTGGAGAATGTGAGTCGTCTTGTCCACAAACCTGCTCCTACACCTCCTTCAACGTACGTTCATCATCCAGTCTTAGGGTGACAGATGAATACCTCTCCACGCTAGCTAACGTCACCAACGATACACTGGAATACTGGAGAAGCAACTACGTGGCTGTAGACGTCTACCTGTCGTCGATGACGTATCAGAGTGTCGAGAAGAGATATGCGTATTCGGTGCTTGAACTTTTCTGTGACATAGGTGGCGCTCTGAGCCTAATTTTAGGAGCAAGCGTTGTTACTGCACTGGAGGTTATAGACTTCGCTGTACTTCGCCTCAGTACCTATTTCTGCTATCATAGCAATTGCAAAAGAATAAACGTCAAATCAGGAATGTAACATTAATACCAATGCCATGTACCCGTCCTTGAATAATACACCCCAACATACACGTGTACTTGTGGCTGTAACCGTCGTTGTTATTGCTGTTGTTGAAGGTTGCACTCAGGAATAGTCTAGATGTATGACAATGGCAGGTATATATATATACGACCGTGGACCAGACAATACAGTGACTGATATCAACGTCATGAGAGTCACCCAGCCTGACAACTAGATCGATTTAGTACGTAACAGTTCTCGAACTGGTACCTGTGACACTGATCTAATACCTTTTAAACATGGTATTGTTCCATAAACCATCGATTTGGCTCCATGCTCTAACTAGTTTATGTATGTTACTAGAAAGTAGAGGTAAGAGACATTCACCAGGAATGGGTCATCTCACCTTACATACACAGCCAGGTATTTGAAGGGGTGTTTCATCACTCTTTGTGTGCTCTTTTCACATTTACTCCCTTACAGCCCGAGTCTTGTATTTGAATGGATATTTCGTCACAATTATTGTGCTCTTTTCACATTTACTCCCTTACAGCCCGAGTCTTGTATTTGAATGGATATTTCGTCACAATTAATGTGCTGTTTTCACCTTACATGCAGTTTACAGAGCTAGGTTCTGGTATTTGAATGGATATTTCGTCACAATTAATGTGCTGTTTTCACCTTACATGCAGTTTACAGAGCTAGGCTCTGGTATTTGAATGGATATTTTGTCACAATTTATGTGCTGTTTTCACCTTACATGCAGTGTACAGAGCTAGGTTCTGGTATTTGAATGGATATTTTGTCACAATTAATGTGCTGTTTTCACCTTACATGCAGTGTACAGAGCCAGGTTCTGGTATTTGAATGGATATTTCGTCTCAATTAATGTGCTGTTTTCACATTACATACAGTTTTCACAGCCTGACTCTGGTATTTGAATGGATATTCCGTCACACTTCGCTGTGTTCAATTTACATGCAGTTTATTAGGACAAACCAAAGCATTTTATGTTATCTCGCCACACTATTTCAGAACAGAATTTTATTTCAGTAACAGGCCTCAGGCGCAAAATACATATGCATAAATTGATGGATAATTAGAGCACATATAATGTATTTCATTTAGATTTGTATTTCTTGTCAACATAGTATAAAATAGACATACATCCTTGATGATATTAACATTTTTACTTTGTAATATAGATATAAGATTGATAATTGATGGACATTTACTAAAATATTTTGATATGTACTTATTTCTGATATGAGAATATGCATCACAGATATAAAACACATGCCATTCATCTTCAACAACGAAGATGCCATTTAATTTGCAAAACAGGCAATACCTTTCATTACATGCAACATTAATGAAGTACCTTACACCTCGCTGTATTCAATTTACTTGCAGTTTATTAAGGCACACCAAGGTATTTTATGTTATCTCGCCACACTATTTCAATAAAGTTGAAACATTTCGAGTTTGTTTCTTTGTACCTCAGAATATGTGAAATGTATACATAAGCTGCCAGAATATTGCTCGACATAAAGGTAAGACATCTCCCTTGTCATACAGACTATAGTGTAACTATTTGATGGTTATAGACCGATTTCAGATCATCGATACACCTAAAGCCTTAGCTAAATGTCTGGCCCAAATTACCTTACAGTACTTTTGCCAACCCAAGCAAAGAATTTAGACTTATATGGGTGGAGAGAAGCAGATTCGTGAGAGGGGTAGCACAGACTGTCAGATGAACTGTATTCTGGGAAGTCCACCATTCCCTGGCACTGAAGCAATGTGTTAAGCAGATTGCCTTAGACAGCAAATATTTTCCATGTGTGCTATTTACAGTGACATGTCATCTGACAATAATTAATAACGCTCATGCAGTCGCTTTAACAGCAGTATCTCATCCTGGGTCCGTTTTCTAGCTTCCGCTGCCACCACTGTCAACAATGGCCACCGTAACAACCGAGTCGAAAGGGAGGTGGTGTAGCCCAGTTGTTAAAGCGTTTCTTGTCGCAGAAGACCCGGCTTCGATTCCACACATGTGTGGAGACCATGTCTGGTGTCACCCGCCGTGATATTGCTGGAATATTGCTAGGAGCGGCGTAAAACGATACTTACTCTCTGTGCTGAAATTCATCTGTCGGCTTTATCTTGGAGGTTAAACGTCATCCTCAATTGCATTTCTTAGTAGGGAAAAGGATTCTCAACACTACTTTACGTTTCAACTGCCACAAGTCACTCAAAAGAATCAGAAGACATTAAACCCTACTCACGCATTGTCTTTATTGCGATGTGGACGGTGTAAAACATTATATATTAAGGTATTCATTTTATTAGCTTAACTATTTACACTCACGCACACACGCACACGCACGCACGCACACACACAACTAAAAGTCAAATCTGTTTTGAAATGGCTGAAAGCGGTTAAGGCTCCCACAAAAATCCAAATGGTCAGACAGTAGACGGGTAACTACAGAAGCCAAACTGTCAGACAGTAGACGAGTAACTGCAGAAGCCAAATGGTCAGACAATCGGAGGTAACTGCAGAAGCCGAATGGTCAGACAGTAGATGGTAACTGCAGAAGCCAAATGGCCAGCCAGTAGACGGTAACTGGAGAAGCCGTATGGTCAGCCAGTAGACTGTAACTGCAGAAGACAAATGGCCAGACAGTAGCGAGTAACTGCAGAAGCCAAATGGTCAGACAGTAGACGGGTAACTGCAGAAGCCAAATGGCCAGACAGTAGACGGTTAACTGCAGAAGCCAAATAGTCAGACAGTAGACGGGTAACTGGAGAAGCCGTATGGTCAGCCAGTAGACTGTAACTGCAGAAGACAAATGGCCAGACAGTAGCGAGTAACTGCAGAAGCCAAATGGTCAGACAGTAGACGGGTAACTGCAGAAGCCAAATGGCCAGACAGTAGACGGTTAACTGCAGAAGCCAAATAGTCAGACAGTAGACGGGTAACTGCAGTCGTTGGCGGATGTTGACTGCTGCATGTGAGTGAACTGTTTTGGTCGGTTGTCTGAAATCTAAATATTTATGGTAATTTGCTGAACATTTAGACCTCAGATATGTTGGCAGTGTTTATGCCACAGTCGAAATAATACACCTTTATCAGTTTATGTGTAAAAAGAGACTCAAATGTAGAGTGTAGTTCTCTGTAGGTGTGCAGTTATGTCGATGACTCCCAGTCGCAATCACAAAATGGGGACACATCAAACAGACGTGTTTATCCGTAAAAAAGATACCTATTAAATCCAATGTACTGACTAATGATTTCAACTAGCAGTCTGTTTGATGTAAAATAATACTTCCAATAATGGTTTTCACGGTACATATTGCCTCATGATTATTGATGTCGATGATGGGATGTTAGGTCATTAACCAGTTGTGGTCTGAAAGGCTCAGGATGTTATAGTCACTTAATGTTTCCTCTGGCGATGCATAGTTGTGAGCTCAATCTTCTAACTGTAAATTAAATGACAAACCAGTGAAAACAAATATTGTATGAAAAATGATTACATGTTTTAAATGTTTAAAAAATGATAAATATTTATCAATAACTATTAGTGTAACTTTTCTCTTCCTTGTCTTGGGGTGTGGCAATGAAATGTGCATTTAGAGATTTTGAAAGCTGATTGATCATTTGGAAACAGATAATTATTTCTTGTATTAAAAAAAGTTCAATGTTTAATCCTCATGATATCGGTATCGATGGAATTGTCCTTGACTGGGTACGTTCTTACCTATCTGATAGGTCACAGTCCGTCAAAGTGGAATCTGTACTCTCCACTGCATCACCACTCCACTATGGCGTTCCCCAAGGATCTGTCCTTGGACCTTTACTGTTTAGTCTGCACATTCTTCCCATTGGTGACATTGTCCGAAAGCACTCACTGAAATTTCATCTTTATGCTGATGACAATCAGTTATATCTGTAAGCGGAGCCTAACCTTGCTCAAGGTTCTGCACTGAAGATACAACAATGTATTGCTGAAATAAGAGACTGGATGACCTTGAACTTTCTGAAATTGAATGACACAAAGACTGAGTTCTTAACCATCGGATCCAGGCATCAACTTTCCACAGTGCCTGACAGTTTATCTCTTGAAATTGGACAAGATGTTATCACGCAGTCCAACTCTGCAAGAAATCTTGATGTCATCTTTCAATCAACAATGTCATTAGAAAATCAAATCAAATCACTCAGCAAAGGATGCTTCTACCATATCTTCAATATTAGCAAGATCCGAACCCTCTTAGACTTCAACACCGCCCAGCTTCTAACGACCAGCCTTGTTCTCTCTAAACTTGATTACTGCAACTCCCTCTATTACAACATTCCTCAACAGCTCCTTTCACAACTCCAACGGATTCAGAATTCAGCCGCCCGTGTTGTTGCCCGTGCACCACGCTACCAAACTGTGACACCTATCCTCCAAACTCTTCACTGGCTTCCTGTATCAAGCAGAATTCAATACAAACTTCTTCTTCTTACACACAGCTGCATCTATGAAAACATGTTTTCTCAATATCTTAAAAGCCTCATTCATCTCCATGTTCCAAGCCGATTGCTCCGCTCGTCAAACTCCCTACTGCTTACACAGCCTCACGTCAAAACAGCCATGGGCCCAAGAGCGTTATCTGCTGCAGCCCCCTATCTCTGGAACATTCTACCACTCACCCTAAAAGAAATAGAATCTGCTGATGCTTTCAAAACTGCCCTCAAAACCCATCTGTTCAAACTCTCTTTTCCATAGACATTGTCTACAATCTTTTCTCTTCATAGCGCCATTGAGCAATATCTTTTGGAAATAGGCGCTCTATAAATCAATTATTATTAAAAAGTATTATTATTGTCAATGAAGCTTGTGTAAATCGTGCACTGACTGCTTCCCTGTTTGTAACATGGATGTCAGGGATTCATCAAAGAGCTTTTAGCAGTGTGTACAGTAAACCTATATGTATCTTGTTTGCGTCAGAATTATTGTCGATGAATTCATATTGTAGGCCTATTTATTACGCTTTTCAAAAAAAATCCTGTGAATCACTGTGTCGAAGATAAAGGGACTTGTAAATAGTAAATACTTCGAATTATCAGAGCTTCGACACAACCAAGGTTATAGTTCGAGAGAGCCATAAGTTCGACACGACGGTGGTTGACTGAAGTTGAGAACACTGATGGAGTTTTCACAAGCAACTACAATGGAAAATAACTCTGAATCTTTACAAAACTGCATGCCGGCTACCACACTGTTTATTCAGTAATAAGGTCTGACAGAACATAAATTTTATAACGCAGAAAGAACTATGGTGAGTATATATGGAGAGTGCAGACATATTTGAGCTGGTCAATATTAATTAAAGGTATTTCTGGTTTTGAGTGAGACAAACAAAACGAAAGCAGGTATAGCTATTATGTCCCCATGCCAAGAAAACACTACAGGTTTCAATATAGCCAAAATACATATGGGCATCCCCTACTGTGATAATGCTCACAGCACACACACGCACACGCGCGTATAAAAATCAGCGTGTTATGGATATGTGGAGAACACATGCGAAAGGTGGTACTGACATTTAAATACTGCGAAAATCATGCAATATGCATAAAACCCATCCTGCCGGATGTTTGGTATTCACACGGCAACGGCGTACAATGCTTTAAATGCATTGCCTTTATCAATGATGGGAGTCAATGGGAACTGTTATCAGTCATGTATTTCCTTGTCACTTACTAATTAATTGTTTATTGGGTAGATGGCTTATTATAGGCATAGGATCGGGTTACAGGACATGTGTGTCCCTTAATTGATGGACGACATACAAGTGTCATCGCTGGTGGAAGTCAACAGTGGTCAAAGGCACATTGTCCTTTTATGGAGGCAGTTCTTTCAGAACGTCAGAGGCGTATGAAACATTCCAATGGATTAGAACTGTTCATAAAAGGAGATTGACAATGACATGACAATGGGCACTTCACGACAATGGTCTCATATACAGACACAATATTTAGTTTTGAACTGTGTAGTCTATGAAGATATTCTTCTTCTAAGCGACGTTTAAAGGTAAACGTTAGTTTTGTGGTTATTGAATGATGTCAGGACTTTGCAGTCTGTTTTACACTCCAAGATAAATAATGACTGGAAACCAGGACAAGAATATTGTGCCTCCTCCTTTAAGGTTAGCGGACCAGATGACCATGCAGGGAGTCAAACAGGTCGCTGACGTCAGATCCGGTACACTTCGGCGTTGCTTCTGGTTCCTTGTTGTGTGTGGCGGGCTCACCTTCACCGCCTTCAACATTGCCAAACAGGTCCAACTTTATATGTCGTTGCCTGTCAACGTCGATATCGACGTCAAGTTGGCACAAACGCTGCAGTTCCCAACGGTGACAGTGTGCAACACCAACGTTCTCAAGAAATCACAGATGGATCCTCTTAATTTAACTGAGGCGGTGCAGGAAGTGTTTAGATATGATTTCCAAAGTAGAGAAACATCTAATGACACCAGGTACGACTTTTCCCTCTTGCAGGAGGACAATATTTATGAAGCCACCCTCAAATATGGACACAGCACTAATGATTCTGTTTTCCAGGTAAGGAACATTTACATATGAATACCCCTGGCAATGTCTGACCGTTATATGATTTCTAAGAAATGAAAACAATTTCACTCCATTTGGACATTCTGGAATAATGTGACATAGGTAACGAATAATGATAACATCCTGTCAGAACATTACTACCGTGACAATAAGCTTTGATATTCAAGAATGTATGGGTGTTGTCTGTGTTCCGATATTCTGGATGGGTCTGTCGTAAAGCATGAGCTCGACATTGTTAGAGTCGCATCGGATGTGAATAAAAGCGGAAAGAGATAGCGTTCCTTGACATATTCAGCATATATACTCAGATGGTTGGTTTGTTGTTTCACGTCGCAATCAGCAATATTCCAGCTATATGGCAGTGGTCTGTAAATAATCGAGTGTGGGCCAGACAATCCAGTGATCAGCATCATGAGCATCGACCTTCGCAACTGGTTATATTTACTTTAAGATATACTGTATAATATGTAATGCTACATATATATGGCCAGGTTGTATGTTTTAGACGACCAATTGCCAGCTTCTGTTCGGTGTGTCAAGTCCTGACTACCAGTAACCATGGTATACTTTACCCTCCGTATCGCGCCGCTATGTATCATGTTACATTACATGCATCCAGCAAATCGTGCACAAGACCCACATTTAGGTGGCATTTGTGTTGAAAGCAATGTGTACGCGTGTACGCACGCACGCTCGCACATGTACATAGCAGAGTGTATAGCGATCATAGTATCGATGTATTCTAACTTGACAGCTTGTGTTCGATTTACAAACGGTTTATCAAATTATTTTAGTCGTAATATTGGAACAAGACAAGGGTGCATTTTAAAGCCCACAAATGATTATCATTTTCATAAATAAGCCGATAGACTTCATGACGGAGAGTTGTGGTAGAGGTGTTTATTTATTTCCTACTTTTGATAATATGTTTGTTTGCATGTTTGCTGATGATGTGTCATCTATGGCTACAGTTGCAAAGAAAGAAATATGCTCTTGAGCATTTTTGTGACCGTACGGGTATGAAAGTTAACTTGAGTAAGGCAAAGGTAATGGTTTTTCCGTAATGATGGTCCATTGAGGAAGTATGAAAGACAGTATTTCAAGGGAGATCCAATAGATGTTGTTTCGTCATATAAATACTTTGGTCTTGTTTTCACACCCAAACTTTGCTGCAACAGGACACAGGATTCTCTTGCAGCAAATGAAGAATTATTAGCTATTTATACTTAGAAAAGGAAATTTGGCAGTTTATCATGTAAGGACGTGTTTAAGATATTTGATGCTACAGTTGTTCCAATATTGTGTTATGGTTCAGAAGTATGGGGTGTAAATTATTGTAAGAAAATTGAGAGTGTTCAGATTAAAATTATGCAAATGGATTCTCAAAGTTGGCAGGAATACTACAAATAATATGGTTCTTGGAGAATGTGGAAGAGTCCCACTTCAGTATATCTAGATGGCTAGAGCGGTTAAGTACTGGACAAAACTTATTAATATGAATGAAAATAGACTACCTTTGCAGTTCTATAATATGATGTTATTCTAGGATGAAGGTGGAAGAATGAATTGAGATACACATATCAAAACCATTTTGTTTAGACTTGGTTTTAGATTTGCTTGGGTTGCACAAGATGTAGGGCAGCTTGATACCTTTATTTGGTATTTAAGCCAAGGCTGTTTGATAATCTCCATCAAAAGTGGGTTTCAGAATTGGGAGTTTCATCAAAGACACAATACTATAAGCAGTTTAAATCATTATTAAATGTTGTATTGTATTTATCATCATATTTTCCTGTTTGTATTAGGTCTGCCATAGCAAGATTTAGATGTTGTAATTATGGGCTTGCAGTAGAAACAAGACGTTATGATGGCTCTGAATATTTAAGGCGACTCTGCCCTTTTTGCCTTAAAGATGGATTATCTTTTGTGGAAGATGAATATGTATTATTTGTGTGTAAACAATATGCAACCATAGGAACCACATGTTTTTTCAAACATGTAACATCAGTATCACATCAGTCTTTTATAAATATTATGGCATCAGATAAATGTAGTGTTGTCTATGATATTGGTCAGTTCCTACTTAAGGTGTATAAACTTAGAATTGCCCTTACACGTGAAATGGGTGTGTGATAGGGTACATATCACAGGTAAATCTATATGTATGACAACTCTTGCATGGAATAATTAATGGACTCTGTATTGTGTATTTATGCGCGGATTGTGAAAGTTAATCCAAGATTATAGTTTGGCCAATGGCCCTGATATTGAAATATCTGTTTGTCTGTCTGTATTTTTAAACGGGTCAGCATCTTGCACTCAAGACCTACTGGGTAATATACTATTCACACTTTGCTAAGGATCAAATCATGGATTCAACAGAAAACTATTACGTGGGGTCAAATTTGGTTTAAATGCCTAAGCGTATTGGTAGCATGAATGCCAGGTTTCAGTATGTCATTGCATGTTGTGGATCCCATACCTGCTATATTGACAGGTGGTGTTGTTTATTTGCAAATGACTCGATCCATGATTTGCAAAATGGTTGATTGGTGCCATCAAAACCATTTTTATGGTTACTCATGTATCAAGTGCATAAGGTTAAATTAAAGTGGTTGTTTGCCTAAAGAGGGGTTACCATATCATTATTTATCCAGTTATAAATGTATATAATTTCAAATTATAAATCTACGTTTAAGTAAAGTTGTGAATTTTTGTGATCCTTATCAAAGTGTTAGTCGTATTATAAGAGGCCTGTGAAGATGGAAGTAAATATATGGTATATATATGACTTGAGTTTTTCAGTGTATTGAATGCCCAACCCTAAATAAACAGTTCATGTGAATTTAGACAGAGAAAATGAATTGAATTAATACTTTTTGTACATAGGTCGCTTTAATATAATTGCAATTCTGTACAATGTTCTTTTCAGTGGGGGCGGTGTGGTAGCCTAGTGGTTAAAGCGGTCACTAGTCACGCTGAAGACCCGGGTTCGATTCCCCACATGGGTACAATGTATGAAGCCCATTGCTGTGATATTGGAGGAATATTGCTAAAAGCGGCGTATAACTAAACTCACTCACTCACTGCTTTCAGTGTGACTGGGCGGGGCTGGAATGTGATGCAGAGCATCTGATCAACACGAACAAAGAGATGGGAGTCTGTTTCTCTTTCAATGGTACCAATTATTGCTAGTTCGTATACATGTACAACATTGCCAAGAAAATAATAAGGCAGCATTTTAGTAACAGATTGAACCCAAAGCACGCAATTGAACAATACTTGTTTTTACTTACATGTGACAAGAATTGATACATGATCCTAACCATTTCTTATTTTGCATTTCTAAACTTAAGTCTTTCATGAACTTGGCTGAACTTAATAGGCTATCTGACATTTTCAAACCAATTCGTAATAATCCACTTTTCTGCACAATGTCACTTATAGCATCTCATTTACATGTATATCACTCATTACACCCTTGACTATAAGAATGAGACGTATTTTATTTAGAGGTCATTATTAGACTCGAATGGAATAAACAAATATGTGTAACATATCTATATGTGTTTCAGCCAACGGCAGCATCTCCACCGTCGGCTCAGGGAGGTACTTTGGCCTGCATTTGCTTCTGAATGCTAAGTCGGAGGAATTCATCAGGAGTCGCACGAATACTGAGGGTCCGGGGTTTATGGTAATGTACTATGATGTAAACTACATGACAATATCACTTCTTGTCAAACTAGATGTATCTTCGAGAGTTCACATCCTTTAAAAACATATAGAACAGCTAACATTCGAACATTCATGAGAAGGTATGTCTTAGACAATATTCACCCGTCATTTCTTATACTAAATCCAGACCAACATTTTATCTAGGCTCCTGGTCATAAATAGCCTTGTTCTTGTGTTGATTCAGTCAGTGTTTTATAGATTGCCGTGCATTCACCTGACATCCCACTTCTGATGAATGACATCGGGATGGCGCTCACTCCAGGCTCGCAATACTTCTTTGGTGTTGAGTTAGCGGTAAGATTACGTTTGTATGTACGTGCATTCGTGCGCGCGTAGTACCTCCTATGGAATCCTAGAAGGGGCATTGTCGCGTTATCGCATTGTCACGTTGTCGCCCTTACAAAAAACAAGGCGATAAAGGCAAAATTAACCAAAGTGCGACTATGTGACAATGCGACATTTTGGTCATTTGTCGCATTGCCGCTATGTGACATTGTCGCGCTTTGAATAGTTTTTATTGGACCAAAGGGCGACAATACGACATAACGACAGTTTTCAAGGTCTAAAAATATCGAAACGACAATGTCCCTTCTAGGATTCCATTACCCCCGCACTGGGCCCGCAGTGTTTGACAGCTTACGTCAAGACAAACTAGGTATTAGTGTTGAGGTCTTAACCCTCTTCTAATAATATCTATAAATAGATTTGTTCATGTTTTGAATGAGTTCGTGATTATAGTGACATGCACCAATTGATTGCAATCAATAATTACCATGCACCGATATGAAGAAAAGCGTCATAGGTAAATCAGTGAGTTATTCCATATGCACCTTTGTACAACAGACCTAGTCACGCCCCCTGTCACACCCCATAAATCCAGGACGGTAGCTTCATGTTTTGGTTTATGAATGTCAACTTGAATAGCATGTCCCACAACCACGCTCTGGTTCTATGTACAGACGGCGACGTCACCAACAGGCCTGGATGGTTGTGGAAGCAAAAGCCTCAAGTACTACAACAAACCCTATTCCCGCGAGGCTTGCCGTATTGAATGCATCACCGACTATTCTCTGGAACAGTGTTCATGTCGAGACATATATCTACCCGGGAATGCAGATTTATGTACACCTGATCAAATCGTTCAGTGTTTTGTCCCTGCAATGATCAGATATCATTCAACACGTGGAGAATGTGAGTCGTCTTGTCCACAAACCTGCTCCTACACCTCCTTCAACGTACGTTCATCATCCAGTCTTAGGGTGACAGATGAATACCTCTCCACGCTGGCTAACGTCACCAACGATACACTGGAATACTGGAGAAGCAACTACGTGGCTGTAGACGTCTACCTGTCGTCGATGACGTATCAGAGTGTCGAGAAGAGATATGCGTATTCGGTGCTTGAACTTTTCTGTGACATAGGTGGCGCTCTGAGTCTAATTTTAGGAGCAAGTGTTGTTACTGCCCTGGAGGTAATAGACTTCGCTGTACTTCGCCTTATTGCCTATGTCTCCTATCACAGCAATGTGAAAAGAATAAACGTCAAATCGGTGTCAGGAAAGTAACATTCATACCAATGCCAGTAACCTGTCCTTGAATAACACAGCCGTGTGGTTGTTGTTGTTGTTGTTGTTGTTGCTGTCGTTGTAGTTATGATTGGTGTTGTTGCTGCTGCTATTGTTGTTGTTGAAGGTAGCACGCAACAATATGTCAGAATTATGACAAAGGCAGGTATATAATCGACTATGGACCAGACGATACAGTGATTGAAAACCGGGTCACCGAATCTCACCACTAAAGTATGGTGGCTCAGCCACCACACTAAAGACCATCAACCAGTTCCCAGCAAACGGACACACAGGTTCGCAGCTGTACCCTCAACATGTTGTTACTTGGGCCAAATCTACCCAAGGTCACTGCTTCCAATCCTGATGGATTAAAATAATTTTAATAATGTGATTGTTCGCTGACATGTTCATGGGTGATGTTCAAATTGAATTTAGTTTAATGTTCTCTTCGTTTCCATATCATATTTTAATGCTTGTTATATCAGTGTTATCTGTACATCGTATTTTGAAGTGTGATCCAATAGTGTTTCCATTCAGTGTCATTTACTTGGGACAAAGAAAGTTGATATTTTAGAAGGGTCGATTTCTGGGCCCCTCAGTCAATCAAATTGAAATTTTGTTTAATAATTGCACGTCACTGTACGTAATTCATAAGAATATCGATTTATTAGGCAGGTTTATGTAAGAATTTTATCAATTCTATTTTCAAGAGTCCAACTTAGATATGTCATACTTGTAAATGTCGTATTTATCCATAAAAGATAAGTTTAGCTTCAAACACTACACAGTTGTGTCAGCTGCCTATGATTGTTGGTTATGTAACATGTTTACATTACCTGCAGTTTATATCTGCACACCTGACTTTCAATTGTAATCTCTGCATACTATTTCAATAAAGTAAAAGTTTGTTTCTTTCTCAATCATTCTTATTGTCGGCATTGTCGGACTCCATTGGGCGTAATGGTAAAACAGTCATGACAATTACATGAATTTTCCATTATAATCCCTGGTGACACCACTGGGGTTATACAGTCATGCCCGCATTGCCAGGATAAAATAATAGAGAACACGGAAGAGATAAACAGAATCATCTTTAGTACTATACTATTCCCCGCTGTCGTAAATGTCAACTTAACGGACTTCACTGGACAACTGTGTGTCACCGTGACCAAATGGCGAGCAGGGTTGCTCAGTATGTCAGCCACTAGTCTGACCAACGGTCACTTGTGAAGATTACTGATTGGTGAAAAGTCTTAAATTCTGCAGCTAAGGTATTAAATTTATAGCTAAAACTATCTTCACACATTTTGTCCAACGACTACTAAAATATGTGTTTTGAAATACCTGAAAGCAATATATGCTGCTAGAGACCACAAATGGTCAAACGAAATATGGGTAAGTACAGTTGGTGGCGCTCGTTGGTTTTGTATCCAAACTTCATGTAAAAGAACTGTTTTGGTCGGTAGTTTGAAAATTATTTGTAAATATTTATGGAACATTATTTAACATCTATACCTCAGATATCTATCAATGTTAATGTTACACACACTGATACAGCTTTGTCATTGTGTGTTTGAGGAGAGACCTAAATGTAGACTGTAGCTCTCTGTAGGCGTGCAAATGTGTTGCTGACACTCAACTTTCAGGTATTTCCTCTGTAAGAGCAATAACAAACTGGGACCCCCCATCAAACAGAAACGTTTATCGGTAATTAGAGACCAATTTCATCCAATGTAATAATCCATTCATCCGTTTATTCAGAATCACTAACAGCACGATTGAATGATTTCAGATAGCAGTCGGAACAATGTAACATGAATCACCACTAGTGGTGGTTGTCTTGCTTCATAACTACTGAAAGTCAATGATGTGATGGTGTTCGTTATGCAAACTTTGTGCTCTCAAAGGTACACTCCCATTGTTTGCACATCAAATAGTCACTACAAAAGTCGCACTTACATTTTCTGCTGCTTATGAATAGTTGTGAGAGCTTCATTCTTATTCTAAATTAATAGTGAATAACACTTTTGAAACATTGTACGGAAAATGATTAGTTTGTAGCATTACAAAGAAGAATATATATTTTTGAATAAATACTCTTGGTAACGTTTTATTGGATAAGTAAATGGCCGTGGCTCGTGGCATTTCGCTATTCCGAAAGCTGATTGATCAAACACAAACGGATAATTATTGCTTGGATTAAAGGAGAATACTAAAGAAAACAAACCTAACTTTTCATACGCGTAAAGGCATTCTAAAAGTTACCTTCAGTGAATAAAATTGAACAATAAAAACGTACTCGTATTTCCGTCTATAACTTAAACACCTGACAGTTAATGAACAGAGGGTATCACGTGACACGACGTCATATGTGCCTGTTGCTAATGGCTTCCTCTTTGATTTTACCTCACAACTTAACAGTGTCCATGGATTCTGAAGCAATAAAAGACGTTCCTGGTGTCATTTCTGAAATGGATGTTAGATCGTATCAATACGAGCCGATTTTATATCTTGCAAGACAAACCTCCAGTGAAGATGAAGTAGAAGAATCAAGCGAAACGGAGGCACCGCTTGATGTCAAAATATTTTTAAAAATAGACTATACAATTTATCAGGAATAATATTTTGTCAGCAAAAAGTGATAAGTTCCAACCAGCACACCCACTCTTACAAATAAATTACCAGTCCATAAGAAAGTATTTTTGGAAATGTGATTGCAGTTCATTTTGTGTGAAATGGGTGACTGGACTTAAAAAAAAGATGGTTATGCTTCAAATGGGGGAAACAGAAATTGTCTTCTTCAAAAATGATACTTTTGCAAGGAAATATTTTGTAAAGAAAATCAGGATCCTAGTTCTCATCAATAACGTTAACGTATCAAGTCTCCATACAAGATCCCGGGCTGGTCGAGCAGAGATAATATATGCGACGCAGATATGTTATTCCCCGAAAACTGGTGAACTATTAAATTCTAGTCAGGACAATGCATATTTCCCTAGGTTTTGCTCGTGTAAATAGTTATGGTACTCGGTTATAGGCCTTAGAATGACATCTTGTCAGCCAATGAGAATACAGAACAACTTTCACGGCACACACTACTGACAGATAGCGAGTCTGATGCCGACGTGTGTAATTCGACAAAATGGAAAGCAATGAAAAGCAACAAGTACATGATCATTTTTTCGGGTAGACTGATATATTTAGGGCTCCAAACCGGAACGAATATAGCGAAACATTTTCAAGCTCGTGTGAAATATTTTACTTATTTTCATAATATATATTTCCTCACAATCGGACTTGATTTAATCTATGTTAAAAATACCACTGGCATTAAGTTGTAACAGGGAATGATGTAGTATAAATGAATCTTGTGGGTACTGCTTCCTTCTTCAGCTTAGCTTTTGGATTTTCATACCCCATGTGTGCATGTAACTTACATATCTCGGCTCGAAATGATCGGGACATTTCACCCGCCTAAATCTGTCTTTTTACTTGGAAAACGGAGGAAATGGTGTCTCTTTCCATTGTTCGATGATGCCGTGCATCCCCAGGCAACGGAATACACCATCGTGCCGTTTACAAAACAAACGACAGAAACAATACGATGTGTACTACTGTAGCGCATGGCACAGGGGCGTGTCACGTGTCACTTTGATTGAGGAGAGGGTGGTTTCGTCGTTTCATCCCTTTCCTTTTATATAGTACTAGCGTAGGGTCTATCTACCTATATATCTTTCTAACGCTGTTTCTACACGCCCCTATGGCTATGGCGCATGGTCTTTGGCAACATGACGGACTCTAGTCACATATGACGTCACGAACGGAAAGGTCACGTGAATCCCCAGAGTATGCATAATGGCCGAAGCTCAGATAACAGAAACTGTTTTCGCGATTAAACATAAATAAACATATTTTTAATCAATAATTGGGGTACATGTTCTGATAACTTTATCTTTCACCCAGCAACTTATTGCAATTTTCTAGTATTCTCCTTTAAATGTAATATATACTAAATGTCCTAAATACAGCCTATAAGCCCATGTGATTCTCTGAAGATCTTCATAGTTCTCCATGGTTCAACCAAACCACAAACTGATGACTACAACCAAACCACAAACTGATGACTTCAACCAAACCACAAACTGATGACTTCAACCAAACCACAAACTGATGACTTCAGCCAAACCACAAACTGATGACTTCAACCAAACCACAAACTGATGACTTCAACCAAACCACAAACTGATGACTTCAACCAAACCACAAACTGATGACTTCAGCCAAACCACAAACTGATGACTTCAACCAAACCACAAACTGATGACTTCAACAAAACCACAAACTGATGACTTCAACCAAACCACAAACTGATGACTTCAGCCAAACCACAAACTGATGACTTCAACCAAACCACAAACTGATGACTTCAACCAAACCACAAACTGATGACTTCAACCAAACCACAAACTGATGACTTCAACCAAACCACAAACTGATGACTTCAACCAAACCACAAACTGATGACTACAACCAAACCACAAACTGATGAATTCAACCAAACCACAAACTGATGACTTCAACCAAACCACAAACTGATGACTACAACCAAACCACAAACTGATGACTTCAACCAAACCACAAACTGATGAATTCAACCAAACCACAAACTGATGACTTCAACCAAACCACAAACTGATGACTTCAAAAGGAATACGTTTCGAGACAACCGTGTTTAACTGTATTGGAGAATACTGATCGAGATTTCGCAAGCAATAGAAACGTAAAAGACAAAACGTTGCACTTCAGATTCATTCTAAATTGTGATCCACACTTGATCCTGTATCTAACCAAGCAATAATTCCCACGGTATAAACTGATAAATTATAGCCAAAGAGAAAGGATTTGCCATCACTTTCACGTTGATCCTGAGCTGTTCAATGGACCTGTTGTTACAGATATTAGGAGAATATAGTTTAAGGAATTACTGAACTAGAGTGAGACCAGCACAGGGAAGACCATGAAGAAATCAGATATAGCTAAAGCATCCCTCACTGTGATAATGCTGGCGCGCACGCACACACTGGAATATATATGGTATGTCTGAACATGTACAGTATATGGATATATATACAGTATATATGAGTATGGCCATATGATATAAAATACAAGGCATGTAGATATAACATGTGAAAGGCGATGCTGCCATTTTCATACTGAAAATGGGCACAGGTCCGTCAGTACTTTCGTATTCGAAATAATTTGCTTTATCTATTTTGACTAGCAGAAGTTTGTCGCGTTTTATGGTGTTCAAACATCATTAATATACTGAATAGAAACGTGCTATTAAATGTGTCGCCTTTATCGATTAGCGAGAGTTAACAGGACCGTGATTAGATTTCTATTTCTGTTGTAACTGACTAATGAGATATTTGCAGAGATAGTGTCAATTACATTATTAGGATACTGGCTTGGTGAAGGTATAACATCAGGTTCTAGAACACATGTGGTCCGGAGAGCCTCGGGCACATATGTAATGGGTTTTGTCCTTCGACAAACATTGTCTTTAATCTGTGAATAAGCGTTCCTGTATGATACGTACCGTGCTTGTTATTGGATGAGCGACACACAAAGTTATATTATGGTTCAAACAGTGAAGAAAGCTTTAGCGTATTTGTATGGACACAGTTCATTCAGAACATCAGAGGCATGCGAAACATATCATTGGATTAAAGCTGCTCGTCACAGGTGATGAAGCTAAGATGGATATAATTCCACTTATACTTCAGGTATAGAGGTATTCAGCAATGCAATGTGTATCCACTGAAGAAATCATTCTTCTATGGGGTGATCACATGTAAGCGTCAATTTTGCTTTCAAAAGCCTTCATCGGTCTGTGGTACTTTCCAGGATTAAAAATGTCTGAAAAAAATCGTGTTCCTCCTCCGCTAAAGTTAGCGGACCAGATGACCATGCAGGGAGTCAAACAGGTTGCTGACGTCACATCCTGTAGATTGCGGCGTTGCTTCTGGTTCCTTGTTGTTTGTGGCGGGCTCACCTTCACCGCCTTCAACATTGCCAAACAGGTCCAACTTTATATGTCGCTGCCTGTCAACGTCGATATCGACGTCAAGTTGGCACAGGCGCTGCAGTTCCCAACGGTGACAGTGTGCAACACCAACGTTCTGAAGAAATCACAGATGGATTATCTAAATTTAACTGAGGCGGTGCAGGAAGTGTTTAGATATGATTTCCAAAGTACAGAAACATTTGATGACATCAGGTACGACTTTTCCTTTTTGAAGGAGAAGAATGTTTATGAAGCAAACCTCAAGTATGGACACAGCATCAATGACTCTGTCATTCGGGTAAGGAACAATTACATATGAATACCGCTGGCAGTTTATGGCTGTTATAGGATATGGGATATAAAGAACGAAAACAATTTCTCTCCTCACAGTATTTAGACATTCTGGAATAATGTGACATAGGTAACGCATAATGATAACATTCAAAGTGCCTCAAAGAACAGTTCTACTTTGACAATAAGCTCAAGAATGAATGTATGTTGTCTGTATTTTGAAATTCTGGATGTTTTGTTTTGTCATAAAAATGTAAGAGGTCTCCACCTCAGATGTAAGTGAAATAATTGCGGACGGAAAATGAATGAATGAATGAATGAATGTTGCTTTACGCCACATCAGCAGTTTTCCAGCTATTCGCGACGAGAAGGAGATATGAGAATCAAATAATCATGTGAAGCATTCATTCACATATTCAGCATATACTGCATCTCGTGTGCTCACACCACACAAATTTAACATCGCTACTTAGGCACCAAACCGCTTCCATCAGAGTTCCCATACAAAAAAGTTCCAACTCCGGGACAAAGTGAAAAAGTGTGTAAACTGAATATATGTTTTTTAAAAAACCAAGGTAACTATTTTGAAAGTGTTTGACAGTGACTTACAAGTCACTGACAGCATGTTTAGACTAATGCTTAGTCTCTGAATATATATACAATTCCTTTTAAATTGAAAAGGAGTGAGTGAGTGAGATTAGTTTTTATTCCAGCAATATCACGGCGGGGCATACCAGAAATGGGCTTCACACATTCTGCCCATGTGGGGAATCGAACCCGGATCTTCCGCGCGACGAGCGAACCCCCGAGCCACTAGGCTACCCCACCGCACAAATTGAAAAGGAGCCCCAGTAAGAGTGGGGATTCCGACCTGAATCTAGACTTGCTCTATTTAGGGCTTTAGCATTGCAGAAAGGGCTAGGCAGAGGGGAAAATGATGAGTTATGAGTTGAGGGACAGTGAAATCTGTCAGTGGTGTTTTGGTAACCCGTACACAACGCTGTACTTGTAAGTCTCAAAATATTTACAATCGCGTCCAAAAGCACTAGGTGTGTACTTCTATAAATAGAAGTGACAAAACCCTTTCCACATCCATACAAAATATCTGTTAAAAGCAGTGTCGATTGTAGAATTGTCACTATATCATGAGTATATATATATTTGTTTCAGCAGTTTAACAGCTGTACGATGTTGTTTGTAAACAAATCGAGTCTGGACTATAGTCAGTTAAAAACAAAATAGGTCTGGGCCAAATCCAGAGCAACAGAAAGCATACCATATGTAACCCTCCTTGTCAGAGAGGTAGGGTAGCCTTGTGGTTAAAGGGTTCACTCGTCACGCCCAAGACCCGGGTACGATTCCCCACATATCCACAATGTGTGAAGCCCATTTCTGGTTTCCCCCGCCGTGATATTGCTGGGATAATGCTAAAAGCGGCGTAAAACTCAACTCACTCACATATGGTGAGCCTACAGTATCACACACGCAATGCTATATGGATGTCAGCACAGTGTGAGCGGAACGTGTGGTACACACACAAGTATATAACATAGTTTATATCAAATTGTGAAAATCCTGCAATCAGTTGTTATCATGTTTATGTACAATAGTAACGTTTGCCTTTGAGGACATATTTAAGATCGAATATAAAATTATGTTCAATATTCTTTTCAGTGTGAATGGGCGGGGGTAGAATGCGATACAGAACATCTGGTCAACACGAACACAGAGATGGGAGTCTGCTTCTCGTTCAATGGTATGCATACATTATTGCTTTTCGTGTATGACAAGAAAAGACCAAGGTAGCATTGTCTGGTAATAGATTGAACTCGAAGCACGGAAGTGAACGATACTTGTTCTTGCTGACGTGTGGCAAGAACTGATACATGTGGTCAAAGAAACCACCATCTGAAATACATGTATGTTCTATGTTATAGCTTTCTTACATACAAGTACAAGTGTTCCTTTATTTATTTCTAGAATTTCACTCACAGTGCAATACATACCTTGTGAAGAAACCTGGAACAGAATTAAGGAACACTTGTACTTTCATGTGTTCCCTTACTTGTTTCCATGAGTATATTTTCGATTTTTCAGCAGATCGGATCCATTGCCAGACCGTCAAGATCGGTTGCTGAAACAGAAACATATTAAGTGGTCTCAAATCCATGAGCTATCAAGTGATGTTTTTGTATAGTTCTTGGAACCATATATATGGGTTAGAATTTTAATATGGATTCCAAAGATTTGATGAAATATTCTGTCCAGATTCCAATCAATACCCACTTACTGACACGAACGAAATTGAAAGCTTTTAAGAACATTAAGTCACACTTTCAAATCAATTCAAAATCAACAACATGTATTCACAACAACATTGTTTAATGTGCCCCAATATTCATCTATCTTGAATATTATTATAAGAAAACCAAGGTTTGAAGTTCTTTTTAAGAATCGAATACGATTACATAACCTGTATTTGTTTCAGGTAACGGCAGCATCTCCAACGTAGGCTCAGGGAGGTACTTTGGCCTGCAATTGCTTCTGAATGCTAAGTCAGAGGAGTTCATCAGAAGTCCTCACAAAACAGAGGGTCCGGGATTTATGGTAATGTATCATGATGACAATATTACCTCGGGTACAATGAGACATGTTTCTTCGAATGTTTATACCCATTCATTATATAGAAATACAAACAACACGATGGATATTTAAGACGAGTATATGGATGGCAACTTCGTCTTTATTGTATAACACGACGTTTCTGGGATACTTCTTGCCCGTCTTAAGGTGATTGTGAAGAAGTAGCCCAGAAACGTCGTGTTATACAATAAAGAAGAAGTTGCCATCCATATACTCGTCTTTTACATTCACCAACTTCTAAATATCTCTCAAGAATATCAAGATGAATACTCACGAAATGATATCTCGAGACCTACAATAAAATGTTGTTCCTGTGTTCATTTAATCAGCGTTCGACACAGTCGCCGGCCAGGAAGCTCAGCGCCGGTTGTTATTGTATCGGGCCTCGAGTTTCATATATTTGCAGGCCCTTGTGGCCTTCAGTAAACTACCTAACTTTTTTTTCAAAAAATCTTTCCCCCTTTTTTCTTTTCTTTATTAACGTACCGGAATCAAACATGATCCATCATGTTACGATAACTTACAGTTTCACTTCCTGGTATTTCAGCGCTTTGCGCATAGGAATGTCAACACAAGTCTTTAACAAATAAAAACGTCTCTGCGCCATAGGCTTCGCTAATTGATTTTGTAGAAACAGTGTGAAACTGTGTACAGTGTAGTCTATTTTGTTTTTATTGGTTTGACTTTAATAAAATGGGCCTGCAGAATTCATTCAGGGCCTGTAGATTTTAAAGCCTGCAGGCGGCAGCAGGCCCTAATGGCCCACTGGCAAATTAAAGTATTGCAAACACTGCATTCAATCGTTCATTGCCAGATTGCCGTGCATTCACCTGACATCCCACTGGTGATGAATGACATCGGGATGGCGCTCACTCCAGGCTCGCTTCATTTCCTTGGCGTGGAGTTAGCGGTAAGGTTTTGTGTGTTTTGTGTGTGAATGTAAATGTGCGTGTGGTACGTCCACAGTAGATAAACTAGATATTAGGTCCTGGTTAATCATGACATCATAGTTATCATTAGATTTGTTTCAAGTTTACCTTTTGAATGTCGATTCCCACATGGGCACAATATGTGAAGCCCATTTCTGATGTCCCCTGCCTTGATATTGATGGAATATTGCTAAAACCGACGTAAAACCCAACTCACTCACTACCTTTTCAATGAGTAACCGATGCACTGATGCACTCAATTATTACAAATGCATCGATATGAATAAATAGCCTCTTAGGTAATCTGGTTCTGATTCAGGTTACTAAATAACATCATCTTTACAGACGGCGACGTCACCAAAAGGCCTGGATGGTTGTGGGAGCCAGAGCCTCAAGTACTACAACAAAACCTACACCCGTGAGGCTTGCCGTATTGAATGCATCACCGACTATGCTCTGGAACAGTGTTCCTGCCGTGATATATATATGCCCGGGAATGCACAACTATGTTTACCGGTGCAAGTCATTCAGTGCTTGATTCCAGCAATGATCAGATATCATTCAACACGTGGAGAATGTGAGTCGTCTTGTCCACAAACCTGCTCCTACACCTCCTTCAACGTACGTTCATCATCCAGTCTTAGGGTGACAGATGAATACCTCTCCACGCTGGCTAACGTCACCAACGATACACTGGAATACTGGAGAAGCAACTACGTGGCTGTAGACGTCTACCTGTCGTCGATGACGTATCAGAGTGTCGAGAAGAGATATGCGTATTCGGTGCTTGAACTTTTCTGTGACATAGGTGGCGCTCTGAGTCTAATTTTAGGAGCAAGCGTTGTTACTGCCCTGGAGGTTATAGACTTCGCTGTACTTCGCCTCTATACATATTGGTGTTTTAAGAGCCATACCACAAAAATAGATGTGAAACCAGCTAAAGGAACCTAATACTCCTTTCAGTGCAAGTTGTAATACAGGAACAAGTCTCTGTGTCCAAATAATGAATGTATAAAAGCCACAAAATGTCATTAATCATGGAAAATGTATGACCTTAACAGAGCCGATAATACTATTCTGACAATGTACTGAGCGTTGCCTTATTGATAGCATTCCCACAGTGATGGGACAAGTTATGAGGATATCATGTCATAAATACATGCAAAGGCAAGACAAGTGTACCCCTGAAAAAGAAGCACATTAACAGATGAAATACTGAGTTGCATCGGACCTATTTGAGTCACCGTGAGGCAAATTTGGGAATCCCCCCCCCGTATATCTTAAAAAAAATTAAAGGTTGGAATTTCCCCTTTACATTTGTCATATTTGATAGTGATTATGTCAGATGTTTTGTCAAAATTTCTGAGATTTTTTTCACAAATGAATTTTTTATAGAGCTTTCGAATCTTGTACAAAAGAGGAAATGACCTGTCTTCAGATGTTTTGTTCTGTATGCATAATGTTAGGTGATTTCATTAGACAGGTTCCCCGATAATCAGTTGATGCGCTACCTACGTATAATGAGGATGTCATTGTCAGTGAGAACAACTACAAACGTATGATGTAGGCTAACCAGCCAGACAGATAAAAGTAGGACAAAATCAGTAACTTTTGTTGATTGCAATTCTCTTCCAATATAGTCATCCTTTCTTTAGCCCATTCTTGGTATTTTCCTCGACAGTATCTTAAAAGCTGTTAAAGATGCGATCCCCATAGATTGTTTACTATGCTGAACCACAAAAAAAACGTCGCTTTTCAAAACCAAATGCCAGATTTTGTTCTTAGAAAGTGGTGTTTTTATATTGATTGTATCGTGTTGTTAACATGTTTTTCATACAAACTGAGAATTACAACCAACACCAGTGTCGAAGTGTCGAGATCTGCTGTATAGTTTGGGTTTTGGTTTTGTTAGGGAACAGCAATCTGTTATTTCTCCTACCTCGTTTTTATCTGAATTTGTGAGTCGACTTAAACGTATTCATGAACAGAATTGGTATAGTTCACTTCAAATGGCAGCAAATCTATGTTTAATCTTACTTCAAAATTTCATTGTCCAGGGAATTGTATTTAAATGTGATTAACATTAAAAAATTTAGACTAGCACTCTCTCAGTTTAGATGTTTTTAACATAAGTTACGTATAGAAACGAGAAAGTACTATAATATAGATAGAAATGATAGATTATGTTTACAGTGCGATGAAGGTTATATTGAGGATGAATACCATCTTCTCCTGGTGTGTTCCAAATTCCAACAGCTCCGCTTGAACCATTTACCTAAAACCTATTGTATCAATCCAAGTAAAGCCAAATTCAAACTCCTCATGTCATCATCTGATTGTAAACTTATAAATAACTTAGCTAGCTTTATCTATCATGCAATGTATCTAAGATATTAAAAATTATCAATCTATACTGTTCACATCATGTTTTGCCATGTAAATGTAACCTATGTAGTTATGGGCCGATGGCCTACACTTCTGTAATACAAGAATTTAATTTAATTTATGGTGATTTTGTTTGTGTGAACTGTAAATGTGATTCCCGAAAATGTGTTAACCATAATTGTCAAGTTTGAATTCAATCCTCCGTTTTGATTGTTAATTAGAGTGAATTAAAGTGTGTGCTTTAAGAAACCGCTATCGCTGCGACATTTCTTTTGAGGTTCAGTATATATATGTCTATGTTTGAATAACTGACGACTGTCACCTGAAGAAAAGCTACCTGTGATGAAATGACTAACAAGTTGGTTGCAGTAAGATAAATCTTGGCAACCACTAGTAATGGAGGTAACCGTTCCTGAAAAAAGACACCTTGTAGGCGACAGTCCTTTCATATCAAACATGGAATAACACGGTGGTTATATTATAGGGTGAAGTAGGTTTTTTACTCAGGGTTTGAAGACGTGTTAATACGGCGTAATTCAGATCCTCCAGGGACTGTGGGGTAGCCAAGTGGTTAAAGTGTTCGCTCGTCACGACGAAAACGCGGGTTCGATTCCCCACATGCGTAGAATTTGTGAAGCCCATTTCTGGAGTCCACCGCCGTGATATTGCTGGAATCTTGCTGAAAGCTGGGTAAAACTCAACTCACTCACTCAAAGCCTGTGGAGGAAGCAGCTGTGAACACAGCCCCTAGGGTCATGTGACACAGTAAATGATCACATTACTGGAATCTACTTTCCAAGTGTTGTCAACCGTGCGCACTAAGTCACCCTTTACACAGGACTGCTTCCGCTCTGCCTTATCTCTGCGTTCTAAAAGTTACCAGGACGCACAACGGTCGCCAAACCTATGTTTCTGTGTAACTGCTCCGGCGTCCCTTGTGCCTTACTTGTACGACCTAAGCTGCCAAATTTTGACATTTCAGTGGCGTTCTTTGAGCGTCCTAGGCGTCCTCTCTGCCTTCCCTCTGCCTACTCTGTACCATCATATGCAAATAACAGCGTCTGTTCAGCGTTGCTTCAGTCTTCTCGCCGACCGTTATGCCTTCCTTGTGCATTCATTGGCGTTCGGTCTGCCTTCTCTCTGCGTTCTGTGGCCACTGTTCGGCAACCTGCATGTTCTAGGTATATACGTACCTGGGTACGACATTTTATCATTAGTTTCATACGAGCAGGCTAAGTGAAATCATCGTATAACGACTTCAGTAAGCATGAACAATGAACTGCGTTTGCAAATAGCTTTTTTGCAAGGTCAACAAGCATTGTTTTTCAACCAGATAGCCATTGCCATCTGAAATAGAAGGGTGAATAGACGTAGAAGAATATTGGGAACCCTGGGAACCCTGTGGGTCCGCCCATGGTTGATGGGTATCCAGTACCAGTATCGTGTGTTGGCCCACGCAGCACGATCTCCATTTTTCCCTGCAACTGCCTGAAGTTTGCAGAGTCTGAAGTTTGCAGAGTTATCCGAGATGAATATAAGAATGAAGTTGTCAAATGCCCAAGGATCTCCCAAGAGTGGAAAGCTGTTGCAGATGACTTTCAGAGACGTTGGAACTTACCCCATGCATGTGGAACCACTGATGGGAAAGATATAGCCGTGCGTTGTCCACCAAACACAGGTAGTCTCTACCACAACTATAAGGGATTTTTCTCTTGTCTTTCTTTGCATTAGTGGATGCAAATTATAAATATGTATGGTGTGATGTTGGTGGTGTTGACTGAAGACCTGCCTCGAAGATGGCACAATAAACTTTCCAACTCCTGAGCCATTGCCGAATGATGACCGTGACATACCATTCTTCCTACTCGGGGATGATGCATTTGCCCTCAGAACCTACATGATGAAGCCATATTCAATCATCGCACTCACCAAAGAGCAACAGATCTTCAACTATCGTATCTCTCGTGGAAGAAGAGTAGTTGAAAATGCGTTTGGCATTTTGGCTCAGCGATTTCAAGTTCTACTTCCAACTATATAGCTGATGCCTAATTCAGTCCAGGATGTGGTTGAAGCATGCATTTGTCTTCACAATACAATGCGAGACATATATCCAACGCTACAGAAAGTTGCACTTGACACTGTAGACGATAACCACGACCTCAAACCTGGAGAATGGAGACAACAAGCAAATATGCATGAAGTTGCACAAGTAGTTGAACCAAACCGAGACACACGAGCAGGAAAACAGTTGCGAGTGTATCTGAAGTTGTACTTCAACAATGCAGCTGGATCAGTTCCATGATTTGAAGTGTTGTGTATGGAACTGACTTGCTATGCGGATGGAATTGTTTGATGATGTTCATATTGCTATCACAACTCAACATTAGCCTTATGAGTTCATTATGGATATCTGGATTTCAAAATAAAATATCAATGTGTGCATACTGTTTGTCTTCAATTTTGTTCATATCTTTAAAAACATTGTCAGCAGTAAGATTTTCCTGTTGACCAATGTTTTCGTTAATTTTGAGGCACTCTTTTGGGGCCTTTCGCCTTTAGCATACCTTCTTGAGGCATGGTGAGACGTCTGATCGCAAGCTCGGCAGTTCTCAAATACCGTGGAAATCGGCAGTATTAGACTTATTTATATGTAATCTGGAAATGCAGAGGGGAGGCAGAGTAAAGGCAGAGCGTAGTTGTTCAAAGGGATGCGCTAGTCGCTGAATGAAGGCAGAGTGAATTGCTCAACGAACGCCAATGGATGCTCGACGGACGCACAATGAAGGCAGAGAGAAGGCAGGGGCAAAGCCGCAATTTACGAAGTTTTTATGTGGCGTCCTTTCGCCGACCGTTGTGCCTTCCCCTCTGCCTTCCCTCTGCGTCCGTGGATCAATCCACCATGACGGCGACCGCTCTGCGTTTGTTTTGAGCATGTTCAATACAGTCGCCACTGCAGTGGCGTTCTGAGCCGTTCTTGGCGTTGGCTCTGCCTTCTTTCTGCCGTCATGGCGATGGCTCTGCATTCTCTCTGTGTTCGTCGTTCCTCCTTTGAGCGTTCAGTGGCGATCTGTGTAAAGGGGGCTTTAACATATTTTAACAAAGAGGTGTCAGTATATAATTTGTTTTGTGGTAGGCACTATTCCTCACACCTGCTAATGATTTGTCTCAACACAAAGCCAGTGGGTTCCAGTCAGCAACTGTCACATTAGTTACTCTACATATGTAACCGGAGACACTTAAACATCATTAGGCAGAGTTCCACACAAATCATGAATGCATGATACATACAACCCGTTGTGTTCAACAGGCCGTAGCCTTGTTTGATTTTGTATAGTCAACGATTGATTTAATCGTTTTCTATCAACGAATGGAAAGCGATGAAGACTAACCACAATAAAACTAAGCTATCAATACATAACTACACACTCAGATAACAATAATGATAGAAACACAAAGAGTTCATGTTACTTGATGTTGCTATCGAATGAGGCTTATGGGATTCTCGTGCATTAAACAATAATGCTTTTTAAATTGAGCGAGTATAGGGTGGGCCTATAGTGTCACTATCGATAAATTGATATTCATTCATCATTTAACCACACCTGCTACTTTCCCCAGAGTTCACAACACACCAGCGCATTAAGTGTATAAACGCAATAACAGTAAGTGACTGTTTTACGTGCAGATTACCACGTTGAAAATAAAACGTTAACCGGGAATCGGTCTGTAAAAGAAATAGAGTGTGAACCACCACCACCAACAACAAAACAAGATCTTATGTAATTAACAACTGTATTCTAAAATGAACTTTGGGCGGTGGGGTAGCTATGCGGTAAAAGAGTTCGCCCGCCACGCAGAAGACCCGGGTTCGATTCCCCACATGGGTACAATGTGTGAAGCCCATTTCTGGTGTCCCCCGCCGTGATATTGCTGAAATATTGCTAAAAGCGGCATTAAACCACACTCACTCATTCACTAAAATGAACTAAGTTCGCAGTACAATTTACAGTATATGTATATATAAGATACATGAGCAGTGGTGGTTTTTATTTATTCAACTTTCAGCAGCAGTTATCCAACTTGCAAGATTGGCCAGGGCAGGGTATAATGGTCATTACAAACAATGCTACAGTCCGTTTGATTTCATTTTAGACAGATGAATTGTTCACTAACACGAAATCGAATAATTACAATGTAACCAAATTTTGCACAGTCCCATGAAATAGACAGACCAACTCTGATGATTTGTCTCATAATTATGAACACCCGAATAAAAAAGTTGTTTATCAAACGATCATAAATTGGTTGCCACTTTTCGCTGTTTCTTACGAAGGGGGACCACTTGCTGGTAGGGCAATCAACAAGCATGTACAGTGAAATTTCAATTTCACACGTGCAACTTGTACATCTGGCTGTTTTAATATGGCTGTGTGAGGAAAATCATAAACAGACACCCGTAGATAAGA